ACTAATTTTAGTGGAATTATACCTTTACAAAAGCTGTGCAAATATTTCCCTTTCCTGTTGTTTTCTTTGAAGGATGGCCTCTTGTTTTCGTTGCATTAGATTCATATTCTCCTTCATTTGAGCACCTCCAATAATTTGCTTTCAACTTCCCATCTGTATGTGTTCTACATTTTGCAAAAGTTGAACAAGACGCCTCTTTTTTCCGATCAAACCAGTCCTTAAATTGAACATAACTATCAAAATTTTCGGTTTCCACGACAAATTGAGTTCCGTCACTATGTTTCGATTTCATATGCTTACAAAGATCTTCCCGCGACGCTGTGGAAACGGAGCATTTTGATTCCAGACATCTGAATTTGACTGGTTCTTGAACTTTTATATTCGTATAAGATTGATGTTCCACCACCTCCAATTCTTCATGTTCTTTGTCGTCTTGTTTCATTATCTAGAATTTTTTGGTTTTTTTCTATTTCTCACATTAAAAACTGCGAATGTTTCATTTTGAATTGTTTACCTTAATTTTTTTTAATCTACCCAAAAATGAATGAAAAATTTGAGGTTAAGCGATTTGAGGTAGTAAATTACACCCTGTGGGAAGGCAGAGGAAGTGGTCGGAATTGGTAAGGTTCCGCACAGTTTTCTGAGTAGATCAAACTCTTTTTGAAGTTTGGACTATTTGAAAAAATCAGGTTTTCATGAAAAATATTCAGATGTGTTATTTTTCGATTTTAAAACTCAAGATCACTATTCATGACGTTTTTCTCAGCCTATCGGTCTTATAAAATGTTGTTTTCAAAAAAATTTAAATTCTTAGACTCGAATTTTTTTATCTACACAGCTGATGTGAAAGCAGTCGGCAAGAAAAAAAGTGGGATTTTTTTGCATGTGTATATATTTTTGTATGGTTCAAAAAAGTGAACTTCAGATTTAAAAGGCCATAAAACGTCCATCCTTCTCTTTTATTAAACTCATTTTGTATATTATCAAAAATTGCCTAAAGTGCGATATCAGTCAAATATTCAGACTTTTTTCAATTATGTGATGTAAAACGTTCACCTTCATCAAGTGGGATTTTTCTGATGGATGTTTGCTGTAGATGTGACTGATGAGACCGTTTTTCATTGAACAAGATACTATGCAGTTTTGAGCAGGACAAATCCAAACATTTCCAGATCCTTTTGGTCGTTTCATAGATTGTAATTGTCTGTTATATTCCAATATTTGATCTTCATTGTACTTGTGTTTCTTTTTTAAATGTTGGCGAACATTATCACCTCGCCCAAAGTATTCGCAACCAGTGGAAGGACATCGAATTTTGTTGCTTTGTGAATTCATAATAGTTAAGGTTGAAAACAATGTTTTTTGTTTCTCTCTCACTATGAATGTATTTGAATTAAAAACTACTGTACCTCGTTTCCCAACGCGATTTGTTAAATGTTTGTATGTTTCTAAGATTGTGCGACTGTTACCGTAGTGTTATTTATTTATTTTTTCATTTATTACACATGCAAACGAAACACAATATAAAAATGAGTTTATTGGAAATAAAATTACAGTACAACTTGACAGAGAATGGATTGACTGAAAATTTTGAAATTTCAATTATTTTTAAATTTTCAAACCGAAAACCAAAATGGATTGACTGAAAATTTTGAAATTTCAATTATTTTTAAATTTTCAAACCGAAAACCAAAATGGATTGACTGAAAATTTTGAAATTTCAATTATTTTTAAATTTTCAAACCGAAAACCAAAATGGATTGACTGAAAATTTTGAAATTTCAATTATTTTTAAATTTTCAAACCGAAAACCAAAATGGATTGACTGAAAATTTTCCAATTTCAATTATTTTTAAATTTTCAAACCGAAAACCAAAATGGATTGACTGAAAATTTTGAAATTTCAATTATTTTTAAATTTTCAAACCGAAACCCAAAATGGATTGACTGAAAATTTTGAAATTTCAATTAGTTTTAAATTTCCAAATCGAAAACCAAAATGGATTGACTGAAAATTTTGAAATTTCAATTATTTTTAAATTTCCAAATCGAAAACCAAAATGGATTGACTGAAAATTTTGAAATTTCAATTATTTTTAAATTTTCAAACCGAAAACCAAAATGGATTGACTGAAAATTTTGAAATTTCAATTAGTTTTAAATTTCCAAATCGAAAACCAAAATGGATTGACTGAAAATTTTGAAATTTCAATTATTTTTAAATTTCCAAATCGAAAACCAAAATGGATTGACTGAAAATTTTGAAATTTCAATTATTTTTAAATTTCCAAATCGAAAACCAAAATGGATTGACTGAAAATTTTGAAATTTCAATTATTTTTAAATTTCCAAATCGAAAACCAAAATGGATTGACTGAAAATTTTGAAATTTCAATTAGTTTTAAATTTCCAAACCGAAAACCAAAATGGATTGACTGAAAATTTTGAAATTTCAATTATTTTTAAATTTTCAAACCGAAAACCAAAATGGATTGACTGAAAATTTTGAAATTTCAATTAGTTTTAAATTTCCAAACCGAAAACCAAAATGGATTGACTGAAAATTTTGAAATTTCAATTATTTTTAAATTTTCAAACCGAAAACCAAAATGGATTGACTGAAAATTTTGAAATTTCAATTATTTTTAAATTTTCAAACCGAAAACCAAAATGGATTGACTGAAAATTTTGAAATTTCAATTATTTTTTAAATTTTCAAACCGAAAACCAAAATGGATTGACTGAAAATTTTGAAATTTCAATTATTTTTAAATTTTCAAACCGAAAACCAAAATGGATTGACTGAAAATTTTGAAATTTCAATTATTTTTAAATTTTCAAACCGAAAACCAAAATGGATTGACTGAAAATTTTGAAATTTCAATTATTTTTAAATTTTCAAACCGAAAACCAAAATGGATTGACTGAAAATTTTGAAATTTCAAGTATTTTTAAATTTTCAAACCGAAAACCAAAATGGATTGACTGAAAATTTTGAAATTTCAATTATTTTTAAATTTTCAAACCGAAAACCAAAATGGATTGACTGAAAATTTTGAAATTTCAATTATTTTTAAATTTTCAAACCGAAAACCAAAATGGATTGACTGAAAATTTTGAAATTTCAATTATTTTTAAATTTTCAAACCGAAAACCAAAATGGATTGACTGAAAATTTTGAAATTTCAATTATTTTTAAATTTTCAAACCGAAAACCAAAATGGATTGACTGAAAATTTTCCAATTTCAATTATTTTTAAATTTTCAAACCGAAAACCAAAATGGATTGACTGAAAATTTTGAAATTTCAATTATTTTTAAATTTTCAAACCGAAAACCAAAATGGATTGACTGAAAATTTTCCAATTTCAATTATTTTTAAATTTTCAAACCGAAAACCAAAATGGATTGACTGAAAATTTTCCAATTTCAATTATTTTTAAATTTTCAAACCGAAAACCAAAATGGATTGACTGAAAATTTTCCAATTTCAATTATTTTTCCATCCCAATAACAAGAATCCTTTCAGTAGTTTGAAATGCATTGATGCCAATGTAATATGAAATGCCAAAATTATCGTCATGATTTGAAATGAAAACAAAAACTCTAATCTCGTGTTTAAAACACACTAGAAAACTCTGATAATAGCTTGATTCCAGGAAATACCAGCCAAAAACAACAAATACTCTGATGAAATGCGCTGTTCTTATGGATTCCTCATATAACCCAGCAAAAACTTGAAATTTGCGTTCTTTTGCCACAAAAAAATTGACAAATGCTTTCAACTTGCTTGAAAATAGTTAAAATCAGCCAACTCACTCTCAAAACAGTCGAAAAAACCTCAAAAAAGCATTCCTAGAACACCCAAAACAAACAATTAAATTCAAACAACCTCGCTTTGTGCGCTGGAGCGCATTTCCTAAATTTAGTCAATCCAAAGTGACGAAACCTGCAGCCTGCACACACAAAAACCAAAAAATGCGCCAGCAAAAATGAAGTGCGTCATGTGTCATAGGATTGACGCATTTCGTTCGCTCTCTCCCGTGCAATTTCGTAGCTGCCCCTTATACATTGGCATTGTTCCAGCAATGTGGTAGAGGATAGGGGTGCGACGCACTCTGAACTTTTTGTCATTTCGTTTTTATTTTTTCGCCTTTTTCAATGTTTTTGAGAAGCTTGAAATGTGTGCACGCGCTTGAAAATAAGAGGAAAAAGGGGTATTTATGGGTGAAATTGTATTGTTGGCCTAAAATTGTACTTGTAGTCGTGTTTTCTCTCTTTTTTGTTGATAAATAGTCAAAACTTTTTGTACTTTTTTCGTCGCTGTTTTTTGATAAAAATAAGACAACAAAATTAAAAGAGGTGGAAATTCAGACTAATAATTTTTGATGCAGTGTAATTTTCAGTTGTTTATTGTGTCTTCACTCTTCCAGTCTGCAATTTTGAGTCTACACACATGCTTTTTCTATTGTCAATATTTTTATAGAAAATGTCAGCTTTTTTCCAATTTAATTATCATTCTTTTTGCAAATAGATGATTTACTTTAATTGGAATTCCCTAACGTCGTGATTATGTCCTATTATTTTTAGAAATATTCTAGCTTGAAATAGTTCTCTGAAATCAGGATAAATGGGTCGCAAGAAATGAAATGACTATTTTTTATTTCTAGATAATCGTAATCTACGTGACGACCTCATTTAAAAAATCTACGTTTTTTCATTTAAGGAAAGTTTTTCATTACTAACGGGTGATTTTTGTAAGCCAATTTACAAATATTATAGGATCTCTATTATTTTGGTTTTTTTTTTTGGGAGCTTGTGGAAGTATCTCACAAATTTGAAATAATCAGTTTTGTTTAATGTCTCCCAACAGTCTCCGTTATTTCTTTCACTTCATCAACTGACCTTTACAAGTTGACCTTATTTGATTTTCAGGTAAGAAGACTTGCTATCAATATCAGCAAGTAGTTGTTGAAGATCAAATAACCGAGCGGCATCAGATGCTCTCGTTTGCAAAAGTAGTATCTGGTAAATCAACGGATGCGGCGCCAGATGGCACCGCCGCCGTTTCACCAGTTGCTGGACACACATCTACGCCACAAGATCAAAACGAGGCACCATTCACTGATACTACACATACAAAAGAAAACGAACCGAAAGGGGATAAACCACATCGTGAAAAGGGAGAACGAAATAAGCGCAGAAGTAATCGAAATCGTGAACGTAGAAATCGTGGAGGTGGTGAAGCAAAAGCTGAAAAAGCAGCTGCAGCTCCAGTTGTTGAAGAAATCAAACCAGCTGAACCACCAGTTGTATTGGAACCAGCTCCACTTCCAGCAGTAAATGCGTGGTTCAAAAATAAAGCAGGTAAGTATATATTTATTGTAGAAAAATATATAATTTATACTAATTTTTGTTGCAGAACAAGCAAAAGCAGAAACAGCTGCAGCTGCACCAACACAAACTGCTCCACCAGCACAAGTAGCTCCAAAAGTAACCGCTCCACCCAAACCAGTTGAAACTCCAAAAGAACCAGTAAAAGAGAAAGAAAAACCGAAAGCAAAAGAAGTAAAGAAAGAAGTGAGTGTTTTCTTTGCCATGGAAACACGTTTTTCTACACGCAATTTGTATCCGAATTGTATTTTCAATAAATAAATTGTTTATAGGTTGCTCCAGTTGCTGCTCCACCTGCTCCCGCTCCAACCCCACTCAAATCAGTCAACCGACAACAACAACAGGAAAAACCCACAGAAAGAACAGTAAATGATCCAGAATGGCCTAGTTTGGCAAACGCAGAAATGGTTAATGGACATATCTCACCCACAAATTCAGATGAAGTTGAGGGAGCAAGTACACACAAAACAGTTACTGGTAAAACTTCGAAAAATAGTTGGAAAAAGGTTGAAATCTCGGTGGATTATGGAAGTAAAGGAAAAGGAGCACCAAGAGAAAAAGGAACAAGAAGAGCTGCAAATGAGGAATCCGGTAAGATATAGCTATCAAATTTTGATGTTTAAAATCTAGAAAAAATATGTTTCTTCATGTTTTGCTCTACACTATTATACTCAAATTTTTGCTCGAAAAATAAAAAAATGTTGTCCGATTTTTTAACTGCCTGTTAATACTCCAAGAAATTTTTTGAAACTAGCCAGGCCTTATTCTGGATGAATTCAAGACTAGAACATGTATAAATTTGTTCCTCGGATATCTTAAGGCCCTAGCTAGAATTTTGGGGAAAAAGTTAACCCCTTGAATCCTTTCTTGATTCTTAAAATTTTCAAAAATAAACCCATGTTCCTCCCTATCAAATGCAAATACATATGAATATATTTTTCATACAAATTTTTATTTTTTACAGCAAAACGTCGTTCGGGAGATGTTGAATCAGTCAGCAGCGACGAACAATATTGGTGAGTCATTTTTTTGTGTGTTGAATAGTAATATTTTTCATTATTACTATTATGATTTCATCCCAAAAACTGCTAAAAACATGTATTCTTCTTCTCACTTCCCCCCTCTTCACATAATGTGTTTTTCTGGGATTTTTTTGGAAGTGAACGAGAAAGAGAGAGAAAAACACGAACATATCCATTCTTTTCCGTTAGCATAAATTTACGGCACTGAATGAATTCTTTTTTCGTAGTTTTTACTTTTCTAGTTAAATTTTAGATGGCTTTAATTTAATGAAACATTTTTCAGGTCGAGAAACAAAGATTCGAAGAGTCCACTCACTGAAATGTCCGCAGAAAGGTATGTTTTTTTTCTTTCAAACGTATTTTTGAAATGGTGGTTATTTGTCGATTTTCGAAATTGTTCGAATTTTTGTGATAACATGAGATTTCGGTTTCTCAAACAATTACCCAAATATTCAAATTATACACCCCCGTTTCTTCATTTTTGCAATCACCGCGAACAAATTATTTTGCATATTTGAAGGAGAAGAAAAGTGGCGACCGGGCGGAGAGAAAAAGAGAAACGGTCACTAACATACTTGATACAGTACAGACAGGAGCTATGTGTCGGCGAAAAAAGTTGGCTGGTTGTGTAGTGTGTGTATGTATGGGGGTATTGTATATGTTGCGATGTATTGTCTAATCGAAAGTTGTTATCTATCTATCGATCACTTCTCGCACTTTTTCTTTCTCTTTTTTTGTATGTGTCCACCATTTGTTTCTTCTTTCTCTCATCTCGCCTGCTACCATTTTGGGCGTTCAACAAGGGAGAATAGTATTTGTTGAGAGGTTCAATCATAATTCCTTTTTTTGTTGTTGCATCTATTTATTATAACAAACATGATACAACTTGTTTCATTTTTGTTGTTTTTTAGTAAGTCTGGAAACTATCGATTCTTTTTCCTCTCCTCGAAGAACAATTCAGATGCTTTTGTTGTCTTCTTCTTCTTCTCCGTTCGCTCGTTGTTTGTTGTTGTTTTCGCGTTTTCCCCTGCTCTTCCTTTGACATGTTTTTTTCTTGTTGATAAAATGTATCTGCGCTTTTCGAATTTTTGTATTTCTGATAGGAGTGGCTATGGCTAGACATTTAATCTTTAATCATTTCGACTATACGATCATTATACTTCCTGTCAATTTTCACACCTTTGTTTACATCGAAAAATATCATGTTACGCGATCGCCCTTTTCATTAAAGTTCTTCTCTAAATAGGGACAATTTTATAATGAGATCCTGAAAAGTTTCTCATGACAGGTAATGATGGAATTATTTAGAATGTCCCCCTAGGAATTTTATGCGTAAGATAGAGGAGAAAAAAGGAGGAGGGCAGCTGACAGCCAGCCAAGCCAGACCAATAGATTTCACTCACAAAAACGCGCACATCGCTCACTCTCACTGAGAAGAGAGAAATATTACGCTCACATTTCTTCGTCTGTTGAATTTTTGGTTATGTTTTGCATTCGCTCATTCTCCCTCTCTTTTCTTTTTCTCTCGCCATCTCTATGTTTTTTTTCGGCACCCATCAGCATGTGGGCCCTAGCGAAACGAAAAAAAAGAAGAGAGAGGAAAAAGAGTCAGTGGCTGGTTGGTTTTGCCTATATTTCTTTCGTTTTCGCTGTCTTCTCTCTTTTTTCTGCTTACCTCTCGCTCTTTTTGCATAGTTTTTGTCTGTCTGCGTCTCGTCTTCGTGATTATTATGTGCGTTGAAATGGCGCTGGTTCTCTTTTTTTCGTTCGCTCCGCGACGGCGACGACTCGCGCATGCAGCACATTTCCAGAAAAACGAGCTTTTCATGTTGTTTTTTTTTTTGCTCTTCGCAGAAAATTATTTCTGGCTTGTTGAAATTAGCTTGATTTTCCATGTGACGTGAAGTAGCTTTATCCTAAAAATTAGCTCCAACTTTCAATAGATTCTCCTAAAATTCACAATTTCTCATTTTTGGATATAATTAGGTAGATTTTAACGTTGTCTTCAAACTTGCCGTGAAGTGATATTAGAAATAATTTTAATTTCATTTTTTTCTAAACACATCTCGTTTTTTATCCTATTTTTGGCTGAAAATCTTATTTTATATGTTATTGTTCCTCGAGATTACCAAAAAAAATTCTCCTTTCAATTAATAATTGATAAATTTCCGTCTCAATACCACATTTTCGTGTTGTTGTTTTTTTTTTCATTATGCTATAAAAGGCTTTTCTCTCTCGTGACGTCAGAATTTCTCTGAAACATCGCCGCCCTCGCAAAAATTTGAAAAAAAAATGATGTCATGTTGTCATTTAATTTCTCCATTTTTCCCCAAAAAATCCAATTTTACCCGATTTTATTTTCAGGGTCGTGGATAGTGGATCGAATGGTATATACTACCAACAAGGTGGAACACACGGTTGGAAAAAGAAAGTAAAACCATCGAGCACTGAATCCACATCACCACAATCGTTAGTTTCGACACCGAGCAGCGAAGAGAATCACGCACCAGTTCAACACAAAGACAAATCCACTTCAATAATCATGAATGGAAACGGACCAAGAAACGGGCAACCGAACAATAATAATAAGGGTGGTCCACCACGAACAAATGTTGCCAACAACACTGGAAAAAGCGACTATTGGCACAAAAACAATACGGATCGTAGTAAAAATGAAGAGAAAGCTCAACCAAAAGCATACTATCAAAGAAATGATAGATATCAAGCTCGCTCGAACCCTCATGCACCTCCAAAATTGACAGCAGCTCAACGAAAAGAACGTGGACCATTGCCAAGATGGGAGGATATTCAAGATGGTGAAGATAATTTTGATTATATGAATTTGATGGAAGCACAATATTCACAATATTATGGAGCACCACAACCATTTGATCATCAACTTGATCCGAATTCGGCAAGTTTGTTGATTCAACAAGCACATCATCATATGGCATCATTCCAACCATTCCGTCAACCAATTCAAATGATGTCGCCACATATGATTTCGCCAATTGATAATCGCGATGGACAACTTGCATCGCCACTTTCAAATGGTGGAGAACCAATCAATACAGCTATTCCATTCGCACCAATTTATCATCCACCAATGCCGCCACGTCCGGTTACTGATGAAACATTGAAGGAATATGTCAAAAATCAAATGTAAGTTGTTTTTTTTTCTGAAGCTATTTTTGGTGAAATTATCATCGTTTGAAAAATTGATTCTAAATGGGGTTTTTGTTCAAAAACAGGAAATCGAAAAACAATTTTTAAAACTAACTTCAATGTGAAAATTTTGTATCATAAGTTTTTTAGAAAACCATGATTTTGAATGGAAATCAATCTCAAAACTTCTCAAACCAGAACATTTATACCCAACCTCTCCTAAAAATCTCGAAAAATATCTAATATTCATTTTTTCCAGTGAATACTACTTCTCTGAAGACAATTTGCAAAAGGATTACTATTTGCGCCGTAAAATGAGTGTCGAAGGATATTTGCCACTCGCTTTGGTTTCATCATTCCCACGTGTTCGATCATTGACCGAAGATTTGACTTTGATCATTGAAGCACTTCGAAACAGTGTGAAAGTTGAACTTTCTCCAGATGGTGCTTATATCAGATCACGAGACAAACCAGAATACTGGCCACTTCCACCAAGTATTGCTGGAGTCGAATTTGCACCAAGCACTTCTGCTCAACAACCACCAAGAGGCCCACCAGTGCCGCAACAGCAACAATCACATGCTACAAGATATATTTCGAAACCTGTGGAAACTGTCGATGCGCCACAAGCCAGTTCATCGACACAACCACAACCAACAGAAGTCACAAATAATGATGACGAAAATTGGGAAGAGGTTAAGCCGAAAAAGAAGGGAAAGAATCGAAGTACGTCTGGATCACAAGCAAACGATTCGACGAAAAAAGCACAAAATAATTCATCGACAACTAAAGGCGCAGATCAACCGGATCTTGACTTTCAGTTTGATAATGAACTCAACACATCTGGAGGTGGACATTCGACACCAAAACGAGAAAATAATAAGAAGAAGGCAATGTTGAGGTTAGTTAGCAGATGTCCTCTAGAATAATCTAATTATAAAATAATTCATTTATTTCAGCGTTGTTGAAACAGAAGAAATAGGAGATGATGTGATAAACAAATTGATTATTATGACACCATCTCGACGAACATTGGATAAAACTGGTGATTATTCGACAAGATCTCAAAATCAATCAGATTTCAACGAAGAAGTCGAAATTGGATTGAGACGATATGAAGAGGAATTATGGAATGTTCCATTGGAAAAAGATGCTCCGGTAAGCACAATTTTCATTATAATAAAAAATAATATAGATAGTTTTGCTTTCTAACACTTCCATTTTTCTGCACGATTTATCATTCTTCAACCTATTTTGTATTTCGTGAAAGTGTTGTGATTGTTTACAGAGCAATAAGAAAGTGACAACAGTAAGTCATGAAGAATTCCAAAAATTGCGAGGAGATGAAGCAAAACCACAAAACGATGGACCACCACCAGTTATTCCACAAACTTCGGCTCCAGGACCACAAACACCGCAATCTGTTTGGACACAAAAAGCAAAAGAACGCGCTGCGGCGCATCAAACAGTTGTAAGTTTTTCGATATTGTGCTAAATATTTTCTTTGCCTTTTTAATTGTTCAACTTCCCCCGAATTAAACAAACCTATACTAAATTGAATAATATTTACACGAGATGCTTCTTTTTCTCTCAATCAAAAACACTGTTTTCAGCCAAAATCACCAATGCAACGTCGTGAATCGGAAGAGCAAAAAATGAACAGATTCTATCCAGTGAGCAAACCAGTTGTTTCATTGGATGCCAAATCACCAAGAAAGAAGAAGACCCGACACAGTGAAAAACCACCAGTTGAATTGCCAGTTGCTTGGGTTTTGGGACGCGAAGATCCACCACCAGCGCCAGTTGGAGTTGCTGCAAGTTCAAGCCAAATTCCATCGAATCATCCATCATATCGACTTCTTCAAGAGAATCAATTTGTTCAAAATGTTTATTCAACATGGCGACTATCTTGTTTGAAACAACGCAAAAATCTTGGCTATGATTGCGCCGAAATGAATACTTTGTATCGTTTTTGGTCATTCTTCTTGCGTGATAATTTCAATCGAAACATGTATGAGGAATTCAGAAAATTGGCTTTGGAAGATGCTGAACTTGGATCACGTTATGGTATCGAATCATTGTTCCGTTTCTATAGTTATGGACTTGAGAAGAAATTCAGACCGGAAATTTATAAGAATTTTATGAAAGATTGTGTGGTTGATGTTAAGAAGGGTGAATTGTATGGATTGGAGAAATTGTTCGCTTTCTTGCAAAGGTTTGTTTTTTCTTTCTTGCAAAGGTTGTAATTCTGCAATAAATATCACTTCAAATTGAGAACCTGAATTCCCAGGTTGAAATTTTTATGAAAAATAGTAAAAATTTTTCCTGGATTTTATACGTTTCAAAAAAGAAGCAATAAAAAGTGTTTTTTTTGAAAATTAATGAATCCTTCTGGTTGTACAGATAATGCTACAAAATATTTGACAGAAATCTCATCAAAAATGAAAAACTAAAACTCGTTTTTTCAGATACAAAAATGCGAAACATTTGGTCGTTGAACCATTTTTGGAGGAACAATTGAAACAATACAAAACAACCGATGATTTCAGAGTAAGTTTTTTTTAAATGTTTTTTTGAAATTCAAAATTGTAATTTCATCATTTTCAGAACAAGCCACAAAACGCTGCTACCAAAGCCTGAATATTAACATCATCTGTTCTTCCCTTGGTTTCTCCATCTCAAAATCCCCCGCATTTTTCCAGTATCTATTCACCTTTCAACTCTAATCATATTTCAAATTAAAATCCAATTTCATTTCCCCCCACATCCTCTCTTTTTTCATCCAAGTGTCCTTTTCACCACAAATTTGCTCAGCCTTTTTTCATCCCCGTCCAAACAAATCTTCTCTTTCTTTCTTTCCCACAAAACACAAAATCCTTGTTTATCTCTTCTTTTTTTTACTCATTTTTGTTGTTACTATTTGGAAATTCTATAGTTTTATTCTTTTTCTGTCGGCTCCCTTTAGGTATGCACTGTCTCCCCCCACAACACATGAAAATGTATCTTTTCTTATAAAGTGGTAATATTTTCTTCAAAAAACCACGGTTGTTATTAGTTTTGGAGAAATGCAGCAAATCCTCCGGTTTTTGTCTCCTCTCCGTTTTTTTTGTTTAGCGCCTTGTAGGTCATTTATTGTTATCTCCACCCTTTCCCCACCCAAAAATACCCTATCCCCCTTTAAATGCTCACGCAATCTTCTGGTTATCTCCCCTTCCCAAAAATTAGAACTTTTATAGTAGTTATTAGAATCTCCCCTGATTTTTTGTTGATGTTTTCTTTTTTATTCAAACCCTGCCTCTTTTCCCCCAAAAACTCAAAATGAAATAAAAATAATATTAAAAATATTTGAAACGTACATATATAATTTGTTATGCTAACTTTCATTTCATTTTCTTTCGCCCCCACTTTTTTTGTGTCTCATCATTATTTTATTCGTCTCTCTTTATCATATATGTTTTTTTCTGCGTTTCTTTTTGTTCATCAACGAAGTATATACTTGTCCAATATATCCACCAACTCTCTCCCAACTACAATTTGATATTATCGATGTTTTTGTGTTTCCCGCCAAGATGATTTTCACCGCCCAAATCTATTTGTTGTTTTGTGTGTGTTTGTGAATTCATCACGGATTATTGTGTATTATTTTATTAATGGACGGAATAAATGTGAAAAATACAAAAAATGCGATTTTCTTATGATCAATCATTCGATTTTGGAAGAAATATATGTTACTAGGATCAACAATTATCTGAAAAATAGTTTGAAAATTTTGGCAGGCTTAGAAAGTTTCAGATGAATTCCGCATATTCGAGGCTGAAACAATTGTATTTAGGATTTATACCGATTTATCCACTTGGATATATTATGGTGCATGGTAAGAGGATTTTTGGGACGGGGAGCTTGAAATTCATGCAGATTTTTTTAAATTTAGGTCAAATTCGGGCTTCATTCAACAAAAAACAGGATTTCTTGAAATTAATGTTTTCAGGATCTACTAAAATAAATTTTTGAAACTAAAACTTGAATAAATAAGAAATTCAGAACAGTTCAATCGAACTCCTTGAAATAATCTATATTTTCACTGGAATCTCCAAAAATCGGATTTTTCAGCTGTTTTAACCTACTGAGCCCCCCTAACCCTTCCCTACATCTCAAAACATTCCAGGATTCCGCGGAGATCAAGTTTGGTCAAAAATCTACGTAAATCGCTCATCAATCGAACCTAGCGAACAATTAAAAGAGCTCGTTGAGCAAGAAATCGATAAAATGACAAATTTAAAAAAGGCCAAATTCCACGTGTCTCTCACAGATGATATGCAACCAAAAGTATATGGTGGATTATTTTTGACAAATGGCGCAGAATTACAATTTCCGTTGAGATTATCATTGGATGATGTGGAAACAACGAGAAGATGCGGAGCTAATTTGGAAGTTGATTTGGGATTGAGCAAGTTTGTGGATTTTTGGGGATTTATAAGAAAAATATTTGAAATCAGCAAAAATCAAAGAACCTCAGCTCATGAAACCCAAGGAAAAAGGCTCCAATTTTTTCTGGTTGTATCCTGGAAAATAACCAAAATTATATACGTTTCAAGATTTTTTGTAAATTATCAATCAAATTTAAATCAAATTTAAATTTTGATTCTTTCCCTTTTAAATAAGTCTTCAAAATCTGCAGATATCGTCGAAAAGTAGAAGTAAATAGCGATGCTGGCGATGAATTAATATCTCGACTTATGTTATCCGATTCAGCAAAAAGGTTTTGTGTTCAACGCGAATTACAAATTGCAAATAGTGGCGAATTCTTTTGTGCTCCAATTTTTGCGTGGTTTACGATTAGCTCAATCGGATATGGAATTTTTAATGGAATCGCGAATTTTGGCGGACCTTGGTTGGCTGTTTTTAGTGCTGTTGGTTTTACATTGGCTGGATTTCGGCAGTTTTCGAGAAGTTTTGAGGGATATAAAATGAGGAAAGCTGATGAGCAAACTGTTAAATTGTAAGCGATTTTTTAAATTAAAATTTCGAATTTTTTGATCTGCTCAATCAAGATCTGTACATCACATTTAAAAATTGTGAAAATATTTAACGAAATTTTGAAACGTATAATGTTTTGCTTATTTTTCCAGAGGCGAAGAATATTTGTTGGGAGCAATTGATTATTTGAAATCTTCGATGAAATTAAATCGATTGATTCGACAAGTTCTTGGAGAAGAAGGCGAAAAACAAATCACAAAATCTGGAGATTCTTTAGTCGATCCAATTCCAATTTCAACAAGAATTCGAGAAATTCGCAAAATCTCGAGGAATTTATCGAAAAACTCTGAGGATTCTTGAAATTTTTCAAATTTTTTTAGTAGATTTTCTAGTTATCTAGATTTACGGGTTTTCTAGGTCAATAAATTATTGTTTTTTTTTGTTTTCATTATTTTTGTTGATGAAAATTGAAAATGAAACAAAAAAGGTTTGAAAATCCTTGAAAATTCTTTGAAACAGTAAATTAAATCTAATTTTTTTATCAATATTTTTCCAAAGGAAGAATGGGATACGCGGAATGGAATCAAAAAGCAACTCTGTGGCTGCAGGTTAGGATTTTAACATTTTTGAGAAATTTGAATATAAATCAAATTTTAGACAAAAATTGGGCGAAAAGCGAGGATTGGATTATTAGCCGCCACTGTTGTTTCGTATCCAATTGGATCGATTTTGATTAATGGACCCTTTGTAAATTTGACTTTTCCTAAGAGGTTAGGATAAGTTTAAATTATAGATATATATTTTTTAAAGAGATTTTTAAAAACCTATTCACAAAGGCCAAAAAATCTATATTTCAGAAAAGCCTAGAATTTTATGTGACTTGAAAATAAATCACCAAACCCAAGCCTTTGAAAACTTGAGCTCTAAAAATTCTTTGCTCGAAATTTCCAATTAAAATCATTTTCATTAAAAAAAATGTTTTTTCAAACGAATTTCCCAATTCTTAATGTTAAAAATTTACATTTTCATATTTTCCCAGCTTCAAATTCCATTTCATTTCAAAAATCAATAAATATCCACATCATTGATCAACACCAAAATTGTAAATATTTATTTATTTGTTTATTTTTCAATTTACGAACTTCCCAAATATTTATCAAAAAAAACCTTTCACCAAAAACTAACCCAATCATATTTTCTTCAGATATTCCATCGAAAACCTGCCAACTCGTCTCTCAAAAATCGCCGACGAAGAATATCAGCGATTCTTGGAGCGAGAAAATCGTGTGCCAAAAGACGCGGTTTTCAATTTGCACATTCAGAAGACACTGGATTCTTCAGATGATACAGTTGCTTCGGGTTCTTTAGGAGTTCGGACTGGTTTATGTGTGGCGGTTCCATTTTATGCGAGATTTGAGAGTGTTCAGGATGCTTTGGATTATTTTAGGTAGGTGTTTTGTAGGGGGAAAACCAAATAAATTCAAGATTTTTTTTTCATAAATTTAGAATTTTAGATTTTCAAATCAAAATTATACAAATGAAAGAAGAACTTTGGTCTGAAAAAATCTGAAATTTCCAGCTTTTCCGGAACCCAAAAACTTGAAATATGAAATTAATTTAGGGTGTTAGAGTTATTTTTTAGAAAAGTATAGCAAAAATTTAGGCTTGTGAAGCCTAAAAAAAATTTAGGCTTGTGAAGCCTAAAAAAATTTAGGCTTGTGAAGCCTAAAAAAAATTAGGCTTCTGAAGCCTAAAAAAATTAGGCTTCTGTAGCCTAAAAAAATTTAGGCTTCTGAAGCCTAAAAAAATTTAGGCTTGTGAAGCCTAAAAAAATTAGGCTTCTGAAGCCTAAAAAAATTTAGGCTTGTGAAGCCTAAAAAAATTAGGCTTCTGAAGCCTAAAAAAATTTAGGCTTCTGAAGCCTAAAAAAATTAGGCTTCTGAAGCCTAAAAAATTAGGCTTCTGTAGCCTAAAAAAATTTAGGCTTCTGAAGCCTAAAAAAAATTAGGCTTCTGTAGCCTAAAAAAATTTAGGCTTCTGAAGCCTAAAAAATTAGGCTTCTGAAGCCTAAAAAAAATTAGGCTTCTGTAGCCTAAAAAAATTTAGGCTTCTGAAGCCTAAAAAAAATTTAGGCTTCTGAAGCCTAAAAAAAATTAGGCTTCTGTAGCCTAAAAAAATTAGGCTTCTGAAGCCTAAAAAAAATTAGGCTTCTGAAGCCTAAAAAAAATTTAGGCTTCTGAAGCCTAAAAAAATTTAGGCTTCTGAAGCCTAAAAAAAATTTAGGCTTCTGAAGCCTAAAAAAAATTAGGCTTCTGAAGCCTAAAAAAATTTAGGCTTCTGAAGCCTAAAAAAAATTTAGGCTTCTGAAGCCTAAAAAAAATTTAGGCTTCTGAAGCCTAAAAAAAATTTAGGCTTCTGAAGCCTAAAAAAAATTTACAAGGGAACCTTTTTTACTCAACACCTTGATGAAATTTTGTCCAGAGACATCTTTTGGGGTCATAAGAACACCCTAAAAATTTAAGTTACCCAATGGACCTATGAGCTCTCTCTCTGACCTCTGGGCTCTCTCTCTCTGACCTCTGGGCTCTCAAAAACTCAAAAAAGGCCTAAAAATGGTCATAAAAGTCATCATAGCTCTATTTCAAAAATTTTTTTGAGAGAAATAAAGTTTCAGATATTGATCAGCATAGTCGATTACCTAAAAGTAAATCAATAAAAAACATTTTTTCGAAAAATTTTGAAGTTTTTTTATTTTTGGGCTGAAAATTCATGAAAATTCATATGTGCCCCTCCCTGCTCATTCTTTTTTTCAAAATCAAAAATTTTTCGGAAAATTTTATTTATTGATGGTTTTTGGGTAAATCGACCACGCTGATCATCATCTGCTACTCAGTTTTTCATAAAATTGATCGAGAATTGAGTTATGACGTGTTTTATGAGCCAATTTTTAAACTTTTAAGAGCCCAGAACTTGGCTCAGAGGTCCATTGGGTAACTAAGATTTTTAGGGTGTTCTTATGGAAAAAAAAGCTGTCTCTGGACAAAATTTCATCATGATTTGAAGTGTTGAGTAAAAAAGGTTCCCTTGTTAGGCTTGTGAAACCTAAAAAAAATTTAGGCCTGTGAAGCCTAAAAAATTAGGCTTAGGCTTGTGAAGCCCAAAAAAATTTTAAAAAAATGATCAATAAAATAACTACTTCATTTCTCCATTTTCAGCTTTCTCAACTTTCTCGAGTTTCATTCCGCTTTCTTTTTTTTGGTGGAGATAAATCCAAAGCTTTCTCTTTAAATTTCCATGATACAACACATTCATTAACATATTCCACTTCCGCATCGAATTTGGTTTCGAGCCTGAATGAAAATTTTGATTCAAGAGATTTAAAAAATCACAAAACTTACACTATTTTCGTGTCAGTGTCAACGATAATTTCTAGATGTTTGTATAGTTTCAGAATTTTCGCAGGTGAAATCGCAACAGAATGAAGAATTTTTTGAAAAAATTTTCGATAACTGAAAAAATTATTTTTTAAATAGTGATTTTGAATTTTAAAAAAACGAACTACGATGCTAAATTAGCTGCTGTCCTATTGCTTTTTTTGTCCTCGATGAATTTGTTCCAAATTCGTAAACCTTTTGGCCGAATTTTTCTAACTTCTTCAGCTCCAAATAATTCGTCAAACAAAAATTCTGCCATTTGTAGGCGATCTTCGTCATTAAATGAAGATCTACTCATTTGTGTTGTTTGAGTATTATAATTTTCTTGATCATCTTGAATTTCAAGATCTTTTTCTTGATCCATTACAATCTACACGTTTCGAAATATAAAGAATGAACGAAAAATCTAAATTCCTGCCTTTTTTCTGCCGGCCCTTGGAATTCTACGAGTACACGTGATTTAATTGTTTTTTTGATTTCATAAAAAATATTGACCAATTTTAAAAATGAGGTCCTGGATTTTCTTTCATTTTCCCTATAAAACTTTCACTTTTTGATGGTTTGAACTTTGTGTGAAATAAAAACAAGAAAAGGAAAACAAAAACACCATTATCTAATTTTCATTACAGAGAAAAGTATAGTGATGGTTTCGATTTTCTTGGCGAAAAAGTTCCGATTCGTTGGAGTTCCGATGAATTGACATCACAGGATTTTGCCGAATGTTTTACGCTCACTGAAAACGCTTATCGATTTTTGTTCCTTCGCGATTTATATGCGCATGATGGATATTCGGCATTGGCACAAAGAAGTATTTCGTGGGCGACTTGGACCACTTTTAGCTCGATTTTTACATATTGGATACATAATGTGAGTGGTTTTTGAATGAGGGCGCCTGAAACTATCAAAAAAAAATTCCAGAGTTCAAGATTGTTTGGTGGAACTGCTGCATCATTTGCAATTGCTTATCCGATTTTGTTAGGAGCCGCTTGGTATGCAAATACACAATGGCATTTGTTATATAGGTGAGCGATGTTTGTGGGGAGGTTTTTGTGAAATAAAAATTTATAGAGGTTTTTTAAGACACTCGAGTTCGAGGCAATATTTTTTCTGATCACTTTTCCGCGCCGAAAATGACCCCATTGCTCATTTTTACTAAAATTCTATCATAGAAAATTGAAATCTGAACATTTTAGCAAATAATTAAAAAATCTGAAGGTCTAACATTTTCTCACAGACTTTTTCTAGTAAAATTTAAAATGACTCCCAAACCCTCAATTTTTTGTAGATATTTGACTGATATCCACGCTGATGCTGAAGCTGGTCGAGCCTCATTTGCTCACGCCGAAGGTGGAAAAGAATATTATTGGAAAATGCTAAAAAGAAATCGAATAATGCGAGATATCAAACCATCTCTATACACACAAATCACAGCAACTGGAGATATTCGAGGAATTGCAACACCAATTATAACAAGATATGATCATTTGAAAGATGTTAATGAAGAAGATGATGAATTAAAACAGGTTGTTAATATGGATGATTAACCTTTTAGTTGTTTTTTGGTTGTATTGTTTTTAGGATTTTTTTTAAAATTTTAGTCAGTTGATTTTTATAATAAATTTTTTTTTGAGTTTTTTTTTGAGCTCAATCTTTTACAAAAGTTATAACAACTTTTCCTTGAATACCTTTATCTCAAAAATAGTCATCAAAATTTTGTAATTATTTTTTTTAGACCAAATGGGGGCTCTTGTTGGATTATCAGCTTGTGCGATTTCATCGATTTTATTTGGATCGACATTTGTTCCAGTCAAAAAAGTTGCTGCGGGAAATGGTGGGTTTTTTGGGAATTTTGAATTAGATTTTTTCAAACCTCGAAACTCCAAATAGAAAATACTCACGCAAAAGTGATTCTGATTTCCCAATACTGAAATTTCTATTCACATTTTTTGAAATCAGTTTATTTATGAAATGAAGTTTGAAAAAAATTCATTTCTTCAATTTTTCAACACGTTTACGTGGAAAATTCAACATAAAAATAAAAAATCATTTCAACTTTTATTATTTATACTAGAAATGGTTAGGATTTGATTGAGGTAAGTTGTATGGAGCAAAAACAATACTGTAGATTTTAGTCTCCGAGTACTGTAGATCAGGCACCCAATAAACTGAGTATGTTTATTTCCTCAAAAATGAAAAAAAAAACGTTTTGTCAATTTATACAAAATTAATATTAATATTAAATGCAATAAAAACAGTTATTACAAAGAACATCGGGAATTATAATTCAATTTTGATTGGATAATTCGAAGTTTAGAAGATCCTCTTCGCATATACAGAACAAATGATCGTATTCGATTCCATGAACAAATCTGCATTCCGCATGAATTCCGTAAGCATTTAAAACACTGTTTTCCAAGAAAAGCTTGATCGATCGAATTTTTTGTTTATTTGTATTCTTAGCAAAATTTACTTTGAAGAAGGGCTTCTGTTTATCATGATGTTTGAGTTTCTGAAAATATATGAATCGTAATATGAAATTGGTTTTTTAAAGGAGTTTAAATAAAAAACTCACTATTATGGAATCTTCGTTTCTTTCATAAATTGTTGGTTTTAAACTAATTATCAAATTATAAGTGAATTTCATTGCTTCAAAAACATCATCGATATTTGTAAGACATTTAATCTTAAAGAATGTGAGTATGGTACCATCCATCATTTGTGAACTCCAATCCTTTCCAGTGAATTTAAAATCTAGAGGTTTATATGACGCAATAAGGTCAATAGTCATCTGATTGATTTATTTACCAGAATAGGTTAAAACGTTAATTGATTTACAACAAAAAATGTTCTTCAAAATTTCCAGTGGGATTTCTTCTTCTTCTACAGTTATGCTAAGGCAATCGCATTTTGCATTTTTGAAGAAATAATTCCATTGATTCAATGAAATTGTTCTAGTCGATGGAATTGTAAATTTCCATGGAATTATTCTTGTCAATGAAAAATCTCTCAAAAATGTTATTTCTAATCGAAGTTCTTTTTTGTTGTTGTAATACACGTTAGCATCACATTTTGGACCATCGATCATCCAACGTTCTAATTTATGAGCGTTTAGTAGGAACTTTGACGAGTTTTTGAGGTTTTGAACATCTTCGTATTCAAGCTTAAAAACAATATGATTTGGAATAGCACAAATGGTTTGAAAACTTACCTTCGCAAAAATGGCGCCAAGAATTTCGGCTGGCAACTTTTTAATCGGAGGTTCTCCTCCTTCTTCTTCACTTTGTCTGGCAAATGGCTTCATAAAAAAGTTTAGAAATTCGCCAAGCATCAAGAAAATGATCACCTTTCGAGAAGGATTGATTTCGTGCAATGAATAATATTTTTGCACACACCAAGAGATGGTGGGACGCTCGAAAATTATGACACAATGTAGCAACCTACTTTTGGGCACAGTGTTGGCTTGTATGGTTCTCCAGCTGTTATTGAGTGTTTAGGAAGAAAAAAAGCTGCTGATCTCCTGGCGGAGCACAGAAAACGAGAAGGAAGACTCAATCTTTTTAAACAATCGTAAAATGGGTTATGGTTTTAAAACCCTGACATGTCTATTCACATTTTTTGAAATCAGTTTATTATGAAATGAAGCTCGAAAAAAATTATTTGATTAATTTTTCGATCATAAAACAAAAAATACAGTAGGCAAGGTACTGTAGATTGAAGACCCGCAGTGCTGTAGATCAGGGACTCAGTATACTAGTTGCATTTTTGCCCAGTGAAATACAAGTCAAATATTTATTATGCAAAACAAAAAAGGCTCGTTATTTTCTATAATTAACACATCCATCACATTCACAATATTCTTTACCAATTCCACAATATCCACCATTTGAACAACAATATTTTGAATCATCATCTGGATTACAAATTGCAATTTTTCCATTTGATAAAAGCGGTGCCTCTTTTCCACATCTTCCTTGTTTTCCAATTCCATCTTCTGAAGTAAACCATTCAATATCTCTTGTTGGTTTTATTGGTTCTTTCAATATTAATTGTGGATCTTTTCGATAATTCAAACAAGTTTCACAATCACAATATTTTTCTCCACTTCCACAATATCCAGCAGATCCACAACAAGCATATCCTGGATCATCTGGATCACAAACTGGATAATATCCATTTATCAATGGAGCTGATTTTCCACATTGTCCTTGTTTTGTTTCATCTGAATTTTCTGGAGTCCACCAACGAACATCATCAATTGGAACACAATTATAAGGGTTTTGATTTGAAGAAGCAGAACATAAATCAGCAGATGATACAAGTGATAAAAGTGTATCACTATCATCATCTAAATCTAATGCCCAAACCATTAATCCTCCAATATTTTTATCAATTGCATAATTGATTTTTTCTTGAATACTTTGTTCATTTTCATAACCCAAAAACTTTCTTGCTCCACCATTCAAAATATAAGGTGTTTTTGTTTTATCATGCCAAATACTTGCTCCTTTATTCCATCCTTGTCTTTCTAAATTTCTCCATCCAACAAATCCTCCTTCAAATTTTCCATTTTTCTCTTCAGCAGTTCTCCACATTCCATCTTTTCCATCAATTGAATCCAAAACATTATCCCAATATCTTCCATAAAATGGAATTCCCATTGATAATTGTTTCGATTTCTTTGTTTTACATGAATAATATTTCATTGTAAAATCAGTGTTTAGTTTTCCCGAAAATCCATCAATTGTTCCATAATATAATGGTGATGGTGGTCCAGTATAAGCACCCCATTTTGATTCCCAAGCACCATAATAATCATATGTCATTATATTCAAAAAATCAACATATTTGAGAAGATTATCAAAATCATATCCTTTTCTTAAATTCCATTCTCCAGCTGCTGTTGCCATTGTTATCAAATATTTTTGTTTTCTTCCTTTTTTCTCTTGAAGATCATCTAACTTTTCACGAATTTCTCTCATTAATTGTACATGATTATCTTTATCAGCTCCATCAATATTCGGATATTCCCAATCAATATCAATTCTATCAATATTATACATATCAATAAATTTGATAATATTATCCACGAGTCGGCTGGAATTTATTGACTCAGCTAATCTATTTTTCTTTCTATATCTCTTACCTTCTTGATTCCGAGTTAGAGCAACTTGATGAGAAATACTGTGAATTATCCCATCCTCCAATTGCAAACAATACATTCACACCTGATTCGACTTTTCTAGCTTTCCTTGTCATATCCAAAAACCTTGCTTCCGCTCTACTATCAGATTTATCACTTGTGTCATCAACAGCAACTTTTCCGAATTTCAAATTTTGGTTTCCTTCGAGTTCAACAAAAGCGAAGATCACATGTGTCAATTTTCGAAGTTGATCTTCTGTTATCTCACGATCTCCCCATCCCGTATAATATCCAACTATACGCTTCCCACAACTTGCAGCAGCTACCGATGCTGAAATTTTCTAGGTAGCCCGTGTCGCATTTTCAGTGCAAACTTACAAGTTCCAGTTGGTTCTATGGCAATCTTCTCTGTTTCTTCTTCGTTTTTATCACTACACGGCTTTTCCCATGCGCCTTTAAGATCATTTTCTTCGCCAGAATTTCTTCCGAAGTATATCCCATCATTCTGAAAAAACTGATATTTATAAAATTGTCACGTGGTAGCAGTTTAAAAATGATGTTTTCAAAACGAAACATAGTTCACCTTAACCACATAATAAAAAGTCTTCTTTCCGGTTTGCTTCGATTTCCCACCATAAACATCAAACCCAATTTTCTGCCCGTTTGAATCCAGAAATTCACAAACAAATAAGGTTCTCATATGTGGCTTAAACGAAAATCCATTTCTGTCTTCCATTTTGCCCCATGGAATGTTATCATCTCCAGACCAACATCTTCTTTGTATCTCATTTTCCTTCTCGTTTGCACAATTTCTTTCATTTCTTAAAATTATGGCAGCTTCACTTCCAGCTTGACAACCAAGAATTCGTGGATCATTGAATTTTTCATCGTACAATGATACACCACTCCATCCGAAAAATTGAAACATTCGAACTTCGAATTGTGTATAAGCTTTTCCATTTTCCCAATCATCAGCTCTCATTTTACAATAATCTTCGCATTCAAATGCTCCCATATCACACATTTCACTAAATGGCAGATCTGTTGCTTTGATTTTGACACCATATTTAAATGTTACAACCGCAAGAGATATTTCTGTGGAAACTGATACAAGTCCAATAAATGGTGCATATTCGAATTCAACCGCACTCCAACATATTCCAGATACAATTTTGAGAGCTCGCAAAAGTTTTGAGCCAATTACACAAACTGAAGCCGACAGTGTTGTGCTCACACTGCTCAATTCTTTCAAATAATTCTCTCCAACATCTTTCGATGATCTACAATCATTCGAATCTTGCAAACATGTTGTCAAAGTGTCTGAGGAATATTTCACGAGTGGAACACACATACTTCCTTCGAATGAGACTTCGATTACTACAAGTGGAATTGTACAATCAGCTCCGAAACATCCAGATGCACCACTTCCAACTTTTTCGAAAATATTTGATCCACTTCCTGGCCATGTTATTTGACATCTCTTGTTCCGTGAAAAAGACACGTTGTTGTTAGTTGGATCATTTATTGTGGATAGATATTCATTTTGTGCAAGAGCTTGACAATAAATCAATAATTCATCAGATGAGCAAAAGCAGCTTTTGATTTTATCACTGAAAATTGTTTTATTTTGAGTTTTCGTAATGTTGATTATTATTAATCAACATTACTTCTAGACATTACCTGAAAGTTGATTTTCTGATTTGATTACAATAAACATCTCGTTTCATCGGTGATTGATTATCAAGTATTATTTGAATATTCTGATCAGTTTTATAAAGTTCTTTCAACTTCTTATAAACAATGGTGTTGCCTATTGATTCCATAATTTGTTGGTTCATGATTTGCGATGTCATTTCGTTTGGATTCTTCAAATATTCTTGATAAATTTTGTTCAAATTTGTATCTATAGCTCCCAATTTTTGAACAATAGTTTGCTGCGCAGTTTCAGTTTTCATTCCAAGTGATGAAATACAAACAAGACTTGACCATTTGAGTTTTGCTGAATCGGAACAATTGATTCCCTTGTTCAAAAGTTCGAGTCTCTCAATACTTATTGATGAACTATTTGATATTTTGTGACATCTATCATTATCTGGATTGATTCGAATTGTTTCTATACATTCATTCGCTCCAAAATATCCAGTTCCAATACAAACTTCTTTTGTGATATTTAATGAATCACATCGTAGTGTTGGATTTAGTGTCATCAAAAGTTTCATGCTCATTTGATTTCTTTGAATGATTATATCACAAGTATCATTAGGTTGGATGAATTCGAATCCGGCGCATTTTACAGTAGAATTTGATTTAACACAAATATTATCTTGTTGATCAAAGTTTGGATTCAAAAAGATTAATTCATCAATAGAAATGGAATTATGTCTAGCCAATTCAAATAATGAATTTCCATCTCGACTCTGATATTCAACACAAGTAATATTAGCCAATTCTCTTTCTTCGATTGGCCAAACACAAATTCTTCTTCCGATTTCAAGCGATTCCGAAGTACAATTTATATCCGAATTATATTCTTCAATCTCAAAATGTGTTGTTTTGAATATTTGACTGATTTTTGAACATGTATCTGTTTTATCTTTAATTTGATATCGAAATTGGCATGTTTGATTATCTGATATACAAATCGTATCTCCTGGCTAAACAAATTCCAATTAGTTATCTGGTTGGTTTTTCCAAAAGTTAAAACTTACAAAAAGTACATCACACTTGTATTCGTGTTCAAGTTTTGTTACATTCAACCCATATTCGTTTGAAATAGACCAACAAGTGTCAGATTCTTTGACTATCACAAATTCTCCACATTTATCTAGATCCTTTTCAATCATCGGAAGAGAATATATTCTCGGCTTTGTAAATGGTTTTTCTATTTCCAGACATAATTCTTGTCCACTCTGAAAGTAGGGAAGTTGCAATACTCTTTTTTTGGAATTGTTTATTTTTTTGTCTGTAAAGGTTTTGTTTATGAAAAAAGTTCCATTTAGAAATATGTCATATGATTTTTTTAATGAAAAAGGTATTGTGTTTGCTCTTCCAAATTATAAACACACCATCAAAGTATCACAATCCAAATGTGGATTATACACAAACAATTCGGCACTCGTCAAATTATTATCAATCATAATTTTGTAACAATAATCTCCACTTTTCGCTGTATACTTTTTCACGCATTTTGGTTGATTTTCCGAAGTTCCAACACAAATCTTATTAGCAACCCATAAATTATCACAATTCAAATTCTCGTTCCATTTTTTCAAATTGTCTACTGTCACACCAAAATCTCTTGATATTTTCCAACAAGAATCTCCAGATTTGATTGAATAGAAATTATTACAAAATAATCGACAATATGAACTTTGAAAAAATAAAAGTAGGAAAATGAGAAACGACATTGAAAATTGATATGTCAACTGATTGGGAGCGGAAGAGAAAACTGCTTGTTATTTTGTAGTTCAAAATAGTCATGGTATTGAAATTTGTATAAACAAATAACATTTAAGGGTGGAGTTTGAGCAAAAACTAAATAATGCTCATTTGAAAGAGTACAATCCTCGAAGTATTTTTTCTGGAAGCTTCTCAAACATTTGTTAAAAATTCTAAAGTTTGAAAAAACAGTGAAACTATTATAATTTTGTTCCATAATCAAATATATCTTACATTAATTTTCCAGGAATTTTCATTCAATGGATTATGTCAACAGCAATTCTTCTTGTTGGTTTCATTGTTTATGCAACTCAAGGTTTCCCCGAATTCGAACCTATTGCTGTTTTAGGAGGAGTATTTTGGGCAATCGGTAATTCGACAGCAGTTCCAATTATGAATTCAATTGGAATTGGAATGGGAATGTTAGTTTGGGGAACAACAAATTGTATTGCTGGATGGGCTGCTGGAAGATTTGGACTTTTTGGAATAAATGCAACTATTCCTGCTTTGCCAATTTTGAATTATTTCGGATTGGTTTTGGTGATTATTGGTGGATTTCTATTTTCTCAACTTCAACCAACTGAATGCATTGAAAATGAAAGAAGTCCACTTTTAGCTGAACCAGATGATGAACTTTTGGATTCGCCTTCGGAAAATAATGTGATTATTCCTCGAGATGATATACCACAACATCTTGGTGCACATCGAAATCGCAAAAGATTAATGTAAAGTTTTCTGTGTTATTTCAATTGAAGTTTATCGTTTGCCTTTTTTCAGTGCTGTAATTGTTTCATTGATTGCTGGTGTATTTTATGGTGTCACATTTGTGCCAGTAATTTATATTCAAGATCATCCAGAAATCTATCCAACTGCTCCAAAATCAGGTCTTGGATTCGTTTTCTCGCATTTTGTTGGGATTTTTGTGACGTCAACTGCGATTTTGATAACTTATGTGATTTATTCGAGAGTGAGTTTTGTAGAGAACAAAGTTATGACGTGGCAAAATTGAGTACTGTAAGAAAATTCGAATTTTTCGAAAAATTTTAAGATTCTCATCACCAGATCCTTTTTAAGAATTCCGAATCCAAAATACATTTTTTTTGAATTTATCAAGTATCTGAAAAAAATAAGAGTATTTGAAAATTCTGCTCTTTAAAAAATGGAATATTTGCCACGTCATAATTTTTGGATAAGATTTTTGGAATCTTTCAACAAAATTTTTGCAGAACAACCCATATGTGAGCAATAAATTGATTGGTCCCGGATTATTGGCTGGTGCAATGTGGGGAACAGCTCAATCTTCTTGGTTCGTTGCCAATGACAATTTGTCACAAGCTGTATCATTTCCAATTGTCTCAATGGTTCCTGGAGTTTGTGCCGCACTTTGGAGTGTCTTTTATTTTCGAGATATTGAAGGACCAAGGAATCTGAGACTTCTTGCCATCGCAGTTCTAATAACACTCACTGGAGCAATTTGTGTTGGAATTTCGAAATAATTTTTTTACTAATCCATGTATATATTTTTTATCAAAATGTTAATGTGTAAGTATAAGTACAATGTATAAATTGTGATATTTTGTGAGTGAATAAATAAAAATCTTGATTTATATGAATATGATTTTTAATGGTCCTATTTCTCATCAATAATTCGATCCGATTTGTTCAACCCTCAACATTTAAAAAATTAATTTCATTGTTTTTTTTCGAAACATTTTAATGTCTTTTCAAGCTTGCTAAGAACACACAAAATTAGATTTATAATTAAAAAACAGTGATAAGAGAAAAATTAATGAGAAAAATAATTGGCCTTTGGACATCGGTCAACTTTGATTGAACTATTGAAATTTATACCTACACAATAAGATCTTTGGTGTCTTCCACAACTTTGATGTTCAGATTACATCCATAAATATTTGAAACACTATTTTCCACGTATTCCTCGATCGATCGAATTTTTCGTTCATCTATCTTCGTAGGAAGTTGAAATAAGTAGAAGGGTCTATATTCAATGTTACGTTTGAGTTTCAGAAAATAAAAAAATCGTGATATGAAATTATGACGTGGATTCGAATCTAAAACTTCGATGAACACTATGCTATTTTGAAAAAGTCTGGAAAAAAAACTCACAATTGAAGAATGTTCGGTTTCAAACTAATTATCAAATTATAAGCGAATTTCATTGCTTCAAAAATATCATCAATATTTTCTGGACATTCAATCATAACAGCTGATAATTTTGGACCATCCAAAATTTGCAAATTTTGGTATATATATTTGTGAACTCCAATCATTTCCAGTGAATTGAAAACTTTTACAATGGTATACAAATGGTATCAAAATGAACAATTACAAAGACAAAATTAGGATTCACAGACAGAATTAAGTATTTGGGTCGCTCATATCCACATTAAATGAACGTGTTCATATCCATTCATATGTTTTCGTTTTTCAACCATAAAGACTGAATATTTGGAAATATCCAACTTTTGTGAACTCCAATCTTTTCCAGTGAATCTAAAACTTTTAGGTTGATATTTTGCAATAAGATCAATAGTCATCTGATTGATTGATTTCCCAAAATATCTAAAAACTCTGATCGATTTACAGCACAAAATTTTCCTCAAAATCTCCAATGGAATTTCTTCGTCTACAGTCATAATTAATTTTTCGCATTTTGCATTTTTGAAAAAATATTTCCATTGATTCAATGGAATAGTTTTTGTCAATTTGACTGTTCTTTTCCATGGAAGAATTCTTGTCCATGGAACTTTCCGAGTGATTGTTATTACTAATCGAAGTTCCTTGTTTTTGTAATAAACATGAGCATCACATTCTGGACCATCTATCATTCGACGTTCTGATTTATAGGCATTCAATAAAGATGTTGACGAGTTTTTGAAGTTTTGAGCATCTTCGTATTCAAGCTGAAAAACAGTATGATTTGGAATATAGCAAAAAAAGTTTTTCACCCAGTTCAAAAAATACTACAGTAATACTATATAAAATATGAAATAAAAACGTACCTTTGAAAAAATGAAGCCAAGCATTTCGGCTGGCAGTTTTTCTATCGGAGAATCTTTTTCTTCGTTTTCGTCTTCAATATTTCTGGCACACGGCTCCATAAACAACTTCAGAAATTTTCGAAACATCAAGAAAACGAGTACTATTAATGGATGAATTATCATTTTGTGCAATAAATAATATTTTTGCAAACAGAAATAGATGGCTTATCTGTAGTGAATGACACCAAGCGAAGATGGGACGCTCGAAAATTAGGACGCCTGATGCCAATGTACCATTTTGGGAACCCATTCAGAGACAGTTCTCCCAAATTCACATACTCTATCGCTTGAATACCGACAAAAAGTGGCGATGAAAATAAAACTGACAATTTCGCGCACTAATTTTGAGGCGTGGCAAAATTTCCATTAATTTAGAATCTGAATTTTTGAGTACTGTAACAATTCGAAATGACATGAAATTGTTTTAAAAAAATGAAATTTTTAACTATGAGATCCACATTTTGAAGTGATCAAGTCTCTGAAAAAAATTACAATACTCCAAAATTCTAGTTTTTGGAAAAAAGAAAGATTTTCCACGTCATAATTTCTGGATATGATTTCTTGTGATCGCAGTTCTTATCACATTCACTGGAGCAATTTTGATATTTTGTAACCAATTCAGAATTTGTCTCAAAACACTTTTTTAAAATTATCTCTTTATCTCCCATATCTTCTAAAAATAAGAAAAAAGTTTTAACAATTCATACAAAATTGATATTAAAATGAACAGTAACAAAGACAAAATTAGGATTAAAATATCATATATAACTTTGAATTAAACATTCGGGACGCGCATATACAACAAATGAACGTCATTATATCCATTTATAAGTTGCCATTTCACACCAGCTCCATAAATATTCGAAACACTGTTCTCCAAAAAATTCTCGATCAATTCAACTTGTTGTTCTTTTGTATCTCTAGCGAAATTGAATACGAAGTGAGGCTTGTATTTATCATCAATGTTATATTTGAGTTTCTGAAGATTACAAAATTATAATATGAAACTATGACATGGATTCGAATTCAATACTTCAATGAACACTATGATATTTCGAAGAAGATTACAAAAAACTCACAATTAACGAATGTTCGTTTTTTTCATAACTTTCCGGTTTTAAACTAATTATCAAATTATAAGTGAATTTCATTGCTTCAAAAACATCATCGACATTTTTAGAACATTCTACCGTAACGATTGAATATTTGGTAAATTCCAACATTTGTGAACTCCAATCATTTTCAATGAATTTAAAGCTTTTAGGTTGATATTTTGCAATAAGGTCAATTGTCATCTGATTCATTGATTTCCCAAAACAGTCAAAAACCCTGATTGATTTACAGCACAAAATGTTCTTTAAAATTTCGAGTGGAATTTCTTCGTCTACAGTCATATCAAATGTTCCGCATTTTGCATTTTGAAAATAAGATTTCCATTGATTCAATGGAATTGTTCTTGTCCATCGAATTTTTCGCCAAATTGTTATTACTAATCGAAGTTCCTTGTTTTTGTAATAAACATGAGCATCACAATCTGGACCATCTATCATTCGACGTTCTGATTTATAGGCATTTAATAAAGACGTTGACGAGTTTTTGAGTTTCTGAGCATCTTTGTATTCAAGCTGAAAAACATGATGATTCGAAAATTGCAAAAAAATGTTTTTTTTTACCAAGTTCAAAAAATACTACAGTAGTCCAATATAAAATATGGTTGCAATAAATAAACGTACCTTTGAAAAAATGATGCCAAGAATTTCGGGTGGCAGTTTATTAATCGGAAGTTCTTCTTCTTTTCCAATAAATCTTGAGAATAGCATCATGAAAAATTTTAGAAATTCTCGAAACGTTGAGAAAATGGGATCCATCAAAGAAAGGTCCATTTTGTGCAAAAAATAGCTTGTCTGTGGTGTATGTATAACACCAAGCGGTAGTGGGACGCTCGAAAATTATGATGCAACGTACCATTCAGAAACAGCTCTCCTGGATTCATATACTCTCTCGTTTGACAACTCTGTTTTTACCCTCGTCAATTTGTACACCTTGTGCACACATTTTTTCAACCTCACCATGAAAAAATTAATTCTTTCCAGTTTTAGGTTTTTCGAAACAATTTCATGGCCAAGATTGCTGAGAGTACAGTACGTAAAAAAAAGTATCATCAATTAATATCATAATTAAATGTAATAATAAAAATTGAGAAAATGAATACGGGAAGTGAGAGAGAAATAAGGAAGTTGGAATTTTATAGATCAACAAATTTCGATCTACACAATATAAAAAGGTCATTGGTATCTCTGACAACATTGATGTCCAGATTACATCCATAAACATTTGAGATACTGTTTTCCAAATATTTCTTGATTGATCCAACTTGTTGTTCATCTGTATTCTTAGCAAATTTAAATAAATATAATGGCTTATATTCTTCGTTATCTTTGAGTTTCTGAAAATAGAAAAAATTTAATATGAAATAATGACGTGGATTTATGATATTTTGAAGGAGTTTATAAAAAAAAACTCACAATTAAAGAATGTTCGTTTTCTTCATAAATTTCCGGTTTCAAACTAATTATCAAATTATAAGTGAATTTCATTGCTTCAAAAATATCATCAATATTTTCAAAACATTCAACCATAACAGCTGATAATTTTGGGACATCCATCATTTGCGAAATCCAATGATTTCCAACGAATCTAAAACTTTTAGGTTGATATTTTGCAATAAGATCAACAGTCATCTGATTGATTGATTTCCCAAAACATCTAAAAACTCTGATCGATTTACAGCACAAAATTTTCCTCAAAATCTCCAATGGAATTTCTTCGTCTACAGTTACAATTAGTTTTTCGCATTTAGCATTTTTGAAAAAATATTCCCACTGATTCAATGGAACAGTTTTTGTCAATTTGACTATTCTTTTCCATGGAAGAATTCTGGTCCATCGAATTTTTCGAATGATTGTTATTTCCAATCGAAGTTCCTTGTTTTTGTAATAAACATGAGCATCACATTCTGGACCATTGATCATTCGACGTTCTAATTTATAGGCATTTAATAGAGATGTTGACGAGTTTTTCAATTTTTGAGCATCTTCGTATTCGAGCTGAAAAACAGTAAAATTTGGAATATAGAAAAAATTCTTTGAAAAGTTGCGTTGAGTTTTCTCAAAATCATTCATATCTCTTTGGGCCGAAAAAATCAACTACAGTAATCCAATATGGTTCTCTTTTTTTGTAATTTTGTTCGAAGCTAACTGACCAAAAAATGAAAATACCACAAAAAATTACAAAAGTATTTACCTTTCCAAAAATGACGCCAAGAATTTTGGCTGGCAATTTTTTAATTGGAGCCTCTTCTTCAACCTTTTTTTCTTCTTCAATATAACCGACAAATGGCTTCATGCAAAATTTTAGAAATTTTCGAACAGTTGAGAAAATGGGCTCCATCAGAGAAAGATCCATTTTGTGCAATAAATATTATTTTTGCACACAGTAATGATGGCTTGTCTGTGGTGAATGACACCAAGCGAAGATGGGACGCTCGAAAATTAAGACGCCTATTTTTGCGACCTGTGCATTTGCAGTTATCTAGTTTTGGGAAGACACTGATGTTGAACTGGCTGAGCCCAGAAAACGAGCATAAATATAATTTCTAGAACTGAAAATTTCTAGAATCAAGGACTTTTAGTGATTACAGTTTTTACACTAACTGGAGCAATTTTTGTTGGAATTTCCAAATATCTAACAAAAATAATTTATTTACATGTATGTTGTTAATGAAGTACAATGTATAAATTTTTAATTTTGTAAGTGAAAAATATTTGAAAAAAAATGTGTCCTGAATTTGAATTCTATGGCGATAATCTTTTGATTGTCCATACTTCTTCATCTCTCTCGAATACAATTCGATCATGAAGACGATCCGATTGTCCTTGCCAGAATTCGAAATATCGAGGAATCAGAATATATCCACCCCAAGATTCGGGTTTTGTGATTGCTTGTCCACCTTCGCGTTCAGCTAACTCCGTAAGTTCCCGTTTTTTATTCTCAAGAAATTGTCGATTTGGAACAGTTTCCGATTGTTCACTCGATTTCGATCCGATTCGACTTGGTAATGGTCTCGAATTCCAATATTTTACCGCTAAATCATCGTCTAATTTATCAATTGCTCCTTCGATTCGAATTTGTCGAGATGTTTTTGGCCAATGAAAAAGCATTGCAGCATTTGGATTTTCCTCGATTTGCTGGCCTTTTCGACTGTTATAATTTGTAAAAAACGAAAAACCATCAGAAGTATACGATTTCAGCAAAACCATTCGACTAGAAGGACGTAAATCTCTGAAAAAAATAAACAATGACTTTTTCTCGAAAACTTGAATTTTGAAAACTCACTTTCCTACAGTTGAAACACAAACCGCATTTATTTCCTCGAATGATAAATCCGAAATATTTGCGATTTGCTTGAACCAAATATCAAAAAGCTTGAAAGGATCAGTGGTTGGCAGATTCTCTTCGAGGAAAAATTCCTCATCTTTGTTCCAGTATTTTGCACGGATTTCTGAAAAAAAACGTTTGAGAAATAAAATTTTGAACTCGCGCCTGTGCACACATAAAATGCGTCAATCTCAGACTGACGTGTTTATAAATCGCTTCGAGAGCCGAGCGCGGGAAAAATTATTTCGAAATAAAAAGTTGAAATTTCATGAAGTTTTTCACGCTTTCGCTGGCAAAGTTGCATCATTTGCAGTTCGGAGCTCTATTTCTGCAGAGATTGTTTACCTTGAATATCTATCGATGGAGTATCCATTGACAAAAATCGGCGAGTTGCTGAAAAAATCAATTTTAGTATAACAAATAAAAAAAAATCGATTGTTCGTTATTATTTTCATATACAATAATGATGACCTTCCCTTGATAAGGTTTTGTTTTTTCCCGAAAAATTGATTTGTTTTTTTGCGACTAACCCGTTGAAAAACGGCGAACAGCTGTGAACATTGAAAGAAATGGAATAGAAATCTTGAGATATGGTTTTTCCGCGTTAGGCTAACCTAGGATGTCACGGTTTTCGAAAGAAAAAACAATTTAAATAAATAAACAAGATGAGAAGAGTTTTGTTTATGACAACAAGAGTTGTTTTAAAGGGGGAGCCCTTTCCCCCCTTTAAAATGAATTTTGTGTAAACACTGCCAGACACCTAAATTATAATGGTCCCTAGTTACGATATGCATAAAAAGGACCCACAAAGCATAAATAATAACTCATTTGGTGTCCCCTTTTCCTCCTTCTCTCTTTTTTTCAAATATTTTCTGTGTTTTCCCTCTTTCTCCTCTCTCTGTTCTCTTTTTATTTGCGTTCTCGTTTTATCGTACTTTGCCAAACCTGCGAATCAAACTCGTTCGGCCACGCCCCTTTTCTGGCTTTTGTCATTCTTTTTTTTTCTCTGTCGCTTTTTTCTGAAAACTTGTTTTTTTGCGTTGTGAAATTATAAAATCGAGATTTATTGATTATTTCTGAAGATCCTGCAATGTCTGGTGGGACCATTATGGATACAATGACTTCGTTGCCACATCAAAATGATCAAAATGTTATTCGACATCTCACAAATTTGGTGAAATCACCAGCTGAAGGTGATGCGGATATTAAGAAAAAAGAAGATTCGATTATGGAGTTGGGAAATATATTGGCTCAAAATAAGCAAACCGAAGAGCTCAGAAAGGTTAGATTTTGAAATTTGTATGATAAAAAAACCGAATTTTTTTAGATGATCGAACAAACTCGTCCATTTTTGGTTTCTTTGGGAAAAGCAAAAGCCGCTAAATTGGTTCGTGATTTGGTTGATTTGTGCCTTCGAATTGATGATCAAGATGGAGATATTAAAGTTGGATTGGTTAAAGAATGCATTCAATGGGCGACTGAACAAAACAGAACATTTTTGAGACAAACTTTGACTGCTCGACTTGTTCGTCTTTATAATGATTTGCAAAGATATACACAAGCTCTTCCACTCGCCGCTGATTTGATTCGTGAGCTCAAAAAAGTTGATGATAAAGATGTTTTGGTTGAAGTTGAACTCGAAGAAAGTAAAGCATATTATAATTTGTCAAATATTGGAAGAGCTCGTGCTTCTTTGACTGGAGCAAGAACCACTGCAAATGCTATATATGTGAATCCACGTATGCAAGCCGCTTTGGATTTGCAATCTGGAATTTTACACGCCGCCGATGAGAAGGATTTCAAAACTGCGTTTTCGTATTTCTATGAAAGTTTTGAGGGATACGATTCTGTTGATGAAAAATTGAATGCATTGACTTCATTGAAATATATGCTTTTGTGCAAAGTTATGCTCGATCTTCCAGATGAAGTGAATTCATTGTTGTCAGCAAAATTGGCGTTGAAATATAATGGAAGTGATTTGGATGCGATGAAAGCGATTGCAGCTGCTGCACAAAAAAGATCATTGGCTGATTTCCAAAAAGCATTTGGTGCATATCCACAAGAATTGCAAATGGATCCAGTTGTTCGAAAACATTTCCATTCGTTGAGCGAAACAATGTTGGAAAAGGATTTGTGCAGAATTATTGAGCCATATTCATTTGTTCAAATTGATCATGTTGCTAAACAAATTGGTATTGATAGATCGAAGGTGAGAAATGAAAAGATTAAAATATTTGTAAACATTTAAAAACGTGAAAACGTGAAACCCATGTTTTCAGACGTCCGGATAATCTTTCAGAAAAAAAGTGACATATAAATCAACTCTCTTTTTATACCACTTTTCAATATCTAAATTTTTCAGGTCGAGAAAAAATTGTCGCAAATGATTTTGGATCAAAAACTTTCGGGCTCATTGGATCAAGGCGAAGGAATGTTGATTGTATTTGATATTTCACAAACTGATGAAGCCTATCAAACAGCTCTCGATACATTACACGCAATGGGCGAAGTTGTCGATGCACTTTATCAAAATGCCTCAAAACTCAACTAAATGTCATTTATTTTATTCACCCACATTTTACCCGTTTTTCAAAATGTATTTGTACAATATCTCGCCCATTCGATCCCTCCCTCTATTTTTCAATATTTAATTTTTAATCTGAAAATCAACGCGGTTAATATTGTCTACTAGGGGTAGCAATAATCTCTTTTCTTATTTCTTCCCTCTTCCTCCTCCTCCCCAATTTTTTGTGTAGAATTTTCCAATTTTTCTTAAAATCTATATATATTTATTCGAAATTTGTGTGATTTTTCTCGTTTTGACCCTTCAATGAATGAAATGAATGTCTTATTTTTCGAAATTTTGTTAAATCACGGTGTTTTAACGCGCGTTCAGGAAAAAATTTTCCAGTGATCAAAGTTCGCTCTATGGAAATGAGTGAGAATTTCAAATTAAGTTCCTTGGGGCGCGTTTGCTGCGCTTCATAATGAACACGGGTTTTTTCGTTCGTTTTTTGGCGGTTTTTTCAATTTTTCATGGGAAAGCTGCAGGTTTTTCTCGAAAATAAAATTATTGATTTTTGGCAAACCTCCAATTATTTATTTGAAAACTAGTTTTGATCTATTGGCACCGCTCCAATATTTTTTAATTTGGTTTTTTTGAATTTTTTCAGGCGAAATTTGAAATTTCATTGTGAATTTCAGTAATTCTCGCAAAAATGCCGATCGGTCATGTTATGAATCGATGTTCTTGTGCCTACATCGATCATTTGTTGCAACACAAAAGTATTCATCGCGGAAAATCGCAGATTTATATGTTCCAGGTAAGTTCTTTCGTTTTTAAGAATTTCAAAATATGATTATTTTCAGCGTTTGATTGTTGTATGCAGTAGATCTTCATTAGCTGTTACTCGACATGCTGCACGTGTTCTTCTTTCGCCTTTCGGATTTGTCGAAATTTATTCGAGTGTCAAAAAGTTTGTGGAAGAAAGCGATGCGATTGGATTGATTGCTCAGGTTTGCCCAGAAATTTTTTGAAAGGATTCAAACTATAAACATTTGGCAGTTTGCCAAAAATTCTTTTACAAAAAAGTCATTCTTAACATTTTAGATCACTTCCTATTCTTGCGAAGAAACTGGGTTCCGAAGTTCCACTGAAATAAAAGGCGCACAAAATTTGTTCACCGCGATTTGCGATGAAATAATCGAATATTTGCTGGAAGTCGATGAATCGAATTCGATCCCGGTTATTCGAGATTTTGTGAAGAAAATCATTTCGCATTTTCCTCCAACTCAATCACTTGCAATTCTCAATAAAATAACAACAAATACAAGAGTTCGGAAATTGTTGAAACCTGTCTTTTTGAAGTTTATTGAAAATTATGGTGAGTTTTATTGATTTATTTTCCGACAGAATATAGAACTCCCGGGCTTTTGGTGTGAGAAAAAAAAAAGGAATTTCATAATTTGAAAATGACAATTTTCAAGAATATAAAGCGTGAAAATTTCGCGTGACCTCTATCTTAAATTTTATTTTTCTCTCTTCATTCCTTAATAAAAAAAGGTTCAGAATATCCGGATTTGTATGCTTCAATTAGTCGACGAAATCTCGATCCAGTTTGTCTTATCGAAATTGTTGCCAATTTCGTCGCCAAAGAATATCAATTGGTATTGAGCGAGAATTGCGATTCGCTCAAATTTGTGCATAATTTGGTGCAAATTGTTGAAAATCAAAAATTGGTGAATGAAACGAATGGTTTGGTTGTTCAAGCATTGGCATTTTTGATTTATTCGACTTCGAGAAAACGAAACTTTTATGGGATGAGCGAAGAACATGTCAAAAATCAATTAGAATCAACTGAAACAACTAGTGATTTAGTGCTGGTGAATACAGCGATTCAGGATTCGGATAAAGAAGCGATTGTTAGGAAATTGGAAATTCATGGAACTGGTTTGACTGATGATGTTGAAGTATTTATTAGAGATGCTCTTATAACAAATCTAAATACTAGTGAGTTTTTTACCTAAGATAAGGGGAACAAGGGTTTTTTCGGGTTGAATTTTCATAGACCTTCTTGGCCTTGAATTTGGCACCAAAACTTGGAATTTTTATATGAAAATTTAGTCTGAAAAACTTACAAGTGTTTTGAATTTCCGCGCCAAAAGTAGGCATAATATTCACTAAAAATTGGAATTTTTAAAAAATGTTCTCATATTTTCCCAGCCTCTGAGTTTGTGACGTATGAAAATCTGAAAAATCTGAAATTTGAATTCCACAACCCCCCTCGCCCTATTTTTTTTTCAATTTTCCCCCTTCCAGTCACTACAAAATCCGTCGGAGCTGCATTCTTTTATATGTGTGTAACTATCTTGGAAATTGTTAGTTCTGGCGAAGAGCAAATCGAAGATCCAGATTCGGCATTATTCTGGAATGGTCAAATATTTGCACGAGCAATCAATCAATTTAGCGAAAGTAATGAGAATTGTCAGATTGATTGGATCGAAGTTTTGAAAGAACTCGATTGTGAAGAATATTTGTTTCATTGGCGAATTTTGAAATATATCGACGAAGTTTGTCGTGAAGCATTTAAACCACCCAAAGTATTTCCGATTCATTTTTTCCTTGGACAATGGAAATTTTTTGAAGCGCATCTTGCTTTTATTGGATGTTTGATTCGACATCCTTCATCTTTTGATTTATCAATTTATGAACATACAAAAGTTATTAGACCTGAAGACTTAGAATTGGAAAATGTTTTGTCAAATGAGAAAGTGGATGATAATATTTTAAAACTTTGGAATATTTTGGATATTACTAATATAATTTTAACATGCACAAGTAAAGAACCAAATATTTTGATTGAAATTCGACGAATGTTTGATATTGGATTCACTTATTGTCCAGATATTGTTGTTTTGGCATTAATTCGATCAACTTCTCCATGGGCACAAATTCGTTTGGATATTCTTCGATCATATATTCCGATTGTTATTTTGTCGAGTGAAAATATTGCGAGTATTTTGAATATTGCCTGGGGAGATCCGGATATTTTGAAACATATCAGAAATATTATTGTTCAATCAATTGCGGGATTATATGTACAGGATGATGAAGAGAGACTCGAGAAATTGTTGAAAGTTAGTTTTTATTGTTTTTAATTTCGGAAGATATTCAAGAATCTTCAGTCTTCCTGGATTTTTAATCCACGTCATAACTCTCAAATTCTTTCAGATAACTCATGAATTGAAACCGAATGGAATATCGGAAGTTTTGTCACTTTCTGCAAAAAATCTAACATTCATGATTGATTTTGCTTGTCTCGCCTCGAAACGAGAATATTTGAAACTCGAAAAATGGCTGGAAGAGAAGGAAAAAACACAAGGAGCTGCTGTAACTAATGCTGTTTTGTTGTATATTGAAAGACGGTATAAAGAACCGGAAATGTTGGAAGCTTGGAACAACGAAGAAGAAACTAGCGAACCGCTGCGAATTTTATTGATATTTGCCAATAAAAAAGCGACGGCTAAGCAAAAACAATTGTTTGCAAGCATATTTCAGGTAACTATCGATTCTACTCTTCTCTCGAAATCCACATTTTGTCTGTTTTCACTAGGAAAAACCCTTCAGCAAACAAACGGACAAAAAAAACGAACACACAAAAAATAAAAATTCAAATCGTGCAATTTTGAAATTGTCAATGGAGCAGCGCGTTGCGGTCGCGACGCGTGTCTCATTCGCGTGATTTTCCAATTCAATCCAACTTTTACCGTGTTTTTTGTGGTTTTGCGAAGGGTTTTTGAGAGTTTTGAATGGTTTTATAGAAAATAGGAAATGTGAATTAGTATATAGGCTTTGTTTAAGGTTCTTGCGTTTCGTAATAACTATTGATTTTTGAGATATAGATTTTTACATCTGTTTGTTTGTAAAATCAATTTTCCAAAGGAAAACTGTACTTTTCAGGTAATGAAAGAGAACTCGGGTCGAAGTTCGTCAGTCTCATCGGCTGGCGGACGAAATTCAGTTCAAATTGGACCGGCAGTATTCGGTTCGGGACCACCACCTGTGCCGATAACCATGCCGCCTCCACAACAACCACCAACAGATCAAAGACCACCGCCAGTTGGCGTTATTCAACAACCACCACCACCTATTGGACGACAAGTTTCCGGTTTCGGAGCTGTAGGATTGCCAGGATTTTCGGCTGCCGTTGGACAACCACATTTAATGACGCAACCACCGCAAATGATGAGTTTGGGACCATTTGGAAAAGGAGCTATGAAAGTTCAACCAGCACCTCCACAACCTTCGTCGATGTCGCCATCGAATCAAATGATTAGATCACAGATTCCACCATTGACTCAAAGACAGGTAAGAACTTGCATTTTATTTTTCAAAACAATTTTAACAATTGTTGAAGATGTTTCAGAACTCTCAGTCTGGTGGATGGCATGGTCTTCCACAACCAACTAGTCGAGCACCTGGTCCAGCAACTCCACAACATATCGATTTCCGACAAGGTCTACAAACTGACCTCTCCTCCCAAAGACTTGGAAGCACTTTATCACTGACTTCATCACAGAATCTTGATGATTCTGCAAATGTCAGTTTCGATGAAGACATCCAAGAAGAAGCCAACTCGTATTTCGAGAAAATCTACAGCACATCGAATGCAATGTCAGTCAACGAACTCATTGCTCTTCTCAAAACCTTCAAAACATCTTCAGTTATTCGCGAACAACAAGTTCTTGCATGTGTTGTCAAGAATTTGTTTGAAGAATATCGATTCTTTCATGAATATCCGGAAAGAGAATTGAGAACAACTGCAGCTGTTTATGGAGGAATTATTCGAGAAGGAATTATTAGCAATGTTCAATTTGCGACTGCTGTTCGAAAAGTTATCGAAGCTTTATCAGCAGAAGTGAATAGCATGTTATGGACATTTGGAATTGTTGCATTGCAATATTGTAGAAATAAATTGTGCACTTATCCAAAAGTAAGTAGGGCAGGTATTACTTTAGGGAGAAAAATCTGATTGTTTTTCTCGAAAAAATCATGAAGACTGTAATTGAATGACCTTTAAAGTATGTTTTTAATGGCCAAGCCTCAAAAAAAAACATTCTAAAGGATCATCCAATTATGCAAAGCCATGATTTTCCTTTTCGAGAATAAAAATTGATTTTTCTCTGCTTTTAGAAACTGGAAAAATGTGCTAATGAGGATATTATTGAATGTCATGCAATTTTTTATCACGAGTTAATTTTTTTCTTTGGTTGCTAGGCAAATTCTGAAAAGAAAAATTTATACTTTATTCGTTTCTTTGAAAAATAATTGATTATGAATTTCGTAACCCATATTTTTTTCAGGTTTGTAATATGATAGCAACTTGTGAAAATTTTTCGAAATTCCCGCAAAACTTGAAAGATTATGTGCTTGCCGGAATAAAAGGAGAAATGCCAGCTGATGCAGGAAGAAGTACACCAACAAATCCAGTGAATTGGGGAGCAATTACAAGAGCATCGTCGGTTGATCCGAAAACATCACTTCCAGCAAATCGAACGGGTAATTCAGTATTGTCTTATACAAATACGGATACACTTGTTACGGCCACTGAAAAAGATGGAGCTGAGATTGCGCAACCATGTGAGGCAATTGTCGATAAAATCTCATTTCTTTTCAATAATTTATCACATAATAATTTGACGGAAAAGAAGAATGAGGTTATTCAAATGATGGAAGAACATGGAGAAGGTTTTACTCGATGGCTTTCGCAATATATTGTTATGAAACGTGTTTCGATTGAGCAAAATTTCCAACCTCTTTATAATCAATTTGTGCAAGCAATTGATAATTCTTTTCTCGATTCTTGTATCAAACGAGAAACATTTAGAAATATCAAGGTGAGCCTTGTTTCAAAAAATAAAATTTCAGTTTCTCAATCTCAAATTTTTGCAGATATTGTTACGAACTGACAAACGAACGAATGTCGCCTCAAATTATAGTGATAGACAATTGTTGAAAAATTTGGGAATGTGGCTTGGTTCAATCACCATAGCTAGAAATAGACCCATTTTATTGAATGATCTTGATCTCAAATCGTTACTTTTGGAAGCGTATTATAAAGGACAAGCCGAATTGCTGTTTGTTGTTCCGTTTATTTCGAAAATTTTGATGTCGTGCAGTAAAACTACGGTAGGTTTTTCATTTTTATTTTCGTTTTCAGACACGCAGTTTTGATTCTTTCAGTTGTTCACATCGAAATGTGCTTGGATACGAAGTATATTAAAAGTTCTAGCAGAACTGCATAATGAACCGGATTTAAAAATCAATTTGAAATTCGAAATCGAAGTTCTTTGTAAAGAATTGAACGTGGATTTGAATCAATTGCCAATTGATGGAATTCTCAAAGATACTGAGAAACTTGTTCGTGTTCCACAACAATTGTGTGAAATAAAGATTCTTCAACGTCCAGAAGGTGTGAGTCCAGTTCCATCACAACTTCGATTAACTGGATCAGCTGATGCATTGGGTGGAGCATCGCCATCAATTGAAACAAAACCATCAACACCGCAACCAGAAGGAAATGATTTACTTGGACCTGGCGGAATTGGCGGAGGACAAGGTGGAGATGCACAGATTACACCAAATGTTACACACTTTTCGTATCATGATATCAATGTGTTGACTTATGAAGGACTTACACCGCATTTGATCATCAATTCTTCACTTCAATTGTTCCAGGTAAATCATGTTCTGATTTTCAAAAATTGATAAGATTTTCTAAATTTCAAGCTATCAGTTTCTAAATTTTCACAAAAAAATTTATTTGTTTTTTGCAGCTTCATCCACATGCTAAACATATGGTGAAATTGGCAATGACAAATGCTATAAAGGAACTCATAGGTCCAGTTACTGAAAGAGCTTTGAAAATAGCAATGACTGTGACAGAAAGTATGATCAAGAAAGATTTTGCAATGGATCCAGATGAGAAGAACTTGAAATTGGCCGCATTTCATATGATGAGAGCAATGACAGCTGGAATGGCAATGATAACATGCCGTGATCCATTGGCTAGTACAATGGTTGCTAGTTTGACACAATCATTTATCACATCATTGAAACCAACCGGATCGAATCCTGAATTGAAACAATTGATTGATGAAGCTGCACAAGCAATTACACAACAAAATATTGAATTATCGACTAATTTTATTGTGAAAACTGCGTGTGAAAAAGCATCGACTGAAATTGAAAAACGATTGGAACCGGAATATGCGAAGAGAAAAGCGGCAAAACAAAACGAGGAGAATTATCGAGATGAAGTTATGATGGCAATTCAAAATAAGTTGCCAGCGAAAATTGCGATTGCTCCAGGAAGTGTTGAAAAATCGAATTTGGCAGTTTATGAGCAATTTAGTAGTCGAATTTGTGGATTTAAACCAACCAACGATGATTCGACATCAATTGTTGTGGCTGATTTGGTTCAACAAGTTGGAGGATTGAATAGTGCAAATGCAAATGCGCCAATGAAAGAAATTGATGCGATCGTTGCGCAGATGCAACATTTTGTTAAAGAAGTTGATCAAACTACACAAGCTCAACCACATGTTGGACATAATGTAAGTTTTTGTTTTTTGGGAAGTTTAAAGTTATGTGGAAAATTTCAGGCTTTCCAATCGGTTCTCAATATTCGCGAATTGTTGCAACATGTTATTGTCGCTAGAAGTGCACAATCGCTTGTTAATTTGATCAATAAATCCGTAGAAAATCTTCTCGTTGCTTACCATTTCGAATCTGCAACCAAAAGTGAGTTGAATTTAAATTGATAAATTTAGAAAATTCACAAATCAGGCTCTTTGATTTGAAAAATCTTCAATCTCCTTCTAATATTCATTTTTTCCAGATTTGCTCGATGTTGAATGGACTCGCCGATTGCGTGATTTGTTTGTTGGAGTTATGCGACTTATGCAATCTCACTTCAATATTTCCGATTTGTCTCGACGTGTCACAACAGCTGTAATTAGTATCCGAGCTGAACATAAATGGAATATGGAAGGAATTGAGATTCTTCTCAAGCAAAATTTGATTCAAACCGCATTATGGGATCAACATTTGGCTGCTTCGATGGAAAGTTCGGGATCTTTGGAGCCGACAATGTTTGCGCAGAAGTTTGTGAGAGGATTGGGAATTTCGGATGCGAATAAATTGAACTTCTTGAAAGAGAAATTCCCATTAACATGTGAACAATTATCGAAATTACATGCTCTTCAAAATGCGACACGTGCTCAAAATGATATTTCGAATGGAGCAGCAGCTGCCGCCGCCGCAGCAGCCACAGCACATAATTTGAATATTGGATCACATGTTCATGAACAAGGCGAAAATCTTCAACAACAAAGAAACTTTGATGATCCAGATATGACACAAAAAGTTGAATTGATATTGAGAGAATGGATTCAATTATGTTATACACCAACTGGACAAAGAAATCCACAAGAAGCACTATCTCAAATGATTCAATTGATGCATGAACAAGGTGTTTTGGCGACAGATGACAAAATCACACAATTCTTCAGACTTTGTGTTGAAATGTGTGTTGATGTATCAGTTCGAATGTTGAAAAATGATCAAGTTCATTCTGGACTCACTCAAAGTTTTTTGAGACATCGTTGTTATTATACATTGGATGCATTTGTTAAATTGATGGCATTAATGATCAGACATTCGGATAATGGACAATCACAGAATAAGATAAATCTTCTCAAGAAATTGTTGAATATTGTTGTTGGAGTTTTGCATATGGATCATGAAGTTCGAAGAAATGATTTCAATGCGATGCCATATCATCGAATTTTGATTTCATTGTTCAATGAGATAACTGGCCCAGATCCACAAAGATTATTGGATCCAATTGCTTGGAGTATTTTGGAGGCTTTTGGACAAACATTCTTTGCATTGCAACCAAGAAGAATGCCTGGATTTGCTTTTGCTTGGTTGGATATTGTTGGACATCGAAATGTTATTGGAAGATTGTTGGGTGAGTTTTTGGAATTTTTCTAACAATCTCACAGATTTTTCAAAAGTTTGGGTTTTTTTTTTAGAAAATATCGAATTTTTCACTTCAAAGATCTAGAAAAAGTTAAAATTTTGTAAGAAATTCAGTTTTTTTTGACAATTTCATATAAAAACTATCAATTTTCAGCCAACACTGGAATCGCCGAAACTGTTGATGCCGAAAAAACAGCAGCCACATATACCCAACTCATAATCTCGCATCTCAAATTCTTGGCTCCATTCCTTCGCAATATTCAACTTCCAAAATCGATTGCAATTTTATACAAAGGAACTCTTCGTGTTCTTCTCGTTATTTTGCACGATTTCCCCGAACTTTTGTGCGAATTCCATTATGCAATTTGTGATACAATTCCTCCAAATTGTGTCCAACTTCGTAATTTGGTCTTATCTGCCTATCCTCGAAATATGCGACTTCCTGATCCATTTGCATTGAATTTCAAACAAGTTGACAGTATTCCAGAAATGATTATTGAACCAAAATCGAATATTAATATGGCTACAATGATTCCGGTTTCGATTCGTGAACCACTTGATGATTATTTGGCTAATCGATCTTCTGTTGAATTCTTGTCATCACTTCCATCACTTCTTCAAGTAAGTTTTTTTTATTATTTAAAAATCTTCTAATTTGTGTGTTTTTTCAGTACCAAACTCCAAATGTAACTGGATCTCGTTACAATACAACTGTAATGAATGCACTTGTTTTGTATGTTGGAATTCGTGCCATCGAATCACTTCGAACAAGAAAACAACGCATTTCGATTCACACAATTGCTCATACTTCATATATGGATGTTTTCCAGAATTTGGCTGTTCAATTGTGCACCGAAGGTATTTTTGTTTTTTGTCAAGAGTTTCATTGTATTCATTCATGTTTTTTAGGTCGATATTTGCTTTTCAACGGAATCGCCAATCAACTTCGTTATCCAAATGCACACACTCATTATTTCAGTTGTGTCTTCTTGTTTTTGTTCAGAAATTCTGATTGTGATGCTATTCAAGAGCAAATTACACGTATTTTGTTCGAACGACTTGTTGCACTTCGACCACATCCATGGGGATTATTGATTACTTTTATTGAATTGATCAAGAATCCAACTTATATGTTCTGGAAATATGATTTTACACGATGTGCACCAGAAATTGAAAGGTTGGTACGAGGGGATTTTGGGGGAAAAATTATTGTCAGGATTTTTTATCTGAAAAAATTTAAGCTGAAAATTTCAAATTTAATCAAATTTAAAAAAAAGTTCTGTTGAATGTTCCAAATGATTTTATTTTGGGAATTCACAAATTCCAGATATTTTCCGAATTTTTATACAAAAAAAATATTTCAAAACTTATCTAATTTTTTTTGGAACTTCCCAACAAAAATTTCCAATTTTTATAAATATCTAATATTCATCCCCTCTGCATTTCTATAACTAATTTTAAAAAATTTCCAGATTGTTCCAAAATGTTGCGAACACATGTGTTCCAAGTCAATCACCAGCAGCTGTCGCAGCCGCCGCCGCTGCCGGAATTCCAGTTCCAACTCAATCACAATCCCAACAACAACAACAGCCATCATCGCAAGCTACACCACAAACGACCTCAACCACAAGTTCTATCTCAGCTTCCTAATTATAATAGATAGAATAGAGATTGATAGAACACACGCCCCAACTAACGAAACAAATACATTCTTACTATTTATAATGTTCCACTTTTTTGTGTCTACGGGATTTTCTTCTTCTTTTTTTCTTCATCATCCAAAAATGTGTTTCTTTTTTGTCTGTATTTGCATGTCTCATCAATCATTGTTTTGTATAATCGATCCGAGTGAAATAGGCCCCCTTCCTTAATTTTTTCTAATTTTCTATTCAGAAAAAAGAGAAATGCAAAGTCATTTTTGGTGCATTTTCTATTTATTTTTATTATTATATGATTTTGAATTTCTTTGTTATTATTATAATTTTTGGGTGTGTGCTGTTTCTCATTCGAAACGGGGCTTTCATTTGTATTCTTCTTCTTTTTTATTTTCTTCTTATTCGGCCTAGTAGACCCATCCCTTTTCCCCCTTTATATTGTTTTATTAAATCATTCCCCTCCCCTCAAATCCCTCATTATCTTTTTTGCACTTGTTTGGTGGACTGGTGTTTTTTCAAAAAAGAGAATGAAAAACTGTACATCTTTGTTAAGAAAAATGCATACTTTATGATATAATATAACATAAATTCACTAAATAACGCAGTATTATATACATTTTCCATCGGGCATTGAATTTGCAGGTTCTGAGATTCGAACACCTCCATTTTACTACAACTAGTTTTTCACAATAAGATGGCATAAATCTTTGAAGTGTTGAGGAGAAAAGGTTCCTATGTCGGCAGCTAATTTTTCGTTCTCCCAAAACTAGGTAACAGCTGGATCACGATACAAATACACAGCACAATATTCTGAATGAATATTGTCAATCTGAAAAAATGGCCTAGGAAACCAATGCTACAGTATACTTCGCGAAAAATTTCTTTTTGAAAAACAAAATGCGAAATTTACTAGACAAAAAGTCTATTAAAAACTACCTTTTCCATTCATACTTGTCACGAGTTTGTTCCCCCCAAAATCCTATTTTTCTGAAAACCCCTTTTTTCCTAACTTGTAAAGTGATAAAAACTGCAAGCACAAGAAATCGCATCAAGGAATTATGACGTGAAAAAATTTTGGAGTACTGTAGTTTTTCCAGAGACTTGATAACTTCAACATTTTGATCTGATTTTTAAAGATATCATTTTGGTTTCGGAATTCATAAGAAGGATCTGATTATTAAAATTGTTACAGTAATTCTCGAGGAATATATAGAAAGTGGTCGCAAGAAAAATTGACTTTTAGCAAGCTTGCTACATTTTTTCCATTATAAAAATTGTTGCAAGACTTGCTACTTTTTCCCCGAGTTAAGAATTCAGATTCTAAATAACATTTTTGCCACGCCTCAAAATTAGTAGGCGAAAAAGTCATTGTTATTTTCATTTCCACTTTTTGTCGATTTTCAAGCGAGAGAGTATATTAATCCAGGAGAGCTATCTCTGAATAGTTTCCCAAAATGGTACATCATAATTTTCGAGCGTCCCATCTTCGCTTGGTGTCATTCACTACAGATAAGCAATTCATTTCTGTGTGCAAAAATATTATTTATTGCACAAAATGAAAATTCATCCATTGCTAGTGATCATTTTCTTGATGTTTCGAAAACTATTTCTAAAGTTTTCCAAATGTCTTCGTTTTTTTATAACTCCATTCGCCAGACATATTGAAGAAGAAGAAAAGGAAGAAAAAGAAGAAGAGGCTCCGATTAAAAAATTGCCAGCTGAAGTTCTTGGTGTCATTTTTACAAAGGTAAGTATCATATAGACACAATTTTTCAAATGTTTTGAATTATTTGTCCAATTTCACTGTTTCAGCTTAAATACGAAGATGCTCAAAACTTCAAAAACTTGTCATCATCTCTACTAAATGCCTATAAATTTGAACGTCGGAATCTGCCTGGTCCAGAATGTAATGCTCATGTTCGTTACAAAAATAAGGAACTTCGATTAGAAATAACAATTATGAAAACAATTCAATTGGCCAAAATAATTCCATTACAAATAACAGTGCCATTGACAAAAACTGTTCCGTTGAATGAATGGAAATATTTGTTCAAAAATTCCAAGTGCAAAGAATTCAGTATGACTGTAGACGAAGATATTCCAATCGATGTTTTGAAGACAATTTTTTGCTGCAGATCGATCAAGTTTTTCATCTATTGTGGGAAATCAATCAATCAGATGACTATTGACCTTGTTTCCGCATATAAGCCTAAAAAGTTAAATTTTTTTGTGAATAATTGGCATTCAGAAATACAGGATCATCCAGATGAACCAGGTTCATACGTTCGTATTGACTGTTTTACAAACATGGATGATATTTTTGAAGCAATCAAATTCACTCATCATATTATAGCTTGCTTCAATCCGGAAATTTTTTGAACAAAACGAACATTTCTTAATAGTGAGTTTTTTTCTGAACCTCTTGGAATAATCAATACTGTTTTGAAGCTTTGAATCCCCATCACAATTACATATTACGATTTTTATATTTTCAGAGACGCAAACATAATGCTAATTATATACCTTTCTTCTTCATCATGTTTCATACGAATCCAAATGCACAGAAAGTTCAATCGATCAAGCTTTTTTTGGAGAAAAATGTTTCAGGTGTGTATGACTGTGATGTAGAATGCAAACAGTTAATGGGCACCAAACGCGTTTTAATGATCTTATACGATGCTCGATAACTCTAATAATTTCATCGAATTCGCCTTCGCGAAGTAGTTTTTGGAAATCCTGTCGTTCGTGTTTACAAATTACTGTTTTTGATAAATTTAATTCTTGCTCAGCAAATTGCGGTGTACATTTAAAAAAATGAAAAACTGTACATCTTTGTCTAGAAGAAAAATTCATATTTTATAATATAATTCAACATAAATTCACTAAATAACGCAGTATTATATACATTTTCCATCGGGCATTGAATTTGCCGGTGAGACGCTTTTCATTGGCGATGCTCCGCCGCCATTTGGCACAATGTCGTAGATTCGACGCATTTCGGCGTTTAGTAGACCTGCAATGTTTTTTGCAATTAGAAAATCCTAATTGCCACGTCATTTCACGTTTTTTTAATTCTAAAATTTTGCAAAATTTATTTTTTTTAAATTCAAATTGCCACGTAACATTTTTCAAATTTCTGAAAATTTTCCCCCAAATTTTGGCAAAAAAAAAAATCATTATTGAGTGCGTGGCCAACGAAAATGCATCCACGTTGAACAAGAATCAATATTTTCAAATAGACACGTTTCAATGTTGTCAAATATTTAGTCGATTTTTGCGCATCCAAATCATCTGATTTGATTCCACTGAATGGTGTTAGATAATCCGATACTTCATTCGAATCAATAACTTGAACATGATCATCTAATATTATTTTTGTTCCAGTTGAATCAACACAAGAAACTCTGCCAATAGCACGCGATAAAACACCACGTCTTTCATTATCCAATTTCGAACATTTTATTTTTATAAATTCCGCATCGATTCCAATTAATTCGCCTTTTTCGGTAAATCGATTAATTCTGAAGATTTCATTGAATTCGATGCCAAATTATCATCAGAGAAAAATAGATTTTCAGGAATTTCATGACGGATTTCAGTTTCTTCGAGGAGTTCTTTAGTGATTTTTCGATATTCGAGAAGAATTGGAAGTTTCCAACGTGGATCGAAGTGAAGTGCTTCGTTTTGATGTAAATGACAAACAAGTTGCTCATTTATCAAGGACCATGGAGCACTGCAAAAATATGGGGTTATGACGTGGAGAAACTGAGATTTTTGGGGACGAAAGCAGAATAGAATTTCGGTCATATTTTCAGTTAAAAAGTTTCTCAACAAAAAGTACAGGATTTTTTGTCGCCCAAAATTCAGAGCGGAAATTTTTATTCGTTTTCCGGTGAGTTTTTTTCCATAAAATTATGAACTGAAATAATTTTTTTTGGAAAAATATCTTTGAAAATTGTTGGAAATCACCCGAAATTCCCCTCAAAACCTCCTCACATTTTTTTCCTGATTATCCTTCAAAATAGTGATTGAATGTGTCCATTTGACTGGATATTCACCAGTTCCAATAACTGCAACAATAGCAACTAATTCATAAATTTGTTGATTTGGTTCATCATAATGTTCACAATCCGAAATATCATTTAATCTGACAATTCCATCATTAACACTTGCTGCAAATTTTGCTGGAATATAATGTTTCCATCCTTCCAAATCGCCTTCTTCTAAAAGATTCGAACTTTCGCGTTCCCAATCGATTTTGCCGTGTTGGAATTTGCACGTTTTTCTGGAAAAAATAAACAGTTTTGGGTGGAAGTCCTCCATTTTCAAAAAAAAATTTGATTTTTTGAAATTCTTCCTCAAAATTTTCCTGAAATTTTTTCAAGGTCTTTGGTCTATTTTTCAATTCTCAATCTTTTCTCAAATTCTCCCTTAATTTTCCCCAGCCTAAAAATTCCAACTCACCGCTCGAATCCTCTCCTTTAATCGCATAACTCTCCGCTCGCTCCGCCTTAATCTCCAATACTTTTTCTCCAATCGCACTCGATTCCGCAATATGACTCAAATATGTCTTCTTCTCAAAAACCGGCGCTCCAATTTTATTCGATTTCAAATTTATCACAACTTTTGCTCGACTTCTTATTTTGCGTTTTGTCGCTTCAAACGCCTCAATTTCCACAATATATTAATCTTTCTCAAGTTTTCGTGGATCTCTTTTCAAATGAATTTCTCCATTCTCCCAATCGATTTCAAATAACTCACTTTCATTCTCATTTTCTCCAACAATTTCAAATCCAATAATTCCACCATCCAAATTAATATTACTTTTCGCCGTCACTTTCACAATCAAATCTCCCTTCTTAATACTTTCCGGTGAAATAGTTACAGTATATATTTGTTGACCAAAAACTGGCTGAGCTTTGTCAACAACTCTCAAGGTTACTGTAGTTGTCGATTTGAGTTTTGGATTTCCGTTATCTTCAGCTGTCACGTTAAAAGTATAATCTTCGAGCGAATTTAGTTTTTGAGCAACTTGGATTTTGCCATTTTCTTTGATTGAAAATTGTGGAGGAATATTTGAAGATGAATATTTGATTTGTCTATTCAGGCCTGAAAATGAAAGGTTTTGGGGTTACGACTTGAAAAATTAATTTCAAAAAAAATTTTTGGGGAATTTTTAGATAAAAAAAATGGAAAGATTTTTCAAAAATTAAAACTTCGAAGAAACTTAAAAATAATTTTCAAATGTTCTTGACATCTCAGTTAATTTCAGAAAATCAAAACTGGAAAAATGTTAACAATCAAATTTTGTTACAATTTTTCATAGAAGAAACATTTAAAAAATTTTCAAATCTGGAACAATTGTCTAGGGGTACTGTAGCTTTAATTTTTCGCTACGGGATTAAAACCACACGTCGACCAATCCGTGGCTGGCCAGAGTACAATTTTTGGAAAATTCTGAATTTCAGTTTTTAGAGGTCAAAAACTGAAAAATCACAATTTTTGTACTGTAAAAAGTTAGCATACAATTTTTTTATTTTGGAAACCACGATGTTGGCCGAGGTCTGATTAAAACATCTTAATTTTTCCAATTTTCGGGTCTCGAAGCGATCTACAGTAATCTTAGTCATTTTTTTGGCGCCAGAATTCGAAAATTGTTGCTTAAGAAATCAAAGTGTCCAGAGCTATTATAGCTCTAATTTTTCGCTAAGGGACTCAGAAATCTCAGATTTCTTGGATCTTGAAGCGATCTACAGTAATCCTAGGCATTTTCCCCAGGATTTTCCACCTCGAAACTTCAAACAAACCTTCATCCTTATCAATCGCTCTTATCAAAATAATCTCATCCCCAATTTTCGCATCCATACTAACTGAAACATTATAAGGAAGGTTAACAAACATCGGAATTTCGTCATTCAAATCCTCAACAATAATTTCAACAGTAGTCTGTGCAATCTGCTCCATACTTCTAGCCTGAACAACCAATCGAATAATCGGCTCAATCTCTCGATCAACCGCAATTCCAGTTGATGTTATAATTCCAGTTCCAGAATGAATAGCAAATTCATCTCGTGGATTGATAATTGAATAAATAACACTAGATCCACCAATTGCAGTTACAGATAAAAGTGGTTTTCCAACTGGATAAGTTGTATTTTCGAAAATCGTTGTGCTATATTTCTGCGATATAAATCGGAAATTCGAAGATTTTTCTGGACTTGAAACCGGAATATTTAGAGAATCAGTTCGAATTCCATCACTAGCAAAAACATCAAATACATAATTCTTCTCTTTCAATTTCTCCGCATTAATAATTCTGACATCTCCATTCGTCGAATTTATCGCAAATACACTTTTCGCTTCCTCATCTTTGATTGTATACCGTATTCTTCCAATCGTATCAATATCTTTCGCATTTTGAATTGGATAAATTCGAATATTATTTGCAGTTGGGAGGTAGATTGGGAAGGATGTTATTGATTTTTCGAGGAATTTAGGTGGTTCATCATTTTCATCGAGAATTGTGACAATTACAAGAGCTGGCATTAGTGAACTTCGAGATGGACTTCCCATATCGCTGCAAGAAATAGATGTTTAGAGGGGGGTTCCTGATTTTTGACTTTTGTTCAACAAATTTTAATTTTTTACGGGATTTTGAATTTTTCTAAGTTTCGAGCCTAATTTCTAGGATTTTAGGCCTGACCATTGGATCTTAATTACCACATTTTTTGAAAATTCAGGGCCTCAAGATTTGAGCCCGATTTTCAGTTTTTGGGCCTCATTTTTGGATACTTTCTAGTCTAAATTCTAGAAATTAAAGCATAATTCTCGAAAAAAATCTTAAAATCTTGAATTTTGGCTTTTGCTCAAAAGGTTTTCGTCACTTTTTACGAACTTTTGAATTTTTTCTAAATTTCGAGCCTGATTTCGAGCATTTTAGGCCTAAACATTTAAAGGATGCATACAATTCCCGGATTTTTTAAAATTTCGGGCCTCAAGAATAGAGCCTTGTTTTGTTATTAGACAGATTTTCGGTTTTGGGGCTCGTGCTTTCAAGCCTCATTTCCAAGATTTCAGGCATAATTTTGGAGGGCCAAAACATTTTCTTTAATTTGGAGGACCTAGAATTCGGGCTTTTCAAAGCCTAAAAATCTGGCTTTTCTTGAAGCCCGGAGCTTAAATTAAAGCCTAAAAATAGCCTGAAATTCCGGTTTTTAAAGCCCAAAAATAGGGTTTTATGGTCTAGTTTTGAGGCCTGAATTTGGGGATTTTTGAAGCCTCGGCCTTTTTTGAGCCTAAAATCCATTTTTCCAGCCCTCCTTCATTCCCAACTCACTGTGCATTAACATAAAACCGCCACTCTTTAATCCTTTCAAAATCAATAGGTTTTCGAACTCGAATCGCTCCACTAATCAAATCCACAACAAAATAATCATCTTCAGACATTCGATAAGCCACAAGCCCATTTGGCCCATTATCCAAATCCACCGCATTAACAATAAGTGGCGAATTATCCGAAATTGCAAAAACCGGGCTTCCAATGGGACTATTCTCTCGAATTTGTGCATTATAAACCTGTTGTCTAAATCGTGGCGCATATTGATTTGTTCTTGTTATTTTCAATATAATCTTTGCTTCATCAGTTTCTCCTTCACTTCCAATAACTCGCACACTACAATTCACACTCTTCACATCATTTCTTTCCCTCGTCAACCATTTCGATAAAACAACAGCTCCAGAAGGTGGATGAACATCAAAATAAGAGCAACGTTCAACAATCTGATATCGTATACTTCCATGATGTTGTGCAGCTAATACAATCAAAGGTGTTCCAGGTGGAGTTGAGTCAAAAACTGCGAATTGATGAATCTTGCGATGAAATTTGACTCTCAAATCAATTGTCGAATTCGAATTTTTGACATGAAGTGTCATTTCATCGCTCAGTGAATATTTTGCTGAATCACTTGCTCGAATTCGTAGAATTGATTCAACATGTTCATCTCGATCTATTGGTTTAGCAAGTCGAACTTCTCCAGATAATTTATCAAGTTCGAATAACTTCTGTTCATTTCCACTGATTATTGTGTATGTCAGCATTCCATTTTCACCATTATCCGCATCAAAAGCAGTGACTTTTGCGACAAGACTTCCAACAGGATCACTGAAAAATTGAAATACATTTGGTCTCTTATAAGCTCCCAAGTGGGGTTAAAAAAATTGAAGAATTTTTAGTACAAATCCTAATTAACCCCTAGAAAATAATTTTTAGACGATTTTCCCCCAATTTTCTGGGCTGAAAATAGTTTTCAGCTCTAATTAACCACCCAAAAATTAATTAAAATCACCTTTCATCAACAAATGCAATTTGATTGGATTGACTGAATCGCGGCGCATTATCATTTTCATCAATAACATTTACAATGTGGCGAAGTTTTTGAAATTCGCTTGGCGAACTTGTACAATTGCTCGAATTTGGCGAGATGTTTCGAAATCCAGAGGTTCCATTACGATTACATTTCCACTGCTGAAAATAAAAAGAATGGAAGTTTGAAAAAAAATTCGGAAGAGGGGGGAGGGGGCGTATTTCTGAATTTCACCTAACTTAGCCTATCTCAAAATGTGAGCTAAAATTAACTATTCGTAAAAATGCTCCAAAATAGTATATTTTGGAAAATAATTGATGTGGGGTGTCAAAAATCTCTAAACTTCATCGCGAATTCTGAGAATTAAAAAAAAAACATTTTTAGAGCCTATAATTGCTCCAAAATTCTCTCAGAATTTACTTTTTTTCGTGAAAATTTCAGGTATTTCCTTCCTAGAGCCCAAAAATGATCCAAAATGTTATTTTTCAGAAAATAATTGATGTGGGGCGTCAAAAATCTCCAAATTTTCAGCCAAAGTTAGAATTGCAATTTCGAGAGCCTCGATTGCTCCAAAAATTCTTTCGAAGAATTGTTCTTCCAGAGCTCAAAAATGCTCCAAAATTCAAATGCACATAGATTTTTGATGTGGGGCGTCAAAAATCTCCAAATTTTCAGTCAAGTTGAAAAAATAAAATATTGAGAAACTGCTCCAAAAATTATTTTCAGGAATTTTTTTCTAGACCCCGAAAATGCTCCAAAATGTTATTTTTTCATAATCTGCCCAAAATCAGCTCTTTCCAAAAATGATACCTCGGTTCAACTCGAATCTTCTCCTCCATCGCAACATCCTCCACAATAAAAATACAAATTATTATTATTTGGTTTCTTGGATCTTCCACCAATCGCAGTTAGGACAACTCTAGTGGCAGCAAATTGCGGAGGGGTTCCTCTATCAGTGGCTTGCCCAGTCAATGCATAACTCTCATCTCCATGAATCATCGAAACAGCCCGGATAATTCCATTCTCATCAATCGAAAATCTCGAATCGCCTTCCGTAATATTATAAAATATCTCGGCATTTATTCCCTCATCCAAATCCACCGCAAAAATCCGACACAATTCTCCGCTAAACTTGGCTCTCACATTATAATACCGCAACTTGCGAGCATAATTGCGGTTCGCCTCCATCACAAATCGAAACCCATAATTCGTGTTCAGCTTGTTTTTCGCGATCTAGTTTTCGAGATCCTGAAGTTGTTAGATATCCAGAAGTTAGATCGATTCGGAAAAATGATTGTGGATCTCCTCTTTCGATTCGATATTGAAGTGGAGGTGCCGAATCATTTCCAATATCATCGAGATCAGACGCTTCGACTTTCACAATCACAACATTCTGCAAAAAAATAAGTTTGAAATTGAAAATAATTTGGTTTTGAGGAACTTTTAAAATTTCCGGGGTTAAATTTTGAAAAATGTGGGCTACGTAAAAAATAAAAACCAATGCAGAGATAAATGAATGAAAAAAACCGCCCTAAATTATCAGTTTGTGTCAAATTTTAGGCTCAAAATGCTTCAAATTTTCTGAATTTTTTGAAATTCGAGCTCAAAATGCTCTGTTATCCAATTTTTATCAAATTTGGGCTCTAGATGCTCCAAAATTGATTTTTTTTTTTCGAATTTCGGTTTGAAATTCAGGTGGGCAATTTTTTACCCACTTCTCCAGGTTCTCGGGTGAGGTTTGAAAAAGTTATTCGTCAAAAAAAATTGGAAAAAAGATTTCACGTGTTTATTTTTTTATTCGAGAAATTTCGCGTCAATCGAACATCTTGCTCGGTTTTTCAATTTATTCTCCAGTCAAAATTCGAGACAAAAAAGATTTCACGTGTTTATTTTTTATTCGAGAAATTTCGCGTCAATCGAACTTTTTTTTTCTTTTTTTAAGGTTGAAAATAGTTATATAAATGAAAATTCTGAAACTTTTACTGATCAATCTCTGGAGGAAATTCAAAAAAAAGTATGAGGATTGATAGATTTTCAGACCCTGTTTCGGGCTAAAAATGACTGAAAATGGCCATTTTCAGATAAAATTGAGTTTTTTTGGTTAACCGAACATACATGAATCTTGAAACTTCAAGTTATTTAACTTTAGATCATTCTTTGGGAAATCCAGAAAAAATTTTGAAGATTGATATACTTTAAGACCTTTTTTGGCTGAAAATGACTGAAAATGAGAATTTTCAGCATAAACTTCAATTTTATTGGAAAATAGAACATACAACAAGCTTGAAACTTTTTCTTATAAAACTTTAGATCAATCTTTAGGAAATCGGGAAACAATTACCGAGATTGATACATTTTGAGACCCCTTTTGGCTCAAAATGACCGAAAATAACCATTTTCAGCATAAACTTGATTTTTTCGGGAGAATCAAACATACGAGAATCTTGAAACTTTCACTCATTGAACTTTAGGTTATTATTTGGGAAATCCAAAAAAAATGCTGAGATTGATGCATTTTAAGACCTGTTTTGAAGCAAACAAGAATGAAGAACAAAAAAACAAAAATAAAAAAGAGGGAGGTGCGCTAAACAACAGGCATTTCGAAAAAGTCAACAAAACGGAGTGTCGTAGGTAGTGTTTCTCGGGCTGTGCCAAGAAGCATATTTTTCCCCAAAAACTCCCAATTTACTCACATTTTGCTTCCGAAGCCTGCAATTCCTTGAACATCGCTCCAGCAAAAACAATTCCAGATTTCATGGCAATGTTCCCTTGAGTTTGGAAAATAAATCCGAGAATTTGAATATATTTTGGACATAATACAGATTTGAAATAAGGTTAATAATATTATAAGGTTAATAATATTAGAAAATACAGCTGATTGATTGATTATTATAGTGAGTCGGTTTGAGAATATAACTTCATTATATGAAGTTTATCTTATTTCCTGTATACTCAGCCACTACACGTAGGAATGATTGTTGAAGAAGGCCATAATTCGATTTTTTAACGAAGACGCCATCGCATGGCGCCGAGTTCGGCCTCCAATGTGGCTGAATCAGAATACTGTGAAAATATCTTACTAAATTGAATACCTCTCTGCTGGAATTTTGATAACATTGTTTAAACAAGGTTGACGCTAAGTTTGCTTTGTCCGCTAGACACATAGTTTTAACAAAAACATTATCGAATTTCGCGGATTTGAAATTCCGATTGAACGCCGCCCGAAGTTCCTCTTCATTTAGCATCATATTGGCGACAACATTTCCTCTATTTCTCTGCTCACCACCAACGAACATTTCCAATAATTTCCTTATCGAATATTTTGATTTTGCTTCATTCTGCAAAAAAAAACAATAAGTAATTTTGAACAATTCTCGGTAATTCCTACGATTTCGATTTGAAGTGCGGCGTTGGCGGTTTTCGATGAATACAACTTCCATTCGTAATGTGATAGCATCAGAATTTCTCGTATCGATTCCTGAAGTATATTATAGTATGTTTATGAAAAATACCGCAAATCAAATATTTCATCACTTTTCTCCACACTATACTTGAAACTCTTCTGCGCCTCTTAAATGACCCGGCAACTCAGATTATGAGCATTTTTAAAATTTTAAAATGTTGATGAATGAAGCTCAAAATGCTTCACAAAAAATTGAAGTTGAACATAAGTTTCAGAAAAAAATTAAAACTGAAAAATATAAATGAAAGAGGCCGAACTATTTTGATGGTCGAAAAAAATCGGGAATTCAGCTAAAGCAACAAACGCGCTCCGGTAATTTGTAAGGATTTTGGTAGCATTAGAGTATGTTTGGTGCTTTGGCCGAATTTCCGACATTTCTCGGCCACCTAAGTCACACATATCTTTTATTTTTTTCAGTTTTTTATTTTTCTGAAATTTATGTTCAACTTCAATTTTTTGTGAAGTAAAAACATTTCAAGCTTCATTCATCAACATATAAAATTTTCAAAAATGCTCATAATCTCCATTACCGGGTCATTTAAGTCCGCTCAACTTGACGTTTTTCACGATTTTTTCATTTGTTCTTTTAATTGAGTTGCGAAACACAAGAAATACAGTGCAATGAGAAATAGCGTAGTTAAAAATCTGATGTGTAAACTCCTCTTACCGCCAAAAGTTCTCTTTTCTGACGATTGACACGCTTCAAAAATCTATCTCCGTTGATCTTGGCAAACTTGTAAACGTCCTCTTCTTCGAACAATTCTGAAATTCATCAGAATAAAATTACAATCAGACCCCCCCCTAGGACTGTTGCTCTCAAAATCTATCACCAAAAATTACCTTGTTTCAGATTCGAAATAAACAATTGCAATTGAATTCCAATATTTTTGAGTTCTTCAAATTCCGGAGGATTTTTGCTTCGGACATGGTCGATGCGGCCCTTGACAATTCGCCAAATATCTGCAGAAAAAAAATATTATAAATTTCAAAAACTCATTTCCTTACTTATCGAGGACTGCATTGATGATCCGAAACTGAAAAAATTCTAATATAGTGGAACAGTCTGTGTAAATCAATACACAAATCAAGCGTTTTTTCGACAAGAGAAATGCAAAATCGAGGAGACGCAGACATGATCTGGTCTTGACACGCTATCTGCCACACACTATTTCTCCCACTTTTTCGACGAGAGATTTATGTGCACACGCTGCGTTTCTCTGAACTAGAAAGAAAAAACACGATGTCAGATGTGTATTGATTTGTCCAGCGATTCGATGAAATGTTCCTTCGAAGTTAGGATCTCGCCACGAAGTTCGGAGCCAGAGTACAATTCTGATAACATCTGACCGTGCAACTTTTAAATAATGTTTTATACAGTAATCAGGGATTGGGATTTCATTTTGTTTCTAAACTTTTTAGGAAACATGGACATGTAAGTATGAACCATCAGAAATCCAAATATTAAAAAATATTTCGTAAAATCTGTAGAGCAAAAAGTTCAAAAGAAGTTCTATTTTGAATAGAAAAAACCTGTTCTGAAATTTCATTGATAAAGATCATTTGAGTGAACTTTACATTTACCGAATTTTTTGCATTCACACTATGATTTTTCAACGTAGTTTGGTCGTGTTTCATTCCAATTTCCACATTTCCAAAAAATAATGTAAAATTTATTTGGTCGCGAAATCATATACATTTTCTTTTGAAAAATGTATAAGAATTATGGAGCAATTTTAGTCTACAATGTAAACAAAAAATGGCCATTTTTTCTTTACACTAGTCATAACCTAATTTTTCTAGAAATGATAAATTCTCATCATTTTCTTATGTCATAGAAAGTTCCCTTCTCTCATTTTTTCCTCTCAAAAATATCTACCTTTTGTAGTACAACCAGGTAAAATAGTTTGATCACAATACATTCCACCATAATATCCAATACTTTTCGCCATCCAATTTTCCACAAATTGTTCATTTGGTAAATTCACAAAATCTAGCAAAAGTGGTGTTTTTGCTGCAAAATTCTCGCTGAGCATATATTGCATTTGATTTCCAAGTTCAGCTCGATGGCTAGGTTTCATTGTTTCAATAAATTGAAGATCTAACGCGATTTTTGGCATATTTGCTCGCATACTTTCATATATTTTATTTCCCTCAATATGATGAATCTTCTTTTTATTTCTCATTGGATTTTGCAAGAATTGATATAATCCAGGACCATATCTCATTTCACCATTATCATATTTTTGTTGTTGTTTTGTCGATGAAATCGTTAAATTGTTCAATGTTTTGATTTTTTCGATTATCTCTCCCATTTCTTCTTCAATTTTTGATGGCCAAAAATTCCCAAAACGCAACTTTATCATCTAAAGTCGTGAATTCCAATGATTTTTTCCAATCTTCATCCTTCATTTGAAGTGGAACATATTTTCCCATATACGAGAATATATCAAATTGTTCAGCTGTTTTGTTATATTTTTCGAGTTCATCGGGATTCAAATTTTTGACAAAGGTTTTTGAAGGTTTTAGTGAATCTTCAGAAGCGGAAGAAGAAGAGGAAGAGCAAGGTCTTTTTGAGATCAAAGATGGGAAAAATCTCGCGATTCGCAGCATTTTTGATGTTTTTTCCTGAAATGGATCAATTTTACTCACTGAATTAGTAAAGAAAATCTTGAATTCCAAAACGGTGCTGAAATGTCAAAATTCATTACTATTCATGTAAGCAAATTGATCCATCTCAACATCGCAGAGGAAAAAAAGATGGATTTTCACTAACTTGAAAAAACCTCCCGGAAAACTCACTTTTATAAAAAACTTTGAATTGAAGTACAAGCCAATTTACAGGAAAATTCACAGCGATTCTGATGGTTTTTTGTTCTGAAAAAAAACCGAATTTTCAAATTAATTGTAAGAATCAAACAAAGTTACCTCAAATCGATGACTTTGATAAAATAAATCGATTTTGCCGACCGCCAGAATAACGAAAAACGCGTTGGGTTTTAAATTTTGAACAGTGACAAGAATTTCACAAATTTACCTGAAAAAAAAGATTTTTTATGTTTTATCTGTCTATCTATTGAAAAATAGTAGAGAAATAGATAAAAAGTGTATTTTTGAGGAGAAATCGATTGTTTGCTCAAAAGTTTGCCATTAAAGGTGCAGTGTCAAGTGGCGAAAATTGATTTTTTTTTCATTCAAAATCAGGGTATCTATTTGATTAGATGAAGAAATCTAAATAGGTGGCTACGAAAATATTATTGTAAAATCTAAAATGATTGATCCGTTCGTTCGCGCAAATTTCGCGTTTTTTCCTTCAAGGTCACTTTTTTTGTGTTGCTAGGGGTGCCAGAAACAGGACTTTTTGGTCAATTTTTTTTCCCAAGCTATTTTTCCCAAATTTTTTTCCCAAGTTGATTTTTCATTTTCCCAAGTTTTATTTTTCCCAAATTTTTTTCACAAGTAAGTTTTTGTTTTTCCCAAGTTTTTTCCCAATTTTTCGTTTTTTCCCCAATTCTTCAAGTTTTTTTCCGGTATTTCCTATTTTTCAAAGCCAATTGAGTACTGATCCCACATATCAGCTTCTCCCGGTCATAACCTGAAATTATGCAATTCCTCAATGCGAAAATGCTAACATTAATCGAAAAAGAATTTTGTTTTTGGAATGAAAATTGTGATTTTTCACAAGTTTGTCGGAACGAAAACAGCAGATTCAGACTGATATTTTGAGAGGCCGACTCTAAAAAATGTACCAACATTCACTTTTCTGGGCGTTTAAAGGGTTGGTGCTCCGCCAGGGAATCTTGCTTGGTTTAGATAGGAATAAGGTGCTCCTGGAAGGTTCCAGTTTTAGAAAAAATTCTAGTATCAATTCAGCCCATGTTTTTCCTCAAAAACACAAGTGAGTTAAAACCTACGAAATAAAACATGTAAATGCGCTCCAGCGCACAACTTGTTTTTGAATTTTCGTGTGTGTGTGTTTGCACACAACTTTGAACACAACACTGTGACGCCTTTTTGCAGACGATTTTTTCACCAGGAAAACACCAACCCTTTAACTAAGCCTAAGCCTAATTCTGAAGTTGAGAAGCCAAAAATAAGATTTTTTAATTTTTCTATTATTCTTTCTAGGCTTAGGCTTAGTAAACCCTCCTGGAAACATACAGACTCGCCAAAAATTGAAAAAAACACACCACATTTTATACAAGAAAAACTCTTATTTTTCTAGTAGCTATTTTTGACGGACCCTTCTATACAGAGAATCAAAAACCCTGATGTTCTTAAAAAACGAACCAATTTCATGCGATCCGAAAATTTGGGAAAAAACTAAAAATTGGGAAAAAAACTTGGGAAAATGAAAAAATAACTTGGGAAAAAAATTTGGGAAAAATAAAATTTGGGAAAATGAAAAATCAACTTGGGAAAAAAATTTGGGAAAAATAGCTTGGGAAAAAAAATTGACCGACTTTTTGTCTGTCAATTAGGAAAAAAAAATGATTGCTTTCTCGTGGCGAGAAAAATCGAGAATCAATGTAGGTTTGGGGTAAGCCTTACATTAGTGATGAAATATTTCACTAGGTTGCAACAAATATTATTTTTGGACATAAATATTTATGCAAAGTGCATTGTTATTGAGACAAAAGACAATTTCGAACAACAATTTTTGTTTTCAAAAACAAGGAAATTCAATTCCCAGAATTCGGTGCTAGAAAATTCGTCGGACATTTTGGAGCGCAATTTTAACTTTTAATGGAATAAAATTTTTCGGTATAAATGATTTGGCGAAATTCCACGTTACAGTTCACGTTTCGAAAAATTCTTAATTTACAAAAGCTTTTTTCTTTGTTCTAAACTTAGGCTGACAAAAATGAGGCATTCGGGTATTTCTAAACACTAATTTTATTTTTACACGTTTGCAGAAATGCCCGAATACACTTACACTTTTACACTATATACATTTTTACAATAATACACGAATACACTATTTTTGCTCCTGCTTGGAAAAAAGAAAATAAATGTCAAAATCTCAATATCGATACAGACCAATGGTTTCCTAGAGTGAATAAAAGGTTTCTGTTCGGAAATAAAGAATTTTAGAGAAAGAGAAGGGGTTTTTTCGGAAAATTAATAGTTTCAGAAAAGGAAAAAAAGAAAATTAAAGCCTGTTCAAAAAATGAATAATCCACCTTTCTTGGCATTTGGCTTGAAATAACAATGATTTTCAGACTTGAACAGAACAAAAAACATTGAATTATCAGCTTCTCTCCGATTTTATGCTTCGGCTCTGCTAATTCTGAGACAATGACTGTTTTTTCACTATATTTCAGTCATTTTTGGCACTTTCAACAACTCCTTTCCAGAAAAATAGTGTAAAAGTGTAAAGGTGTAAAAGTGTATCTTGATAAATAAAACTAGTGTAAACGGGCATCATTTCTAAAAACGTGTAGAGTAAATGGGTAAGCCATTTTTGAGCATTTCTGAAAATAGTGTATTCGGGTAATTTTTTGCCAGCCTACACACATCCCAGCCAATCACGTAATTACACGTAGCAAAATGGTACATGACACGCCCCTTTTTTTCTGCCAAGTCCGCAGTGAGAAAAGTGTACACGTTTTGTTTCATTTTTTCGCCTGTGCAGTTGTCAATGTGGTTCATTTGGAAATTATAGTAAGATAAGCTTTACCCCAAAAAACAATCCAAAACTGCAGTATTTCATGAAATTTCGCAGAAAAAAAAAATGAAAAAACGTGCGCGTCAAATAAAATGTGTGAGTGGTGTTTGCACTGTTTCAAGCTAATGACAGTAATCATATAATTTTTTATTTTTCACTTTCGAAATATTGCAACCGAAAAAACTCTTCATTTTCCAGAAATAAAAGCTTCACTGTCCAACAAACTCACGAAAATCTTGTTATATTTTATGACGATAGTCATCGAATAGTTGGATTCAATTTCTACGACACAACAGAAGCTGAAAGTTTTTGCAAATCTCTCGAAATGTTGAAAAGTGAGTTTTCGTTCGAGATTAGACTATCGATCTAAATTAAATAAGTTTTCAGACAATAAGCGAGACACTAAAAAGAAATTCTCATTCCGTGGAATGTTTTCAAGTTCTAAAAAAGAAAAAGAGCTGGAAATTGGGAAACCGACAGATTTCAAGCATTTGCAACATGTTGGATTGGATATGACTGCAGATCAGGAAGAATTATATAATCGAATTCTGCCAGGACTAAAAATGAAGGAAAATGGTGACATTGCTTTGAAAGAATTTGTGATAAGGAATGAGGATAAATTGAGGCAATCAATAATGAAAGACAAGAAGAAGACACCGAAAACTGTGAAAAAGGGTACATTTTTCAAATCGAAGAAGATTGAAGAAGTTGAAGAGAAAGAAGAGGAAAAACCACCAAGTTTCAAAGCTCCGATTGATCCACTTCATCCAAATTAAAATGAGAATCTGGTGAGTTCACGTGAACTTATGACGTGGAAAAATGTTTGAATTTTCAGCAGCCCAAAGCGCCTCCAGCTTTTCCAAGTCGATCCGCTTCGCGAGTTTCTCCTTCTCTTTCACCTCGACTTCCATCACATCGACAATCTTATCAATGGGCAACAAATCCAGTCGAAACTGTTCCGCCATCACCAAAACCTGAAATTCAGGCAACTCGCGTGGCTCCTCCCCCACCGCCAATACCAACTTCAGCTCCAAAAGTTGCACTACCACCTGTAAATCCACCGTCAGTTGCGCCACCACGAGCTCCGCCATTGCCTTCCGATGGTTTCAAGATTCGAAAAGTTGAACCAGACCCTGAAAGTGAAGAGGAAGAAGAAGAATTGGAAGTGGAAGAAGCTGCAAATCCTCGAAAAACAAGTTCAATTTCAAATGAGCGTCGAAGTTTTTTGGATGAAATTCAAAACGTGGACAAAAGTAAAATTTTGAGAAAAGTTAGTGAAGATCGACATTCGATAACTACACCAACTGGTGAAAATACAATGATTGATGCGATTCAACAGTTTTTGGATGCACGGAGAGTTGGAATAAATCCAAGTGATTCTGAAGATTCCGATGATGAAGATGATTGGAGTGATTTGATTTGTAAATTTTCAAGAAAAAAATGTAATAAATTAAAATAAAATTTATTTTTCAATTTTGTATACCTCGTAGTGATGGTTTATTGATGGTTCGAGATGAAGTTGCCAAGAAGAACTTTCGAGAACTCCATTACTCGAATTGTGATTGAAAAAAACTCGTTTGACTCGAAAATGAACTAAAGCCATTGCGCACATTGCGATTCTTCTCGTTTTGGCATTCTTCCAACCATTTCCATAACTGGATGTCGAAGTGGACCTGATTGACTTGTTCCTTCACATAAATATTCTTGATTTTGTAAAGATATACATTGACGCGTTTCTGCTTCGTGACTCCATTTTGAAACGTATTCAATGAGTTCGGGAGTATAGTCAATGAGTTCGGGAATATAGTCAAATATCTGATTCCTGGATTAAAATAATATCTGGCGATTTCAACGCATCCATTGGCAAAACCACACTCGCTGATCATCCAACAGTGGGTCGATATGGATTGAAATCAGTCCCAAGAAATGAGAATGGTGATGCATTGATCAATTTCGCCAGTTATATGCGATTATCAATAATGAACACTCATTATAAAAAGAAGCGAAATCGCTACTGGACATGGAGAAGTGACAGCAGCAATGCAAAGACAATGATTGATTATTTCTTGATAAAATGGTCCCGAAGACAGCTAATCAAAAACATCGACACATACAACTCAAAGTTCGATTTATCCGATCATCGAATGATCAGAGCCACTCTTCTGATCTCCAATTCACAAATTCAAAGAATGATGAGAAGACCTGTCGAACCGAGAAAACCGCGCCTACAACTCCACAAAAATCTGTACACAAACGAGCTCGAGAAAATGGAGGAAGTGCTCAAAAGATGCGATTACTCCGATCTGATAATCAACATCAAAAAATGTGCAGAAGAATGCTCCACACCAGCACCAAAAAATCAAAAAATCAGCATCGAGACGATGGAGCTGCTGAAGAAAAGAAAGATCATAATTTCTTCAGAGCACAGCACTCCTCAAGAAAGAAAGAACATCTCAAAAGAAGCGAGAAACGCCGTGAAACTAGACCTGGAAAATTGGGAACGCCAATTGATTGGAAGAGCTGTAGAGAAAAGGCGAAGTATAAAAAAGGTGCACCGGATTATTGCGGAAAAGTCGGAGATGTTTGGAAAACTGAAAAGGAACAATGGCACAACAACCACCAACCGCACAGAAATCAGAAACGAACTGGTCAACCACTTCACTGAACAGTTCAGAAATCCAACGCAACAAGCCACCAGAATTATCGCACATCCTCCCAATCCATACCCGATACAAATTGGAGAAGTTAAATGGGCCATAAGGAAGCTGAAACCAAAATCAACAATGGGTATTGACAAAGTTGGCGGCGATATTTTGAAGGCTGGAGGAGATATCTTGTATAACAATCTAGCCAGATGTTTCAATGAGGTGATAGAACACAGAAAAGCACCAGAGGATTGGAACAAAGTGAGAATAAAACTGCTTGAAAAAAAGAAAAATCCAGAATGTGTCAAAGATGTTCGCCCAATCTCGATTCTTTCCATACCAGGAAAAATATATACAAAAATTCTAACAAATCGAATGGTAAAAAGAGCGGAGGAATATATGGATGAAAGTCAAGGCGGATTCAGACCCGGTAGAAGCTGTGCTGAAAATCTGCAATCAATCAGCTGCCTATGGGAAAAATGTTATGAATATGAAATTCCATTGATATTGACCTTTATCGACTTCCGTGCTGCATTTGATTCAATACTGTGGAGTGCAGTACAAGAAGCAGTTATGGAATCGGGATTCGAGCCCCAATATATGGAAGCCATCAAGATTTGCAACGAAATTGGAACTGGTGAAATTGAAATCCATGGAAAGAAACTGAAAATACCAATGGAAAGAGGTGTGAGACAAGGTGATTCATCGTCGCCGACTCTTTTCGCAATTGCCCTCCACAAACTGTTAAACGAAGCCGATCCACTGCCAGAAGACGACATTGAAGATAACTTTGGTATCAGAGTCGACGGAACATACATCTCAAGACTTCTCTTTGCTGATGATGTGGTTTTGATAGACAAAAATCCGAAGGACGCATCAGAAAGAGCTTCGAAAATTGCGAAAGTTTGCGAAAAAGCTGGCCTCCACTTCAACACATCAAAATCGAAGGTTTTGAGAAACGATCTAGGATCCACAAGTCTGGTTCGAGTCAATGGAATCCCATTGGAAGATGTGAATCAAATCAAATATCTTGGCAGAATCTTCAAAAAAGATGGACTACTGGATGCTGAAGTGAACAACCGAATAAGATCGGGTTGGGCGTCATATCACAACATCGCGACCGCCATCTCAGATCTTCCTGAAAAAGAGAAGAACCACTTCCTCAAATCAAGTGTAATTGGAGCTATAACTTATGGATGTGAAACATGGAATACCAAGGTGGAAGATGTGAAGAGAATCCAGAGAAGTGTGAATTATATCTGGGATCAAGCTCAAGCTGGAAAACCACCAAATATGGAAACCCACATAATGAAGTCGAAGTTGAGATGGGCAGGACACGTAGTCCGGCTGCCACAAAGAAGATTATGCAGAATCATAACCATCTGGGAACCACCAAAAGGCGTCAAAAGAAGAAGAGGGAGACCGAGAAAAAGATGGTCGGATGATATTCAAAGTGAAGTCAAAGTGCACCAACACAATATAAATTTACAAGGCCTCGGTGGAGGCGGAAGAAGAAGGATCGGGCTAATCTCCAATAAAATGCCCTGGTCACGATTGGCGAGATCAAGAAGTTCCTGGAAACATCTAGTCCACAGCTACACGCTCGAATAATGGACTATCAAAGTATCAAAGTAAGTAAGTGGACCTGATTGACTTGTTCCTTCACATAAATATTCTTGATTTTGTAAAGATATACATTGACGCGTTTCTGCTTCGTGACTCCATTTTGAAACGTATTCAATGAGTTCGGGAGTTTTGAAAGTGCCGTCAATTAGAGAATCGAGATATTTATCCGGATGAAAACTGGTCGGCCAAATATGTTTAGCAATTTCGAACGTTTGACATGCAAACTTGACCGTTAAATAGTGTTTCTTTTGCTTTCTTGCACGGCGCGCTTTTCTTTACGCGAGCACCCGTCGAGAAAAAAAAGAAAAAGAAGTAGAGTCAAAAAGGGGGAAAAGGTGAGAGACAGAGAGAAAGGGCTACGACGCACACAAATTTGTACATCTCAGAAAATGCACTGACAGCTAGCACGCGAGCCGGCAGACGGCCGTCCAATTCTGATACTAATTTGCCAGTTTGCTAGCTCGCAGACAGCGCCTGCTAGGTTCTGCCAGCTAGCAACCTCGCGGCGACCTGACAGAAACTAGCGGGTGCTGTCTGCGAGCTAGCAACTCGGAAAATGCCCTGACAGCTAGCACGCGAGCCGGCAGACGGCCGTCGAATTCTGATACTAATTTGCCAATTTGCTAGCTCGCAGACAGCACCCGCTAGTTTCTGTCAGGTCGCCGCGAGGTTGCTAGCTGGCAGAACCTAGCAGGCGCTGTCTGCGAGCTAGCAAACTGGCAAATTAGTATCAGAATTGGACGGCCGTCTGCCGGCTCGCGTGCTAGCTGTCAGTGCATTTTCTGAGAAATTGGCAAATTAGTATCAGAATTCGACGGCCGTCTGCCGGCTCGCGTGCTAGCTGTCAGGGCATTTTCCGAGTGCAGGGGCTGCGACGCAATTTTTCTCCATGGGGCGCGCTTTCTCTCCTTTTTCAGAAATAACTCGACGGGTCGTTTGTTCAGGCGACGTAAAGAAAAGCGCACCGTGCTTGGGTATAATCAGAATAACACATTTTAGAGTTCACAACTTTCTTTGAAAAATCAAGTTTTTTAATTCAATCTCACAGTTTTCCCCAGTAAAATTAAGTAGTTGTTTAACATTTTTAAAGAGGATCTCGAAACTTCAAATAATATCGAAGAAATTTGCTCATTATGAGAAAAACTGCACCATTTTTTGTCACCTTGGTGTTGTTTATGTGAAATTCAAAAAAATCGGTCAATTATACAAAGCAAGACTTTTTTTGCAAGTGTATTGTTCATCCTGCTGAATTGATCAGCGGCGAATGAGGAGAAATGTTTTTTTTCGAAAAAAACACATTTCAAAAAGCTGGCGGTCATCAAAGATCAGAGAGATTGTACGCTCTAGTGATAATTTTTTATAAGTTTTTATCACTAGAGCGTACAATCTCTCTGATCTTTGATGACCGCCAGCTTTTGAAATGTGTTTTTTTTCGAAAAAAAAAATTCTCCTCATTCGCCGCTGATCAATTCAGCAGGATGAACAATAATTCTTTACAAGTGTTTTTATTTTTTGCAAGACCGACATTTTCACAAGACTATTTTTTGAAAGTCTCTAAAAATTCAAAGCAAGTGTCATTTTTTACAAGTGTAATTTTTTGCAAGTTTAACTCGGATAAAGTGATGCGCCACTTGCTGACTTCTGGGGCGCTGTTGCTACAATCTGGGGCGATAGGCGCATCAAACAGCCGGGCGCCGTCGCCCGAAACAGCGCCTCAGATGATGCGCCGTCGCCCGAAATGGCACGTCAATTTAACCGAGAATTCATTTTGTGCAAGAAATAATATTTTTGCACACAGAAATAGATGACTTATCTGTAGTGAATGACACCAAGCGAAGATAGGACGCCCGAAAATTATGATGTACCATTTTGGGAAACCATTCAGAGACAGCTCTTAGAAACTGAATTTTTGAGTACTGTAACAATTCTCATCATCAGATCCTTTATGAATTCCGAAACCAAAATGATATCTTTTTTTATGTAACACAAGTCAAAAATCCACGAAATAACACAAAACTAAGTAGGAATGCTTCTCAAAGTGACCCCCCTCTTCGCAAAGTAGTTTTTTGGAAATCCTGTCGGTCGTGTTTACAAATTACTGTTTTTGATAAATTTAATTCTTGCTCAGCAAATTGCATCGTACATTAAAAAAAAGAGAATGAAAAACTCAAGAAGAAAAATGCATATTTTATAATATAATATAATATAATATAATATACATACACTAAATAACGCAGTATTATATACATTTTCCATCGGGCATTGAATTTGCCGGTGAGACGCTTTTCATTGGCGATGCTCCGCCGCCATTTGGCACAATGTCGTAGATTCGACGCATTTCGGCGTTTAGTAGACCTGCAATGTTTTTTGCAATTAGAAAATCCTAATTGCCACGTCATTTCACGTTTTTTTAATTCTAAAATTTTGCAAAATTTATTTTTCAAAATAAAAAAAAATTCAAATTGCCATGTAACATTTTTCAAATTTCTGACAATTTTCCCCCAAATTTTGGCAAAAAAAAACTAAACTAACCCATCTCTTTCAACTCCAAATATTTCATATAAATCTTCAATGCATATTGTGCATCAACAACCGAATCATGACAATCCTCTTGTATTTTATCGCCAAGCAATTGAAGAGCCAAAAATTGCAGCGAAAGTAGTCGTTTGGAATCCAATCGTAATAAATTGACAGTATCAATCACTTGATTTTCAGGCACATGAATATTTAGCACCGAAAAATCATTATTGAGTGCGTGGCCAACGAAAATGCATCCACGTTGAACAAGAATCAATATTTTCAAATAGACACGTTTCAATGTTGTCAAATATTTAGTCGATTTTTGCGCATCCAAATCATCTGATTTGATTCCACTGAATGGTGTTAGATAATCCGATACTTCATTCGAATCAATAACTTGAACATGATCATCTAATATTATTTTTGTTCCAGTTGAATCAACACAAGAAACTCTGCCAACAGCACGCGATAAAACACCACGTCTTTCATTATCCAATTTCGAACATTTTATTTTTATAAATTCCGCATCGATTCCAATTAATTCGCCTTTTTTCGGTAAATCGATTAATTCTGAAGATTTCATTGAATTCGATGCCAAATTATCATCAGAGAAAAATAGATTTTCAGGAATTTCATGACGGATTTCAGTTTCTTCGAGGAGTTCTTTAGTGATTTTTCGATATTCGAGAAGAATTGGAAGTTTCCAACGTGGATCGAAGTGAAGTGCTTCGTTTTGATGTAAATGACAAACAAGTTGCTCATTTATCAAGGACCATGGAGCACTGCAAAAATATGGGGTTATGACGTGGCAAAACTGAGATTTTTAGTTTTTTTTTGGGACAAAATCAGAATAGAATTTCGGTCATATTTTCAGTTAAAGTTTCTCAAAAAAAAAAAAGAATTTTTTGTCGCCCAAAATTCAGAGCGGAAATTTTTCATTCGTTTTCCGGTAATTTTTTCCCATAAAAATATGAAAAAATATCTTTGATACTGAAAATTGTGATCATTTATCAAAAAACCTTGGAATTCACCCGAAATTCCCCTCAAAACCTCCTCACATTTTTTCCTGATTATCCTTCAAAATAGTGATTGAATGTGTCCATTTAACAGGATATTCACCAGTTCCAATAACTGCAACAATTGCAACTAATTCATAAATTTGTTGATTTGGTTCATCATAATGTTCACAATCCGAAATATCATTTAATCGAACAATTCCATCATTAACACTTGCTGCAAATTTCGCTGGAATATAATGTTTCCATCCTTCCAAATCGCCTTCTTCTAAAAGATTCGAACTTTCGCGTTCCCAATCGATTTTGCCGTGTTGGAATTTGCACGTTTTTCTGGAAAAAATAAACAGTTTTGGGTGGAAATCAAATTCTTCTATAAATCCACGTTGCAAAGAAAAATTCAATATTATGAACAGGAAAATTCGGGGCTCATTTTCGAGAGAAAAAACATTCCGAATTGTGAATTCAAAAAATATTACAGAAATTTGAACTGAAAAGAATACTGTAGATTGTTTACGTGAAGCTTACATACTACAAAATGTATTTTGCAGTTTGGGGTACTGTAGAGTCTTCGCTCAAAATGTGAAACTTTTTTTTGAATATCGTAAGCTTCACGTAAACAATCTACAGTATTCTTTTTAGTTCAATAATATTTCTATAATATTTTTTGAAGTCACAATTCGGAATATTTTTTCTTTCGAAAATGAGCCCCGAATTTTCCTGGTCTTGAAAATTGAATTTATCTTTGAAACGTGGATTTTTTGGTACCAAAAGTTTTCGGAACTTTTTTTTCTATATTTCGTTTTGTTAGAAAATTTCTGGGAAGAAATTTAAATATCTCACTTATTTCTACAATCTTCTCCAAATCGACATTGTTTTTTCTCTTTCTCCTTCTCTTTTTCATTCTCATCTCGATTATTTTCCTCATTATTTTTCTCAAATCGAATCGTTGGTTTCCTCTCAAAACTCGCCAATTGTCTCTGCCAAAACTCATGAAAAACAGGATTCGTCGAATTTGTATCGATTATCAGAACATCTGCCAATTTCTGTATTTTCCGTTTCGATTCCATTTTTGTCGTTGCTCGACATTCTTCACATTCTTTTTCTTCACTTGTCAAACCACAATTTATTCCCAAATGTAAAGATTTTTCAATGATTTGACAAAATGATGGCGATTTTTGATCGGAAGAATATGGAATTGTAATTTTATATTCATTTTTTGGGGAAGTTTGTTGAAGAGCACCACATCTTATGCACCTAAAATCCACTTATTTTTGAATTACTCAAGTAAAATTAAAATAAGTACCTGAAATTGAGGACCATTTCAGTTTTCATGCAATGTTTCTCAATGTCTTCCGAAATTTCCGAAATACCATTGAAAAATAGATCAATCGCAAGTTTCGTGGATTTTATGACATCATGTTTGAAGGTGACGAATCCATTTGCAACAAGAGTTCGAATGAGATTTGAACTTGAGGCTAAATTACAAGAAGGATCGGAAATCATTGAGAAAAGGAATCGAAGTTGGCAAGGGAGACAGGAATCGGATATGCAGATGTGGGAATTGAAGAAGTTTCGGATTGAGATGTTGTGGTAGAGCGCCTGGAAATAGGAATTGATGAATTTTGGGAGGAAATTTGACACGTGGAATTTTCGGGCGTGAAACGGATGAGAAACTTTTGAATTTTGATTTTACAAAAAAATTTAAGGGGATTTTTTTTGGGTATTTTTTAAGCACGTGAAAATTAGGATATTTTTTAATGTTGATTTCCAATTTTTGGTAAAAAGGGACTTTTTAATTAAGCCAGAATATTGATTTTTTTGAAAACAAAACAAATGGCGCTAAGAATCCACATGGAATTTGAATCGTTTTTTGCCACGTGGAAGGAAAATGATTTATCATTTCTGTTTCGGAAAAATTTGGATCAATATATTTTTTAAACCCAATTTTAGCTATTTTTTTATCACCACGTGGATTTTTGGCAGCAAATTTCGAAATTTTATTTTTTGAATTCAAGCGAGTACTTTAAAAAAAACCACGTGGCATTGTAAATGAATTAATTTTCTACGTGGCTTTTCAGAATTTGAATTTTAACCCCTCCCCTCAAAACTTACATGAACAATAGGATTAGTAAGAATATTCATATGATAAGTCGAGGCAATCAAAACATGATTAGTCTGATTATAATTATAAGTCTCAGTTTCCTCTTCAACCCGCCTCCTCATAGGAATCACCAATTGCGGGCATTTTTTATAAAACTTTGCCACGCGGACTTTTTCGGTTGTTAGAATTTGTAAATCTTCTTCAATTGTTTTCACAGCTTCTAAATCATTCTCCAAAATATATGGGCAAACATTGTGTAATCGAAGCTTGGTGTTATTTCGAGGGTTTTTGACTTGTGTTACATAATGCATCACTTTTTTATCCGTATGTTCTGGGGTTGGTTTTAATAATCGATACATTGGTTGTGTTAATTCAGATGGCCAATCACTTAATAAACTATCATCTTCTGGAAATGGCATTGGAACTGTTGCGTATGGAGTTGTTGTTTCTTCAATATTAAATGAAACTGGAGGACCAACTGGTGGAAATGCGAATATTGTATCATATGAATCTTCATTTATAACTGCTTCATCTCTATCCGCATAAACACTCAAACCACCACCAAAATCACCAAAACACATAAATTGTTTTGAGGTGGAAAAATCGAAACTGGATAATCCATTCATATCAACAATTATACTTGTTCCAACTCCATTTGAATTCAATTCTGAGATTCGAACACCTCCATTTTGTGAAACTACAACTAGTTTTTCACAATAAGATGGCATAAATCTTGCGAATCGCGGTGCAAATGCAAGAGGTATTGGTGCCATTGCTTTATACATTCGAAGATCAAAAATTTTGACAAAAGGATCGCCGTGTGATGATTTGAGACGTTGTGAGAATCCGCAAGTTATTAATTTTGAACCCTGAACATCGAAATCACTGATATGATCTCCATGACAAGCAATTCTTTGGATTGTTTCCAATGTTTTCGTGTTCCGAACATTAACCTAAATATTATATTTTAAACTTAAAAGCTCTTCCGCTAATAACTTACGAATCCTGAAGTGTCTGCTGTAAAGATATTCGCTCCATTGTATCTGATTAAAACCGCATCATTTTCAGCCATATCAAAAGTTCTAATCTCCTTCTCTTTACTGAAATCAAATTGAAGAAGCTTAGATTGTTCTCCTCCCATAATATACATTGATGTGTTTGGCAATCGACAAATTGCACTCATTTTTGTCATCGAAAGTGATGTATATTTTGAGATTGGGATTCCTTGTCGACTTGTTCCACGCAAACAATCATCTGATAAAGAAAATACAACTTCTTCTGTGATATCCAATGCATTTACGGCTCCAATTCTTGTTGAAACAAACGCCGAATATCGATTAAAATGATTTGATGCGCTGAATGAGGCGACTTTTCCGGTTGAACTTGCACACCAAATTAGTTCTTCGTGTGGATCGAATTTTAGACATGATATTGGATTTTCGGTTTGATGATTTATTGAGAGCGATAACAGGTATCGCCACTGAAAATATTTGTATTTTTGAATACAAATTTAAGGTTTAATAAAAACTCACATCATTCCCTTTTGCTGTTGTTGTTGATGTTGTCATTTTCTGAAAAAATAATTTATTTTCTTTTTTGAGCAACAATGAATTTTGCTGCCCTAGACTTGAATAACCATACACGGAACGCGGAATTAAATAAATAAAATATGCTGTGGATTTACGATAAACAACAGGCAACCGTTGTGTCGTTTGGATTCCCACACCGTTTTTGAATGAGCAGATTATCCTTCCAAATGAAGAAAAGGAGAGAGTATCTTGAATAATTATTGTGTAGAAAAAATATTTTCCCATCTGGGACTTGGGCAAACTTCAGAACTCTAGAGTTTACGCAACTTAGCATCTACATAAGCATGGTATTTTTAAAGGAACATTTATTAATTTATTTATTATGGTCTCGACACGCGTTTTGAACTACGGTACATATGCGGTGCAATTTTTCAAAATTTTAGGATTTCATTTCTTTTTTTTTACTTCCAAGGCGCAGTTGCAAAGTGACTAAAAGATTTTTATTTTCAGATAGCGTGATATCTTGAAGCTATTGATGTCGGACACTAGTCGAGGTTGTTCAGAAAACGAATATTCATTCAATAATTCGAATCAATTTTCAGACGAGTTCGACGGCCCATTATTGCATTCAATATTGGATAAACTTTTGAAAGATAAGCCTTTGGTGAGCACCGAATATGATTCTTTCGAAAAATTCGTTCGCGAGAAATTGAGAAACGATTTGGCGAGAAGACAGGAACTCAGCAGAATTTTGGAAGAGAATGAGGATGAACGTTCAGTAGGATCATTTCGCACAGACGATGAGGACGAAATTGGAGCGAATATCTCGGCAACTGTTGAACAACTCGAAGAATTGGAAATTTCTTCAATGCCGAAGAAAGAGCCAAATGAAGCCATTAGAGAAAACAACGAAAATCATGTTCATCCTAATGCGCAAGAACAAGAAGAACGCGAAGAAAGTTTTGATTTTGATGCCAATTCGAGTTCTCAGTCGGAAAGTACATCGGATATTTCTCGTGTCGAATTTGGTTCATTTGTAACGAATGAGAACCAATGTGAGTTTTGAGTTATATATTTGAAATATGTTTGAAATAATTTTGTGTCAGTCTTGAAATTTCATCGAACTCCATTGCCATGTGCCGATGATTTAAGACCAGAACGAATTGGTTATCCAATTAGTGTGACATTCGATGAGATTCGCGAAGAATGGTATGTTTGTGATAAAAACGAGTCGAAAGTCATACGAATTCGAACATTCGGCGGACAATACAATCTTGATGTTATCGATATTCAAAAAGAATTCATGAAATGTCCATCCGCAGTCTGTATTCACAAGGTTAGTCTTAATTTACTTAACTTTTTTTTCAATGGCAAAAAATCTTCAGAAAGGAAAGAGCATTGCCGTTTTATGCGGAGAATACAAACCTTCGATTGTCATAATCGAGACAAACATAGTTCAAATCCATGTTCTGATCGATAACAATATGGGTGATTTCAAAATGAATTTCCCACTCCGTGGTCTATGCAAAACTTTTGGAGAAAACTTTGCCTCGCTTGAATCAACGAAAACATCGAAAAATCTGCGGGTATTCAAGGATAGAATCGGTGCATATTCGTACCAAGTGAAAGAAGCCGTCCAACCGTGTTTCATCGCGTCATTCGAAGACAAAGTGGCAATTTCGGATTTGGGAAGAAATTCAGTGTATTTGATTCGTTTGGACGATTCAAATTGGGGTGACATTCGATGCCAAACATTGCGAATTATAAATTCGGTTGGTTTATTTTTCTTTTTTGAAAATTCTTAAAATATTATTTTATAGCCAGAAAATGCTTCCATTAGAGACTTGAGCGATAATGCTGGTTTTGGTTTTGTCGCTGGTTTACAATTCGACAAAAACGGATATATTTTGATCGGCGATGCAAAAGGTCAATGTATCAAGGTAATTTATATTTACTCTGAGATTCTAGGGAGAATGTAGGAATTTCAATAAATTCACCTTTTTCAGCTCTTCGGCCAAGAACTCCAGTTCCTTCACCGCGTTTCCAATGACTTCAAGATGCCATACATGTCCTCCTTTTTCGTCAATTCATCAGGAAAGACGATGATTCTCAACATCAAATCAGGAACTGACAAATTGGTATTCGCTCAATTGGGAAATTGTAAAGAGGTTGAACCGTGGAATCCGGTTAGTGCATTCATTCACACCGGCGGCAACAATTATCAACAAAATCGAAACCGTCAAGCACCACCACACCGCCAAAATTTTCGAGCATAAATAATTGTTGAAATTTATCAACCTGTGAATATTCTGTTGATATTTTCAATATACATGTTTTATTTTATTGTACGTTTAAAACAGTATTAATTTCATTTTTGATCTCACATTTTTTTTTATTATTCTTTTATTGTTTTTTTAAAGTAAAATTTTTTGTTCTTCTAATTTCTTTCACGTAAATCAACAAAACTTCGTTTTTTCTTGAAAACACCACAACAATTCAAATATTTACCCATTTTGTTACTTTTTCTCGCCCAAGTGTTTTCATATTGTATCGTTTTGTATTTAGTTGAGTTGAGTTTTAATTTTAGGGTTAGATAGGTTTGATTTATTTGACTTCGGGAGAGAATTAAGAGTACTCAAAAGAAAAAGCACTCCTTCCTTCTGTTTATGCAAATATAATCTTTCTTCTTGCTTTTCATTTTCTTTTCGTATTATTATTTACTTTATTCAAACTTTCTTTGGAATTTTCGAATTATACGTTATTTAGGCTTATGTATCGATTTTGTTAATTATAAGGAATTTTACATTTAGGTTTGTTAGGTCGAGTTCAGAAAATTCCCACGAATTTAGCTCTGATTTTTTTTTTCAAAAATAAAAATCAAGATTTTGAGCAACTTTTTAAATTTTTGGATTTTCCAGAATCACCAAAAAATAGGGTTATTGTAATCCATTTTTGGGGATACTGTAGAATTGTTTTTGAGCGGAAATTTGGTTTATTTCGACATCAAACAAGCCTGGATTTTGACGGGTACTGTAGATTTCGTCACCAAATTGGAAACTTTTTAGCGCCTGTTAATATACAGTACTCCTAGGCTTGGTGTCAAAAAACGTGGATTTTTATTAGCGTCAAAATTTCAGTATCCCTTAACGAATGCCACGTGGAAAAACTTTCTAAATTTTTTTTCCGAAATTTTTGTACTGGTTAAAAATACGATGGGATTTTTCTAAAATTGTCTAAGACTTACACTAACTTGTCGACAATACTGAATATGGAACGCCATTTCATTTTGGAAAAATTTGAAAATAAATTGATTTTCATTTCAAGTTTTTTGTAACTTCACGTTTTCACGTTTCAAATTCTTAATTCAATTTCTAAATTTTTTATTTTGAATTTTTTTTCAGAAAAAAATGACAGAAAATGAAGAAAACGAGGAAAGCAACGCTAACAATGATACTGGATATTATACACCGAAAAATATATTGAATCCAGCAATGTTCAGGTTTGTAATTATCAAAATCGACCCTCCCAATCAATTTTAATTTTTCAGACTTGCGGAAATTACACGAGCTCTAAGTGAAGTAAATATGGAAGTAGAACAAGAAAAATATATGGAAGAAAATGAAATGAAAAGGCACACAATTATAAATACTTTCGAGATACAACAAGAACCGGAAACAAAATTGGAATTCAGATTGGAAATTGAACCACTCAATAAAGCTGAAAGTATACTGGAGATGGAAAATTGTCCGACGAGGAAGAGCTGGTTCGAAAGAAACAAAGACGAAGTCGGAAACATTTTAATTTTTGTGTTATCACTTTCGATAGGCTTGTTCCTGATTCTCTTATGCTTTTCGTGGCCAGAATAGCTGTTATTTTTTTTAATGTATTTATTCATTTTAATATAAAACGTAAGACAATTAGTTGATAATTTATTCAAACAATCAACGACAAACTCAACAATGAAAGAAAATTTTTTACTTCTTCTTTCCTGCAGCGGCTCCGGCCTTTTGGGCTGCCTTGGTGACCTTTCCTGATGTTCCATCGGATTTCTCGACTGACTTGATGACTCCGACAGCGACGGTTTGTCTCATGTCACGAACGGCGAAACGTCCGAGTGGAGCGTAGTCGGTGAAGGATTCAACGCAAAGTGGCTTGGTTGGGATGAGCTCGACAATTCCAGCATCTCCGGATTTCAAGAATTTTGGGAAATCTTCGACCTTTTTACCGGTACGACGATCGACCTGGAAAAAAACATTGTTAAAAGAAATGATTAATATCAAAAATTACCTTTTCTTTAAGTTCGTTGAATTTGCAGGCGATGTGAGCGGTGTGGCAATCGAGAACTGGAGTGTATCCGGCGGCGATTTGTCCTGGGTGGTTCATGATGATGACTTGAGCGTGGAAGGTACGGGCCTCCTTGGCTGGATCTTGTTTTGAGTCAGAGCAGACTGAACCACGACGGATATCCTTGACGGAAACGTTCTTGACGTTGAAACCAACGTTGTCTCCTGGAACGGCTTCTGGGAGGGATTCGTGGTGCATTTCGACGGATTTGACTTCAGTGGTGACGTTTTGTGGGGCGAAGGTAACAACCATTCCTGGCTTGATAACTCCGGTTTCAACACGTCCGACTGGGACAGTTCCGATACCTCCGATCTTGTAGACGTCTTGGAGTGGGAGACGGAGTGGTCGGTCAGTTGGGCGTTGTGGTGGGATGATAGCATCCAAAGCCTCAAGAAGGGTCTTTCCTGTGGCATTTCCTTCTTTGCGTTCAACAGCCCATCCCTTGAACCATGGCATGTTGGAGGAAACCTCGAGCATGTTGTCTCCGTTGAATCCTGAGATTGGGACGAATGGAACAGCCTTTGGATTGTATCCGATCTTCTTGATGAATCCGGAGACTTCGTTGGTGATTTCGGTGAAACGGGCCTCTGAGAATGGTGGCTCAGTGGAGTCCATCTTGTTGCAGGCAACGATGAGTTGTTTTACTCCAAGAGTTTGGGCAAGGAGAGCGTGTTCACGGGTTTGTCCGTTCTTGGAGATTCCGGCTTCGAATTCTCCGGTACCGCAAGCGACGACCAAGACGGCGCAATCGGCTTGTGATGTTCCTAAAACATATTAATTTAATTCGGGCCTAAAATTCAATTTAATTTACCTGTGATCATGTTCTTGATGAAATCACGATGTCCAGGGGCATCAATAATGGTGATGTAGTATTTGGAGGTTTCGAATTTCCAGAGGGCAATATCGATGGTGATACCACGTTCACGTTCGGCCTTGAGTTTGTCGAGAACCCAGGCGTACTTGAAAGATCCCTTACCCATCTGAAAAAGTACATGTTGCTAGAGAATACTGAAATTTGCTTCAAAACTAACCTCCTGAGCCTCTTTCTCGAACTTTTCGATGGTACGTTTGTCGATACCTCCGCACTTGTAGATCAAGTGTCCAGTGGTGGTGGACTTTCCGGAGTCGACGTGTCCGATGACGACGATGTTAATATGAACCTTTTCCTTTCCCATGTCTGCTGGCTGCTACGGAGTGAGCAAAAGTTTTACCTGGAAAAATAATTTGAATTAAAAATTTTAAGATATAAAAATTCAAGGTATGAAAGAGGAAAGCACAAATGTTATGATCTATATTTCGGAACTAAAATTATTTTAATTAGTAAATTTTTTAAATCTGGAAATCGGAAGCTGAAACACTGAAAAAGGGAAGAAAGTAATAAAAAACCTAACGGATTTTAGGACACACATCAAAACTACAACTTTTTTTTCTGTCCCAAAAAATAGCTTTGCACACACTGCCTGCGCATCAAAGTACCTCGCAGCGAACAACTACGGTAGCCATTCAAAAATGTTCGGCGGGAAAGCAAACTCCTCTTTTTTACTCAGACAAGTTGTACGATTAATCGCCGAGTAAAGTGAACTTACGATTAATCGCCTGAACTAAATTAACACAGGCGATTAATCGGTCAGCCAGCAGCTAATTCAAGTTACTAGGCGATTAATCGTCCAACTTCTCTGAGTATTTTCTTTTTTTTCGGCGATAAAATTTGAAGTTAATCGTGTGTAATCAAGCGTTGTCAATAGAAATCCAGAACACAGATATATTATAAAAATCGGAATTATTTTAGAAAATGGTCGAGGCAATGGAAATCGATCCTCCAAAAGGAACAAGTGAAACATGGACTGAAAAATAGTGAGTTTAACTGTTTAAAATGAAGTCGCATTTCAATTTCAAAAAATATTCAGTCGCCCAAAAACTCTGAACGATGTTGCTCATCAAGAAGAAGTTGTTACAATGTTGAAAGGAGCGCTGACGGGAAAAGATGTGAGTCTTAATCGAAAAAAAAACGAATAAATACAAGAACTGTGGTGATTTCAGCTTCCTCATCTTTTGTTTTACGGTCCACCAGGAACTGGAAAAACATCAGCAGCACTCGCATTTTGTCATGAATTGTATCCAAAAAATGTGTTCAAGTGAGTTCCTCTCGATTTTATTTATCAAGGCAATTTTGAAATGTTTTGGTTTTACAGAGATCGAGTTCTTGAACTAAATGCTTCAGATGAGCGTGGAATCTCAGTTGTTCGGAACAAAATTTCATTTTTCTCAAAAAGAGCAATCAATCAGAGTGAAAACCGTCTGTTGAATGTGAAAATTGTGATTTTGGATGAGGTTGATGCAATGACTCGAGATGCACAATCAGCAATGAGACGAGTTATTGAAGATTGCTCGAAAACCACACGATTTATTTTGATTTGTAACTATGTTTCTCGACTTATCGCTCCCATTGTATCAAGATGTGCTAAGTTTCGTTTCAAGAGTTTGCCTGCCGAAGTTCAAATTGATAGGTGATAATTTTCGACCAGAAGTTAAAATAATATCAAGTAGAATTTTCCAGATTGCGCACAATTTGCAACTCTGAAAATACTCCATTATCCGAGGAAGATTTGAAAATTGTAATGAAAACATCTGAAGGAGATCTTCGCCGAGCTGTCTGCACTCTCCAATCTCTCGCCCCAGTTTTGAAAAATGGAGATGAAAAAGCAAAAAATTCATTCCTTCATCCGACAAATGATTCTGAAATTGTCAAAGAAATCGTCTCATTATTGCCATCTGCAAAAGTTCCACAAGTTTTCGAAATCGTGAAGAGAACTGCAAAATCATGTAGTGGAGTTACTTTTTTGAGAAAAGTTTTCGATGAATTCCTTGAAGACGACTTGATTAACGATGATAATATTGCAATTATGGGAAAACTTGTGGCCGTGAGTTCATTTTTTTCCAGATTTGGGAATTGAAAATGTATGAAAACCTAAGACAAATTTTGCAGAAATGTGAAAAACGTATTCTCGATGGTTGTGATCTTCAAAACAATCTTCTCGATTTTCTACTAACTCTTCGCTCAACTTTTATTAACTAAAAAGATCTCTTTTTTTCATGAGGAATGAATTTTGTTTTTCTCCTCGTCTCGCTTAAACATATCGATTTTTGTCTCCACTTTTTTGGAGTCTCACATTATTTATTCATTTATCTGCTGGATTTTTCTTTGTGTTTTTTTTTCTCAAAAAGCAAAAGAAACTACTTTTTGACAGGAGTAGTATCTAAAGAAGTATGTATTTTTCAATAGTACTCACTCACCTACGAAATTAATCTCCTCCCCTTCCCTCAAACTTCTTGTGTCTTGTCTATTTGCTTGGTTGCGACAAGAAAAGCGGGCCGCCGCGCGCATTTTCGAGCACAAGAATTCTTTCATTTTTGTTTTTTGATGAAACATGGGAAATGTATCAACTCGCAAACGTCCAACTCAAGAAGCTATCAAAGATTTTGGAGAGGAATGTGAAGGACAACCAAAAAGAAAGCGAATGAGAATTGAAAACATTGATGAGGATGAAAATGAGTATTCAAAAGTAAGTGTTTCTTTTTTATTTTTTGAAATAGGTCAGACAGGTCAATGAGGTTTGTTTGCAGGTTCATATAAAATCTCGATTACAACAGTTGAAAAAGTGTCGACCGCATTTGAATCTTCTTCGATCTACAAAAAAACATCTGCCTCAAGAATGTAGGTTTTATTTGGGGAGAGAGATCTAGATTGGATTTTTATCGGAATTTTGATGATCTAATTTTTTGTTGAGAAAAACAATATATTCAAAAAAAAAAGTTTCAGAAATTCTGAAAAATCAAGAATTCACCAGTTTTCGAAAATATAATTTTCAGTAATTTTTTTATAAACTTTAGAATTAAAAAAAACAGTAAAATTGAAAAAAAATTCTGAAAAGCTAAGGATTCAATACACTTTCTAAAAAAAAGTTTCAGATTTTTCAAGAGCCACTTTTTTTAGTTGATCGCGAGCACATCAAATGTCCACATGATCATTTACAACCAGATATCTCGAGATCTTTTTTTTCCATCATCAAACATCATCATCTCTTGATTAATCACACTTTTATCAAATTTTTTTCAAATTAATATTTACCGTGTAAACATGTAGTATCATCATCATTATTTGTTTAATAATCTGTGTTTTTTGTAGTAAATCCTCGTCCACCTTTACCTCGTTTCATCGTTGATGACTATGAAGATGTTGTTGAAAAAGAGACCCCGCGAGATTCCGTGATTCCTTGGTTTGAACTCCTTTTTCTTCCCGAATTCCCGACAAGAAGTGTGATAAATGAGCGAAGTTTTATATTGGAACGACAACTTGGACGAGGTTCTTTTGGTGTGGTTTATTGTGCCAGTGCAATTCATGACAATGAGAGGAAGTTTGCGATAAAAATGCAGGAAAAACGCGAAATAATTTCGAAGCGAGCTGTTTTGCAAGTGAAACGAGAAGCAAGTATTCAACGTCTTTTGCCAGCTCATCCTTTCGTTGCAAGAACATATTCCACGTGGCAAACACGAACACATTTATATTCATTGTTACAGTATCCACCGGGAAGTATTGGTGATTTATTTACAGTTTGGAGACAAAGAGGATCATTGAGTGAAGCGGCGATTCGATTGATTGGTGCAGAATTGGCATCGGCTATTGGTGAGAATTTTAGAAATTAAAGTTTAAAAAAAAACACGTGGCTTTTGATAAAAGTGAAAATGAAAATAAAGAAAAATTCTAAAAATAACAAGTGAACGTGGAATTTTGGCATTAGAAAAAATTCATTCCACTTTTTTTTTGAGAAACCCAAAATGTGTGAAAATCTCTCTCATACCCTGGGAAAATAATATATCTGGTGTGAACAAGGTTTTAGGGAAAATTGATCTTGGGAATAATGAAATTTGAAAACAAGACTTGAAGGTTTACAGTTAAATTTTCAAATTAAATTCTGCTTTAGAAAAAAATATTAGCGATTTTTTTAAAACAATCCCATAGAAATTAGGATTTAATAGTTAAATTTAAAAATAATACCAGTTTTTTTTGGAAAAAAAGTGAATAAAAAGGTAACATCTTAGCTTTAATCGTTTTTTTTTTCAATTTTTGAAAAAATTTCAGAAGCCACATAGATTTCAAAATTTGAAACTTCGACAAAATTAAAATTTATTCCAACTTTTGCACATATTCTTTACACACTCAATTATTTTTTTTCGAAAAAAAAAAGAAAGTGTGAATGAGGTGTGACCCTGGGAAAATTTAGCCCTAGACCTAAAATACCATGAGAAAAATTGCAGATTTTCTTCACCGTAACGATGTGATTTATCGTGATGTCAAACTCGAAAACGTGGTTCTCGATCAATCTGGCCACGTCCTCCTAATCGATTTCGGTCTCGCCAAAAAATTAAAAAACGGTGTAAACACAAGCACAATCTGTGGAACCCTTCAATATATGTCCCCGGATGTTTCAAGCGGTCATCCATATTCACATTATGTTGATTGGTGGTCACTTGGCGTATTATTACACATTCTTTTAACCGGAATCTATCCATATCCAAATTCCGAAATAACCCATCATTCAAAATTACGTTTCATTGACTACAGTACACCGCTTGGATGTTCGCGCGAATTCGCTAATTTGATGGATCGAGTGAGTATTTAATTCTACCCCCTTTTCTTTTTTTATTTGACTTATTACAGATGTTGGCTGTTTCAACAGCTCATCGATTATGCTCTTTTACCGTATTGCATGCACATTCATTTTTCCGCTCGATTAATTTTGCGAAACTCGAAAATCGAGAATATGATCCAATTTCGGAAATTGGAAATGCTGCGGAATATGATATGTGTAGAAATGATACAGAATTGGATGATAATTTGTTCAGAGAAAATTATGATGTAAGTTGAAGGAGGGTTTTTTTTAATTAAAATTTTGCAAGCCACGAATATTTTCTAATCCCCCCTTTCCGGATTCCCTGGGAAAATCCCACATTGTTTTCAAGTTCCCAGAACTACACAAAGGTGTTGAAAATGGGCGTGGCCTCCCCCGTAGATTTCCGCCGTATAAAAGCCGGGTTGCAAAACATAATTTTTACAGTTTGATCGATTTGATTATTTTAACGATCGTTTCTGATGCTGTTTTATGGCCTGGCCTCAATTAAATGTGATAAAATACGTTTACGGGAATATTGTTTTTGCATTTTACATATTTTTTGTATATAATATTTTTTAATAAATTCATAAAGAAATATTTTTATGTTTACAATACAATACTTATCTGATATAAAGAACATCTGGCTATTTGCCAGTTTTCCTTCTTCTTTCTTTCCTTCCTTCCTTCTCTTTATGCAAGGTCACATCGATCAGAACCGCGTCGCTTAGCCGCGCTGCACGTCAAATGTCAACCAAAAGACATTTTGGTTGGTGGACACCAAAATATCCAATGGATTTATTTTTCGGCTTCTCTTTTCTTTTATTTTCCTTTCTTCACTCAATTTTTCACTCACTCACTCATTCACTCTCAAAACCTTTTCATTTATCTTCCTTTCATTTTGAAAAATTAGTTATGTTTACTTTTCTAATCCTTGATTAAATGTTTCGTTTTTATTTTTATGCGAAAAATAAGAGTCACCTGATATTGAAGACAACTGGTTTTTTCTTATTATCTGTCGAAAAAAGCAGACGAATTAATAAATAACTTTGATGGAATGTGATTAATTTTGCGTGTCAAAAAAGTGGTAGGGATTTTTTTTTTGAAAAAAAATCGAAAATTTGTAAATTCGACGTGTTCCTTTGAAAAAATACTGTTTTCGCTGTGAAACTAATATCTGTTTGTGCACCTCCCTTTAATTTCCTACTGTTCTTTCATTTTTCTTTTTTTTTCACACTTCGGTTTTTCGCCTGAAAACTCACGTTTAACAGTCTTTTTTGCAGATAAAATGGTGGGGACAACAACACCCAATACTCTTAGTGAGTTATTAGCAGAAGTTATGAAAATCAACGAGCAGACACTAGATGATAACGATAATCAAAAGTGAGTTTTTCTCGAAATTTATATTTCTGGCCAAAAATTCAACGAGGATTTAATTTCAGGAAACAAGCGTTATCTTGCCATCCAATGCGTCAAGCACTTTTCGAAGTTCTAGTTGAGACAAAAGAAAAAACTGCTTTATCAATTCGAAGTGGTGTAGATGAAACCCCAGACGATCCTCAATTAATGCGTCTCGATAATATGTTAGTCGCTGAAGGTGTTGCTGGACCAGACAAAGGTGGATCATTAGGAAGTGAAGCAAGCGGTGGAGATCAAGCTGATTATCGACAAAAATTACATCAAATTAGAGTTGTATATAATGAAGAACTTCGAAAATATGAAGATGCTTGCTCTGAATTCACTCAACATGTTAGAAGTTTGTTGAAAGATCAATCAATTGTTCGACCCATTCAAATGAAGGAAATTGAACGAATGGTTTATATTATACAAAAGAAGTTTAGTGGAATACAAGTACAATTGAAACAATCAACTTGTGAAGCTGTTATGATTCTTCGTAGTCGATTCCTTGATGCAAGACGAAAACGGCGAAACTTTTCAAAACAAGCAACCGAAGTGTTGAATGAGTATTTCTATTCACATCTTTCAAATCCTTATCCATCTGAAGAAGCAAAAGAAGATCTAGCCAGACAGTGTAATATCACCGTTTCACAAGTCTCAAATTGGTTTGGTAATAAACGTATTCGTTATAAGAAGAATATTGCTAAAGCGCAAGAAGAAGCAAATATGTATGCGGCCAAAAAAGCAGCACATGGCGCATTAGGAGGTATGTTATTATTATTATTATTTATTATGCTTTTATTTTTATCAAGTTTTCTTATCTTTTGGATAAGAAAAATACATTTTCTTATTCAGCTAGAAAAAAGATTCAATAAAATCGAATGAGATTTTTTTTTAAATAAATTATTTTTTCAGGAATGAGTGCAAATCCTTATGGCCTTTTACCTGGTGCATCCGCAAGTTTACTCAATCCATATCCCGCAATGTTACCAGGACAAGATTTATCTCATATGGCGATGCCACAATTCGATCTTTCTGCTTATAATCCACAACTTATGGCACAATATCAAAATTCTATGGAAAATGCAGAGCAAAAACCATAATAATTTATTTTTTCACTTTTCTTTTCCCCCCCTTTTTTTTACTAATCAATCAACTAATCAAAAATGACTTGTATTTGCCCCGAAATTGCCCATGTAAAAATTGTTTTCATTTTTTCCAAACCCTGGATCTCTTTTCCCCCACAAAAATCCCCACAATTCTTTTTTGGTATATTTTTATTTTTATTGTATTTTTTTTGATGAACAACATCAGGATGATGAATAAAAGATCAAGCAATATTTTTTCGAGGTTAAAGGTTAGAGGAATTTCGAGTGGACAAATTCCAGGGCAAATAAAAAACATACACTACTTATTTTTTTTGTTCTGTGAAAAGTGCGCAAGAAAATTGTTGAGACAATTTTCGAAGTTTTTTTTCGCGGACTTTCTTTTTGTTTTTTTTTTTGGGTTTGGAATTTTTAGATTTTATCGAATTTTTTTTTTCGATTATTTTCCAGATTGCGGAATTTTTTAGATTTTTGCAAGGGTTTTTGTTTGAATTTCTACTATGAATTAGAACATTTGAACCAAAAATTTTCTAGGTTTCCGAGTTTCATTGCGAAAATAATTTTTTCGAATTTCCGCAAAATTGTTTCAAATAATTCTAAAATCAAACTCATATAACGCTATAATGCAGAACAGGCTCCCACCCATATCATTTTATCCCCCCGATTCGGAACTAAATTACAGGCCCCCAAGCGCAGGTTTTTCAAAAAAAACAATTTATGGACATTTTTTTGACCTACCCGCGAGAATTAAAAGAATTGCAAGTAGCAAATTATTGTTCAAAAAAATAGGAAAAAAACAAATCATTCGGATTTTTTTATTGATTTTTTTTATTGTGGGGCTCACAAAAATTATAATTTATAAATTCAGACAGTTGAAATAAACCCCCAAAATGTTATGATTCCGCAAAGGTTTCAAATCTACAGTAATCCAAAACTTACCTGATTTCTTGATTGATCGAAATCTTTCTCCCAAATCCTTCCTCTTTCTAATTTCAAAATAAAAAATGCCACATTTTTCAAATTTCTCACATTCAGGTCACGTTTCCAAATTTTCAAAAATCATTTTTTGAATTTTTTTTTCTTCAAAAAAACTTTCAGATATTTATCTCATTCAGAAATCAAATAAAAATATCATTTAATCTACAGTACTTTTTCCAAAAACTTTCCTCAAATGTTCACTGCTAAAACCTAGAGTAACACTCTAAAATTCCCTCATTTTCTTAATTTCAATCCCAACTTCTATCTAATTCTTTTCAATAAAAAAGTTTGCAACACTCGAAAAAATGTAAACATTTTTATATTGTGCAAAAATGTCCATAAATTCGCTCCCCGAACGAAATTTCTCTCAAGGGACTCGTTCGATCCATTTTTTCTTTTTTTTTTGGGGTCTCACTTTCATAGTTTTGCTTCCTCGTTTTTTTTGGCCCCATTTTTGAGTGTCTTTAGATTATATGATATCCCATTTTCCATTTTATTTTCGAACAAAGGTCAATTCCAATGAGAAATAACAGTTGTTGTTTCACAAGTACTTTGGAGCATCGAGCCTTTTTTCACATTTTCTCTTGTTAATGACGTAAAATATGTACCGGTTATCAGGATTATTGATAAAAATGAGAATAGAAAAAAAAAAAGAAAATATTTTTCGAGGACATGCAGTGTTTGTTTTGACGTATTTAGGAGAGAACAGTTTTGTGATAAAATGATTTTTGAAAATTTTGCAATTCTGCAAATTTCGAAACGTGACCTAACAACGTAGGAAAGATTTTTGAAGATTTAATTGGGCATTTTTCATTTCGTGGATCTGCAAAAATGGAAAGAGGGAGGATTTTAAGTAAGATGAAAAAATCAGGTAAATTTAATGAATAATTTAAGATTACGGTAGCTTCGTGAATTTATGAAGTTCAAAGTTTTAGAAATAATAGTCACATCGGAAACTTTTGAACTTAGTTTTGAATAATTGGAAAAAAGTTATCAGTGTAGGTACAAAAATCAGCAGATTCCAAACTTATTCGAAACACTTTCTGAACTCGCTGAATTGTTTTAAAATTAAATTCCACATGATGTTTCGAACGTGAGGATAAATGTAGAGATACTGAGTTGCGGCGCAAGTTTTCACTGAACTTCCAATCGAAAATTTGAAAAATATTGCACGAAGTACTGTAGACCCAAAATTGTTCTTTAGATTTTCTCTGTTTTCTGTTCAAAATTTGAGAAGTCTGGAATTTTTATTGAAGAATATCATTTTTATAGGATTACTGTAGCTTTGAAGTTCTGTGAAGCATAATAAAATTTTCTAATATTCTTATCATTCAAATATTTTCAAAAATAAGTACAAAGTAATGTGAAAATATTTCAGTTTTCAAACTCTGAACTTTCAAATTGTACTGTATTTTAATATTTTTTTAATCCTCAAGATTTTTATCATTCAAATATTAACAAAAATACAAAAATCATTCAGTCATATGTCTTTTTTCATCATGACAAACAGGCCTAGCTCCTCTTCATTATTTCTCGCCTCATTTTCTTGTTCTGCCTGGCAGCCTGGCAGGCCAGTCAGCCACCGATCAAAATCTGTGTTGAAAAAAAACCGAGGAAAAATTTGTGAGATAAGAAGAAAGAAGCTCCGCCTTTTCGCTTTTCAACTTTTCTCATTATTTACGGCTAACTTTTTTGTGTGAACAATAATAATAATAATTAATTAATTCTGAAAAGAAGAAAAAAGTCTAGAATGCTACAACTTCGAAGCAAAAAAAGATGGTTTTTCGATTCGATCAGGTAATTAGTTTTTTTTCCTCTTTTTCTCATCAAAAACCAAATAATTCAATTTCCTTTGGGATTATCAGAGAAAGGCGTCTTTCTTTAATTCTAGCGATTACTGTAGACAACTCTTTTTTCTTTGTTTCAAATGTTTTCTGCACTTTTTTTTAGTTATCAGAAAAGAAGCAATTCTTTGTTGATAATTTATTAGTTGTGTTCATTTTGAAGTGTTTTATTTGTTTGCCAACAAAGGTTTTCGAGCACAATTATTGTAATGTTCAGAAGGGAGCTTTTTAGGGCAAAAAATAATGCGATTTAAAGTAACATAGTAAGTTTTGAAGTGGTGTTGTCGAAAATCACTGTAACTTTGAAATAGAATCTAAATTTTTCAAAAAAGTCTTCCGTATTCCCTTCTGACGATAAACTACAGTCTTTCGAACTCTTTCCGTCAAAGATCATCAAATTTCATTTCGAAAAAATCTTTTCCCGCGTGATTATTAAACACAAAAAGTGTCAACCGAGGCGAATTTTGACAGCTCCGCGATCAGTTTCGATATGATATTTGTAAAGTGAAGAAGCAGACACAAAACTTTGTGGTTTTCTTCATGAAAACCTTTTTTTTGAGTGCTTTGTCAATATGCGAGAACATACATAAATAAAAGCAATAATTCGGTTTTTTTTGTTGAAAGATGAGATGAGATGAAAATGAAATGTGAAATTTGTGGTCTGGTTTTTTTCAAAAGAAATAATAAGAATGTGTTCCGATTAGATATGGTACAATAAGTAGCAAAAGATGATAGAATTGAAAAGAAATGACGTGATTTTTCAATGAGAACATGGTTTTTCAAAAACAAAGTACAACAGAAATCATTCTTGTTTTCTTCTTTTTTTTTTGAAAATGAAAAACTTAGAATAGACGTGAAATAGGCCACGTATTACTTTTTATTAATAAAAAATATATTCGGATACTGTGCTTTCATTTGTGTGATCTTTTGCGTCACGGTGTTCCCAGAAAAGAAAAATCTTTTTTTGAAGATACATTTGACGTTCCACCCTCTTCTAGGAAGTTTTGTCGAAAGTTCTATATACCATTCGATTTGTCTCGGCGAGATGAACCAGGAAATCTACATAGATTTTTCATGAATTATACTTTCAGAGAAGATAGGTGAAGAAAACACAAAGGCGCATACAAATTTTGAATGGTGTGGTCTCGCAACGCACACCGTTTTTTACTTTTATTTTCGTTTCGTCTCGGCCAAATTTTTTTCATTTTTATACTCAGAGATTCGCTGGCCAGCTGGCCACTAGGTGGGACCGACTGTCCATCTGAAATTGACACGGACAACCACATCGCCCGTATTTTTTGCCAGACGACCTGGTCGCGAGGTGGTTCAGTTCATGCAGACCACCTCGCCTAGGTTGTCCAGCTCGACCCGACCTCGCGTCCAGATCGTCTCGATTAAGAGAAAAAAGTCCAAAAAACTTGTGAATCAGAGCATTCTAGAAGAAATTGGCTCATTTTCTGTTTTTTCGGAGTACTTGAAACCTTAGGAAGTGAAAAAAACAGTAAAAAATGCACTATTTTGAGTACAAACCACCGTCTTGCTAGCTTTCCAGGATTTCAAACACACAGGCCACGTGGCCGGAAAACTCAAGGCGACCTGGTGGCCGAATCAAATTCAGCTCGTTTTGAACTTTCCGGCCACCTGGTCCTGATCTAGTGGCGAGCTGGCCAGCGAATCTCTGAGATATTCATACGAAAAGACGTCTGTTTCTCAACTTTTGAAAAAACTTATCATAACTTTCGATCTCTAAAAAATTAATTTCTCTTCCTTTTCATCTTTTTTTGATCATAAACACTACAAATGATGCAAACATCATTCTGATTTTGAACTTCAAATAATTTCTCATGTCCTTAGTCAGGCTAGGAAAAACAAAATAGTGTGGCATTTTTATGGCGCCAAATTGAATTAGTGACCCATCACACATTATTGATCGAGCAAGGTCTTTTCTTTTCAGATTTTTTGTGTCAAAAATAAAAAGTTCAACTTTTCTCAGCCTAGCTACCTTTCAAAATTGAAAAACAATTGTTATGTTTGATAACGAGCCACTTCGTTTTTTCTTTTCAAAAAAAAACAAATCGGTTGCGATCTTTGGGCCAATCGGGGGACAGCTGTGGAACCAATTTTTTATTGTCTTCTGCTTTTTTTGTGTTTCTTTTTGGTTTTTTCCACAAATCGAAACCATCTGGGAGTTCAGATAAATCTGTTTTTTTTTTTGATAGCCGACGGCAGGAAATATATAAGATAAATAATGTATTTTTTGAGAAATCTTTCGTTTTTTCTCTGTAAAAAATCAGAAGATATTTATTTACCTTTGCTTTTCATGAAATTTCACAACTTTTTCACTGCCATCCGACCCTTCTTTTTTCCGCCGTTCCCAACAGCTGTTCGACTTTTCAACCTCACAACAACGCGTAATAAATATATTTGAAAAAGAAAAGAGAATTCATGCAAGAGAATTTTACCTTTCCTCCTACTTACCTCCTCTTGTGTCCTCTGAATTTTTGATGAACTTTGCCACTTTTTTTGGTTTGAGATTTCTAGAAGTTCAAAAATTTCTCTTCGAACAATGGTTTCTAGTTATTATATGTTATGAATCGTTTATTGGTGTATAATCTATGCTCCCCATTTCAATAATATCATCATTTTTCTCCTACAAATTATGCAAATGTTGAACTTGGCCACCCTCTCTAACTATACATATAAAACCAGCAATTTTCCAATATTTTAAACCAAAGACAATACTCGTTATATTTTTCTTCTTCTCCTCGTTTTTTATGTGCAAAAACGGAAATTCAATTTTTGCTCGCCTTTTCTTGTGTTGAAGAAAAAAGAAACACCAAGCAAGCAAACCAAATCCTTTACCGTTTTGCATATTTTTCGCTGCTTCCAAAGATCACTGAAATATTTATGCCATCTAACACAGCTTTTTCGAATAGATAAACCAACGTTTTTCTTTGCAGGATGATCAAACGAAAACTTCAAGATTTGGCAGTTTGCTGCTCGTATCAAGTTGATTTTTTGCATGAGAAAAGTGAGTTTGAACTTTTTGTGTGACAATCAGAAATTTCAATTTTTGTAGAACACTCAGTGAAAGAATTCAAGCGAAAATATGAAGTGCTCGATGAAATTGGAAGAGGTGGATTTGGTATTGTTTATGAGGCGACAAGAAAATCAGATGGAAAAGCGGTGGCTGTGAAATTTGTGCAACATAAACATGTTCGATCGTGGACAATGACTTGTAGACAATTGATTCCGTCGGAAGTTTGTCATTTGGAAACATGCAGTGATATTCCAGGAGTTATCAGAATTATTGATTGGTTCGCAAAGTGAGTCTAACCAAAAAAGTTTTAGAAAAAATTTGAAAATTCATATTTTTAGCTCGAAAGGATTCTTGATTGTGATGGAAAGACCAGAGAATTGCATGGACTTATTTGATATGGTTTCAGTTCACGGTCCTCTCAGTGAACCAATGGCTAAATATATTTTCAAACAAGTTATTGACACTGTTTATGATATGTATGCCAAACATGGATTATTACATCGAGACATCAAAGATGAAAATTTGATTGTGAATATGACAACAGGAGAAGTGAAATTGGTGGATTTTGGTGCAACCGCCTATGCGGAAAAGGCGACCAAAAAAGAGTTTCAAGGAACGAAATCATATTGTCCACCTGAATGGTTTAGAGATCAATTATATCTTCCACTCGAGGCAACTTCTTGGTCGCTTGGTGTTCTTTTATTCATTCTACTCACTGGAAAACTTCCATTCAAAAATGAAATTCAAATTTGTTTGGGAAGTGTAAAATTCCCGAAAGATTTATCAAAAGAAGTTTGTCAATTGATCAAGTCTTGCTTGACAACTTCAACATCAACAAGAGCTTCATTGGCGCAAATCAAGGCACATAATTGGTTAAGATGTGATGTGGAATTTTATACAAATCCAACTTTCGAAGAAACTTTGGGTGCTTTCAATGTTGAAACATTAGTGGATCCGAAAGAAAATGAGGAAGATAAAGATTTGAATGATATTATTCTTACTCGTCAAAGAGAAATTCGAGTTGACGATGATATGGAAAGTATTTGCACAATGATAACTGCAGTTGAAGATCGATACGAGCCATCAACAACAATTATTGAAGAGCAAAAAGATCAAGAAGAAAAAATTATAGAACAACCTGTTACTTTTGAAGAGGCTGCTGTTTTCACAGATGACACGACGAATTTGATTCGTAGTGATTCTCGCTACGATAATATATCTTCGTCCTCTTTCTGTGATTATATATCGCTTGCTTCATCTTCTATTGATGATTTTACATCAACTTCCGATATATATCAATCTGCTTGTGATGTTTTTCCAAATTCTACTAGAACTATTGGAGCAATCAAAAGTGCATCTGCATATAATTTGGCAAAAATGCGGAAGAAATCATCAATTTTCAAATCATTTGATACGGAACTTGATCCAGTTAATGAAAATGATCCAATGATTCAATCAACATATAGTAATGATGATGTAACAATTAGTGAAGATACAAATACAACTTCAAATTCTACGAATTTATGTGAAAATCGAGTTCGCGATCAAGTTTTGCGAATGTCTCGACATCGACCATTGCAATTTGCTAGTGATAGTAAACCACCAACTTTGGCCATTTTTCAAGTTGCACCATCTACTGTTAATTAACTAATTAATTATACTTTGTGAATATAAGAAATTGCGGGTTTAGAAAGTGAGGAAACCTTAGACCTTACTAATTAAGTTATGGGTATATAAATAAATACTTTTGCAATGAAAAATGTTTTTTCTGATTGAGTTTTTCGAGAATTCTTCGTTTCGTTGGAAAAAAAAATTGGAAATAAAAAAAATCAATAACAGCCAGACAGGTTGAAATACGGTAGACGCTTCAGGACCAACCACCAAAACTCTGTGCGTCTTTATTTTTTATTTTCGTTTTTTCCGATTTTTTCACCTAAAAGACCCCTTAGCACTTCAAAAATATAGCAAATTTTCAGAAAAATGGAGTTGATCAAAGAATTTTCAGATGTGACCGTAGCTGTGCTCCCAATCAAGGTTTGTCAGTTATCATAAATCAAGTTATTCTCGTTTATTTTCAGAAAATACAAGATGTTGAAATGCTGAAAGCGGATTGGGAGATTGAGAAAGATATATCAATCGCGCAAAAAATCACCGATCGTCTTAACACTGAGGCGAAATTCAAGAAAGGGAAGGTTGGTTTGAAAATAGAAATATCCGAAAAGATTCAAAATTTGATTTCTATAGATATCTCTGACTGACCGATTTGAAATGGCAGGGCTTGGTTATGAGTTGAAAAGTAAAAGAAAAGAAGAAGCTGCTGATCGGAACATCATAATCTATAGAAGAGAGAAGAAATCAGAGGCTAGTGGAAGTTATTCTCCAGTTCCTTATTCACCATCGTTCGAAAGTCCGACAGTTCATAAATCTGTGGTAAGATTCAAATATTTTTGAAAATCTATTTTGACAAATAACTGAATTTTTCAGATGCCAAGAGCTCGTGGATTTTTCCGATCTACTGCACCCGAACCCGTTGCTGTTTCTTCATCTTCATCGTCGTCTTTTTCAAATGATTCCATGAATTCGTAAGTTTGCTCAATTTTATTGCTTCAAATGCCTGAATTTCACGTTCTTTCAGACCGCGCAAATCCTTCAAATATCAAAATTCAAACAATTATTATCGAAACAACAACAATTACAAAAAACAATGGGATAACTCATCGAATTTTGTTTGACATGTACAATTCTTCTTGCATTTTTAAACTTTTCAATTTCAAAGCGTATATAAATACGAATTAATGAACAATTTTTTTAAAACTTCCAGTCCAAATCAGATTATTTATTAGATAACAAACTCGTTTATGTCACGGTAATCCTTACTTATCCAAAAATAATTTCTATTCACTTCGATATTGGCAGCCATTGTTGACGTCATTTCTTCCTTCTGTTCAAATACACCCTTTTGGCTTCCCGCCAACAAACCATTCTTTGGCGTTCTGCCAAACCACGCCCATTAGCGTCTGTCTGTGTCTCTCCCTCTTCACACTCTCTTCATTTTTTCATGCTGGTTACATTGACCTACTATTTACTTACACCTTATTATTTTTTAATAACACAAAAACATCTTTTTAATTTTACTCAATTTCCTTCCAACTTTTTCGAAGTTCAATTGAGTTTTCTTGCAGAAAATGGCGGTTCAAAAACAAACAAGGATTCAACAAGCTTACTTGGCTATTTACAATTTGGCACTTTTCGGCATTCATTTGCTGATCTTCGTCGATTTGCTCCAGGAGAAAGTCAAAAAAGAGTCATTCAACTATAACAATCATTATCATATTTTCCTTATCGCAACCATCGCTCAATTGGGAGATATTTTGAATGCAAAACTTGGCCTAACCTCAACCAATATTCCAACAGCTTTGATTCAAATCTTCGGTCGACTTTTGGTCCTCGTCCTTATTCGACAATATTATGTTATCTGGGCTTATCCAACAACTTTTGCTTTGCTTTTTATCTATGCAACAATCGAAGTCATTAGATATCCATATTATTTCTTCAAGGTTATCAATCACGAAATTTTGACATTCACCTTCTTGAGATATAATGCTTGGCTCATTCTTTATCCACTCGGATTCGCCTTTGAAGGTAAATAGTTTTTTCATTAGATAAGTATTTAAAAAAAATGAAAATTTTCAGGAATCACTTTGTATTTCGTCTTTGCCGGTTTCTACAAATCTCAAAAATACCTTATCAAATCACCATTCGGGTTTGGATACAATATCGATTTGTCGGTCATTGCTGGAACAGGAATTTTCCTCACATTCCCATACATCGTCTTCACCCTTTTCAAGCATATGTGGAATCAACGCGCTGTCCAAAACAAGAATCTCGCCAAGAAAATTCGCTAATTTTTCTTTCTTTATTTTAAATTTCAAATTATTTTCATGTTGTATTTTGATCTCACAATAAAGATGTAATTATTCGCAAAAAATGTGTTTTTTTTTTGGAATTTGAGATCTTCAGAATTTCAGGGTTTTTTCCCATTCAGTATCTGAAAATCTATCTTTTCAATAATCCGTTGCTATGAAAATTGAAAATGTTTCGAAATAATATTTTTCCGGAATTTCGATGAATTTATAACTTCAAAATCGTTTCTTATTTTCCCCAAAATGTGTGAATCTTCGCACTACCTTCTCCCATCTTTTTCATATCATTTTGCATATCCCGTAATTTGTCGGTTGCATGTTTTTCCTTACTTATATAATTATTTTGTATTTCTTATATTTTGTTCTTCCGAGAACATATACTAAAATTGGAACAATACAGAGAAGATTAGCATGGCCCCTGCGCAAGGATGACACGCAAATTCGTGAAGCGTTCCAAATTTTTTGCATAATTTTATAGATTGTGTTATAAATTTTCGATCTCTGAATATTGCTGAAAATTAAGATAATTGAAAAATTTTTGAATTCCGGGAAATTAGTATAAAAATTTTCGAAAATAATAATTCCAGTTAAAACTGAAACACGTTAGTTGAAATCTGAAAACAAGGATGTTTTCAACTTCTAACTTTATCTCCTTTTCCATTCTTGTTTTTCTTCTTTCAACTGTATTTTTTCCTTTATTAGTTCCAGTATTTTTACAGATTGTGTTAGAAGAACTTACATCTTTCCCAGATTCGGCTTCATTAGAAATTTTCGCTAACTTTTTTTTTCAAAATTTTTTTTACAGAAGGATTTGTGAACTCATGAGAATGAGAAGGATCTTGAAGAGAAAGGCACGCGGGTTGTTTTTTTTAACAAAAAAAATTAATTTTATATAAATTTTAAATTTTGTATTATGATTTTCTTTTTTGCGTCACGTGACCTAATTTACGTGGCATACGTGTATGGAAAATGCCAACCAGACAACGAAAAATCGAAAATCAATCAGTTCTATATTTATAAAATGTCAGAAAGTATCAATAGTAGCAATAATAGTAGTAGCAAAAAAGACGACGCCAATTCGAATGCACCGCCTGCAGATGGAAAAACTGAAAATCCTCCAGCTGAAAATCCATTAGAAACCGGACAATTTATCGATTTAACCAATGATTTATCAACAAAATCGATGGATTATCAAAAACTATGTCGAAATATTTGGAGATATTTGGTGAATTATACACCAAACAGTCCGAGGCCTACATGGAATTCAACAATTCTTCTCAAATTATTGCAAGATGTTCGAGAGAAAATGGATGGAGAAGTATTAATTCCGGAGATTTCGACAACACAAAAACCAACAATTGTTTTTGGACCGATTTTTGGGGAAGGTGATTCGCTGGTCACTTTGATGAGTCAAGCTGGAATGCCACCCGATGTTAATTATGTCATGTTGGGATGTTATACTGGAAAAGGTTTTGGTGAGTTTCACTACTTGGATAACTAGATTTTCGAATTCTCTAGTTTCGTCCCAAATTTTTTGATAAGCCCTACCAAACTGAAATTTGAAATCTATATTTTTCAGCACCACTCGAATGTATTTGCCTTTTGCTCAGTATGAAAATGTTATATCCCACAAATATGTATTTATTAAAGGGACATCATGAAGAATCGCTGTCCCTTGAAATGCTCAAACTTGGTAATTGGCTGCAATTGCGTGGAATCGCTCTGAACACTCCCGAACACCAACAAATCATCGACGAAATGAAGAAATCATGTTCCGCATTTTCGCCGGCTGCATTTTTGGATTCGCGTATTTTGTGTATGGCTGGTGGTCCGGGACCATTGTTGCGAAAAAAGAATGGACTGAAGAAATTGATGAAAATGCAGCGAAAATTGAAATATTCGGTGAAGGAGAAGAATTTATTGATGGAATCGAGTTGGTCGGTGATGATATTGAATGAGGCACAAAAAGAGATGCATGGAATGCCGTATTTTACACCGGTAAGTGGATATGGCCTAGGAATTTCGTTCGATTTTTAGTCCGCCAAAAATGTCGAAATTTGGCTCACATCAAAATTTCTACATTTTTTTTTCGAAAAAAAAATTAAAAAAATTTCATTCAAAATGTAGAAATTTGCCTCACATCAAAATTTCTACATTTTTTTTTCGAAAAAAAAAATCAAAAAAAAATTTCATTAAAAATGTAGAAATTTGCCTCACGTCAAAATTTCTACATTTTTTTTCGAAAAAAAATCAAAAAAAAAATTAATTCAGAATGTAGAAATTTGGCTCACATCAAAATTTCTACATTTTTTTTCGAAAAAAAAATCAAAAAAAAAATTTCATTAAAAATGTAGAAATTTGCCTCACGTCAAAATTTCTACATTTTTTTTCGAAAAAAAAATCAAAAAAAAATTTCATTAAAAATGTAGAAATTTGCCTCACATCAAAATTTCTACATTTTTTTTCGAAAAAAAAAAATCAAAAAAAAAAAAAATTGATTCAGAATGTAGAAATTTGGCTCACATCAAAATTTCTACATTTTTTTTCGAAAAAAAATTAAAAAAATTTCATTCAAAATGTAGAAATTTGCCTCACGGTAAAATTTCTACATTTTTTTTTCGAAAAAAAATCAAAAAAAATTTCATTCAAAATGTAGAAATTTGCCTCACGGTAAAATTTCTACATTTTTTTCGAAAAAAAATTTAAAAAAATTCATTCAAAATGTAGAAATTTGGCTCACATCAAAATTTCTACATTTTTTTTCGAAAAAAAAAATCAAAAAAAAAATTTCATTCAAAATGTAGAAATTTGCCTCACGTCAAATATTCTACATTTTTTTTTCGAAAAAAAAAAATCAAAAAAAAATCAAAAAAAAATTTCATTCAAAATGTAGAAATTTGCCTCACATCAAAATTTCTACATTTTTTTTTCGAAAAAAAAATCAAAAAAAAATTTCATTCAAAATGTAGAAATTTGCCTCACGTCAAAATTTCTACATTTTTTTTCGAAATTTTATTTTTTTTATTTTCGCAGCCGTATAAAATCCCAATTTTTCCAGGAACAAGCCTCTGAATTCTGTCAATCGAATAATTTGCACTGTCTAATTCGTGGTCGCCAACTTGTAGATCAAGGTTTTTTGAACAAACCAAAAGATGTGATAACAATCATCTCAGCTGTCGCATATTTGGATAATTTTCGAAATTTTGCAGCTGTTTTGAAGATTCAAGGACCAAAAGGAACAATTATTCGATATAAAATGGAAGAAGGCGAACAATTATCATTAGAACTTGTGAAACCAGGAATTGGTAGAAATGTTGTCGCATGAGAAATGAATAGAATTCATGAATAAATTTTTTGATTTGCGTAGGTTTTGAAATTTTCTACTTTTTGACATTGGAAAATCTGAATTTTTCTGAAACTTGAGAAAAAAACTTCGAATAATGAAAGTTTTATTAAATTTTTATTTTTGTATTTAAAATTCAATTGTAAAAGGTCTCGAAAATCGTCAATTTTTTTCAACGTCAAATTAAGAATTAATATCTTCAAAAATTATTAATCTATATATTTTCATATTTACCCTAAATTCCAAAAGAGGTATTTTTCTAAAAATCTTAAATTGACGATTTTCGGCTCAACCGAAAAGACACAGGGAAATGTAATTTTGTAAGCAAAAGTGAGATGAGATGAGATGAAATAATTAACCCCTAATCTGAAAATATATACATTTTGGGAAAAATTAATATTATAAAGATTTGAAGTTAAAAGCCATATGATCAGGGACCATCATTTGAGGAGGTTGTTGTGATTGAGGAGGCAATTGATTTGTTGAATCACGAAGTGCCATATATTTCTGGAAAAAAATAAAAGGAATTGGATGTAAGCCTAACTTTTTTGGTAAGCATAATAAAATCATAGTTAATGTTTTCTAATGTAATCTGCTCAAATTAATATCCCGTTCTAACTTACCTCATCTACACATCCTTGAATCATTTCAAAATGTT